CAGCACTTTGAATTTCTTTTAAAATGCATTGTTGTAATTGCTGAAAAGATGCTATCACTAAAATTTATTTTTAATTGGTCAAACGTAGTAATTAATGAAAATATTGCAATATTTTATGTAGCTAATGGGGGCTTTTAATTACGGAGAGATCTTCATCTTCTGATATTGGAGCAAGTTATTTTGCGTAGGAATGAATGTGAAAAGTGAATTAGCGAAATAATAAATGAAAAAGAAATGTTTTCTGGTGAATGATTCTTTGGTGTTTATAAAGTTGTCAAAATGAGAGTGATTTATAATGTTTTCGGACACAAAGATAATTATGTGAAGAAAAAACTGTGTTAAAGAATACCTGATACGAATGACTAAAAGACCGAAAATATTTTTATGCACTGATTTTCGGTATTTTGATCATTATGGACAAAATTGGTAACAAATAGAAAAATGGGAATTTAATTAGATTCAAGATAAACAAAGAAAAGGCATGACAAATTGGTTAAATGAGGGATAAAAAATTAGTTAAATGATTCATCGTATTACAATTTAAACAATTAATTTTTACACGAAATAATTCTATTACTATAATTTATATTCTCCATTGAAGGAATTATGTGAGCTTCGGGTGGGAGAATGTAGCGAAAAGTGTTTTATTTTTGTCCTTCCTTATTTATTAAATGTGTTTTTATTAATTCCAAGAGTAGATCACTGATTTCTCATTAATTTGAATTCTTACTATGAAGTAAGTGGAAAATAAATTGGATTCACTCAAATTTCATTTTAAAAGCAATCGCTACAACTGATATTGCAAGAGTAATTAACCAGCGATATTTATTTGCCATTATTTGGTCAAATTTGCAAGTTCTTCTTTCATTAATCCAGTGGTTCGGTTGAATTCGTTTTCCAGCTATTCTGTCAGTACTTCTCCTCCTTTACTAAAAAAGTTCACTTCTGATTCATATTGGATTCAGTCCTTTCTCGTTGTAAATTAGTATTTCCATTTCTGCATTTCATAACCATATCCGTATATGAGTTGGAATACAATGGCTACTTCTTATTGATGTGACGTTTGGGTTAACATTTCAATCACAATTCAACCTTTCAGGAGTGTTAGTGGTGTGCCGGATATCCATTTGCAGTTTTTCGTTGTTGTCACTTGTTTTGACATTAAGGAGATCTTCGTTTTCAATAATAAGACTTTTACTGGAGAATTTATTTACTCTTCGCTTCTGTTTGAAGTTTGCTATATTTTTTTGAACTTTTGTTCAAGTTCATCGAGCTATGGACTCCTCTTGTTTATTGGCTTCATTTATAGAATCCTTCAATGTTGCTAATTAGTCCTTCGTTTATTTCTGTTAAATTTTTAAAGGTATAACACATTTACAGGTCGATTTGACTCATAAGCATGGTATTACAAAGAGTCCTTTCCTTGGATATTAAATTTATAAATTTCAAAGTCCAGACAGTTATCCTTACTAACCTCGACTATTTGCTAAATTGATCTATGTCGATTAATTGAACGTTTTGTTGATACTAAGATCTGCAACAATCTACTGGTCTTTCGCCTATCTTTGCTATGATATTCAACTATATGATATATTCCCAAAATGGCCATTTTGGCCCTTTTGTCACTCTTCTTCTGTCATCTTTGTCCTTTTCACCATATTCACAATTCATGAGTTAAAGAGGAGAAAGTCCACACCTTTGACAGGAGCAATTTCATATTTAGCAATACCAAAACAGCTTCCTTATCTCCTTAACAAGGTATATCGTATCGAAGCAACATATGCAACTGAGGAGGCATCCGAAAACACACGAAATTCGATTGGTCGCGAAAAGTTGATTATAACAGTAGTTTGTTGCACAAATACTGTCGGCTTACTATCCTTTTCCAAAGGTTTCGAAAAAATAGTTGCCACGAATTGCAAAATCGATCTTTTGTTTGGTTCTTCTTGACAGATTTACTTCTATAATTTTCCAGACAATAGTTAGGAATAGCTGATAGTAAAAAGGTTGATGATATTATTCCAAATGGAACTCTTTGAAACCAGCAATGCTAATTATTATTTTCCTTTAGCATCCTCGAATATTTTTTAACCAAAGGAATAGAGTACAGTTTCTTTCTGTTGCGAGTAATTAAAACTGTAAAAATATCTCTTCAACATCTGCTATTACGATTTTTTGATATATTCCCAGTGTATTAGTGTTAATAAAATTTATAGTAATTTGACTAGAAAGGTGAAGTACATAAGATTTACCTTATTTTTAATTGATTTTATTACTAAATAAAATTTTTTAGAGAAAAATGAAGTCAACGTGATCCAATATCTTTAACGGATTTTAATCTGTTGCATCTCCACTTAAAATTTTTGTTAGGTTTATTGCTTAAACCACAGACGTGGTGTTAATTGCAAAATTGATGTCCTTTAAATTATCATAGAAAGCGAATTGAATATTAGTAGATGCTGCCAGTGAATCTTCATTTTAAGCAATGTGTCGAAAAAAAAAAACGATTTATAATTAATATGTTAAAATAAAACTGCATCCATGAGACTAAAGATTGTAATAATTGAATATCCTTTAGACAACTAAAAACTGTTTCAAATTATATTTCATGTAAATAATCATTTATCCAATACATATCTTCCAGTTGTAACTGACTTATTTGTATTGTTTAAAAATTTTCAATTATTAACAAAGACTATGTTTATTGCTTAATATGCTGGAAATTACTCTGTTCGAAACGAAATCTGCTTGCAATGTCAAAATATTGTAAAGATCTTCCCATCCAGTAGTCATCATCCTCAGAGCAATGTTACTATGCAATAAATAAACATCGTTGATAGTTTCAGGCACAGTTCAACTGCTCTCTCAACTTATCTAATTCGATTCATTTAAAATTCAAAACCTAGGAAATATCAATATATTGTTGCTTTAGATTAATACTTCTGTAATTCTAAACCGCAACCAACAAAGATTCCCCATTAAAGATAACTTTTCAATAAGTAGATCATCATTTTCATGTAACTTTCTTTCAAATCTTTTGTTGTAATTATCAAACAAAAGTATTTTTTAGAGAAAAATGAAATCAAAGCGATCCAATATTTCTAATGAATTTTACATTTAAAGTTCTTCATTTTTAGGCTAAAATTTCTACAGGTTTATTGCTTAAACTATAAAAGTGATGTCTTTTGCAAAATTGAGATCTTTTAAATTATTTGTCACTAGAAAACTGAAGTAAAAATTATTAAATACTGGCAGTGAATTTTTATTTTAACAACTGATCAACATTTTGATATTAACTTTTCTAAACCTATTGTTGTAATTACTAAAAAGACACTACTTGTAAAATTCAGTTCATTTTCAAATGAGATTATTATTAAAGAAAATTAATTTATGGAAAAAATGAAGTGAAACTGATATTTTTAACGAATTCGGATTTTGAAAGTAGTCTCCAGAAATTGTCTAAAATTCAGCATTGAATGAGGTAGTTCAGAAATCTAAAGGTGGTCTATAACTGCTTATTAAAAGCAGATAATACAGAATCCACACTAAAAAGAGATCCAGAATTTTGCATTAAAACGATATAGTCCAGAAATAGGGAAGTAAATAATAACAAAACGATAACGAGACAGACTTCAGAATTAAGATTCATCATTTTTTTTTAAACAATTTCCAATTCGAAATGATAATAAAACTTCAGAACTAAAATTCATTAAAAATATTAGATCATTTTGTTTTCATTTTTCCTCAGAAATTAATTCGTTTAGTGATAGTACCAGTTACGTTTCTAATAATAAATAATTTAAAAGTTTTGCAATTAACATCACTTTCGTAATTTGAGCAATAAATCTAACAAATTTTAGATATCAAAAAAATATCAAAATTTTGATATTAAAATTCGTTAAAAATATTGGATCATTTGATCTAATTTTCTCGCTAGAAATTGACTTTCTTTAGCAACAATATCAATTCTAGAGATAGAGGTACAAAATTCTTATTACTCTGGAGATATTTAAAACTCTAAAGATGGCCCAGAATTCCGAATTAAAGCGAAATGATTGGAAATTCTGGACACAAATCAGAATTTTATCTTAAATAGGGTAGTTCAGAAATCCAGAAATGATCCATAATTGTTCATTAAAACGAGACAGCCCAGAATCTTCCATAACTGCTTAATAAAACGAATTAGCCCAGAATTCTAGAGAAACACTGTGATTGAGTTCTCACTTTGATTATTATATAAATGGTAAAAAGGTACTGCACCCTTATTAATAACACCATAGTGCTGAGTTGACAATAATAAAAAATTGGTAGCGACATTTCCCATGGTTAACTTCGTCACGGTGAAATTTTACATTCAAATAGAAATTCCTCAGCTGTCATAAATCAGTTTAGATTTCCTAAAATAGTCATTCTCAACAGCAAATCAGTCTGCTAGCAACTACGACGACATCTCTCCGACATCTCTATCTCTCCCTGTCAAGTCAAAATGGAGTTGAAGCAATCACGCTGGAAGATTATTGTGCTGCAATACGCTCGGCGAATCATTCTGTTGACGTAGTACGTCTGTCTTCCTTTACATCCTGTGGGCAGGTTGTTGTCTCAGGGGTTCAGGTGAGTTAAGGAACTCTCGGGGAGACCTGTTCTCATCTCATCACAGAGTGTTACCCATACTTGAATGGATGTTAATGACGAAATACTCACCACTTATCAATATGAAAGACATGGCAGTTTTTCATATCTTTTTTAGTCCTTTCTCTTCGTCTGCTCGAAAATCATTGCATAAGATGGACAGTGTAACTTGTAGTGATATCTCTCGGACGGTAATAGGAAGCATACACGTTTATTAGATCTTGCAAATATGCTGTAGATTTTGGATGCTTGTGTCGTTCCGTTTACTGCTAATATGGAAATGGTATCTCCACTTCTCTTTGCTCATTTCTTTTAAAAAAAGAAAGAAATCTCTTGATTCATATGTTAATTTTTGTTTTAGGTTTGCGATAATGATAATAAGGTGGGTTGTAGTTCTGCTGTTTTCTGCACTATTTGTATTTGGAATTAAACCAAATTCCCCACGATTAAAAGGCGATAATCCCACCACCGATATTGAGGACGAAGAATCCGAAAAAAAGGTTGCTTCACTTAAGGTTCAGTAACATGTCAATAAGGTTTTCTAATTCATGATGTTTCACTTTTTTAAGATTCATTATTTAAGTTTAATTTTGGTTATTCACTTTCTTAAGTTTTCAATGACTTTCAGGAGGAACGGACTAGTGATAGATTAGTGTTGCTAAATAATGATGGGGAAACGATGGATACAATGAGTCAAAAGCAGTCTCCTGGTATTTATATATTTGATTTATTTTATTGCTTGGTAATTTATGAAACATATAAGTGGTACTTTTCTTTGTTCGGTACACATTGCTACTGGTAGTTCTAAGAGAGAAGAGATTTTCCTGTTTAAGATTCTTGTTTTTAGCAACGTATGATATTACAAACGATGATATTGAAAGAATGTCGAACGCAGCAATTGAAGTTTCAACAGTTCCATCAGCTGGTGATGAGTTTACAAAAGAAAAAGTGGCAGAAGGGTAAACATTGAGAAAAACAGATTAGTTAGAAATTCAAATAAAGATATTAGTCGATGCAAGATTCATATTAATGCTAATTGTCGTTTGACTTTTGATTTCTTTGATTCACTCTTACTATTTACTTGCAGAAGCGAAACTGAAAAAACAGAAACAGAAAAAAGAGGAGATGAATTATACCGTACTGCAATGCGATTTCTGGATAAAGGGCGAGCTGCTTCAAGTGAGGCTAAAAAAGCTGCGTACAGGCTTCTGGATGAAGCTGCCCAACTGAAACACAAAGAGGCAATGAAGTTAACTGGTGCGTTATGTGTGCTTTATGTAAACTTGTATTATTTTCCATGGATAATTGCTCCGTCATAGTTATTCATAATTTTAAACAAGTGCAGAAACGCAGGGATATCTACATTTTTAGTCATTTTGTAGGTATCAGATGCGATTAATGTTGTTTGCATTTATGTAACTATCTTTTTTGTATTCTTGGTCGAATTACTCTTCAGAGATTTGAATATATAATGATTGTAATGTTTTTACATTGGGAGATTTTTCTTTTTTTGTGATTTGAGAAATTGTCATAAGAATAACTGATATCTTTTCTAGCTTATGCATACTTATTTGGTGATTATACGCGGTGGAATATTGATGAAGCACGAGCAATATTTGAAGAACTGGCATCGGGTGGCTCAGCTGATGCGCAACTGGCATTAGGGTTCATGCATGCTACTGGTTTAGGTGCTACGGAATCTTCGCAAGCAAAAGCACTAATTTACTACACTTTCTCTGCTTTGGGTGGAAATCCTTTGGCTCAGATGGCCTTAGTATATCTTTTGCTCTCTTCATGTTTGCAGTTGTAATTGAGATTAAAGTCTTAGTAATGTATTTTCACTGCTGCGGAAAGACCGTTATGTGATGATTTGGTGGTCTTTTTCACTTTTCGTGCTGAACTTGTCGCTTGATTGCTTCTCTAATTTTAGGGTTACCGGCATTGGTCCGGTATCTCCGTGCAACAAAATTGTGAGCGTGCACTTACTTGGTATAGAAAAGTAGCTCAGCGTGTAAATGAGCAAGTTCGCATCTCAGGTGGTACAGCGATGCAGCGAATACGATTGCCTGATGAACAGGTTTACAATATATATAGTTTTTTACGTTTCTGCAAATGAAAAATTTTGAATTTCTATTTGCTGGACACCTACTTACTATATTCCATCCTCCTAACCAAAAGTTTTTTAGGACACTGTCAGCACTTCTTCATCCAGTTCGATTCTCGACTCCAACTTGTTAAATTATTACAAGTATTTGGCAGATAAAGGCGATTTGCAAGCACAGGTAAAGTATTCCATATGCTGAACTGTAATATTTTTAGTTTCATGATGCAGTTGAATTTATTAGTTCCTTGCATTTGTTAAATTGCGCTCAAAAAAAATTGGATATGAAAGTCAGTTATTTACGCCTGTGATTGTTTTATTTAGAATCACATTTGTTGGTATCATTCTGTTTGACATCAAGTTTGATGTCCATTTAATTAAGAGAATTCGCCGTGGTACTCTTGCTGAAATTCTCACTTTTTGAGTAGGTTAAAACTGTTGGAACAGTGATGAATTAAGTGTGATTCTGGATTCTTCTGCTATAACAGCAATTTTATTGCTATTATAATTTGTTTACGAGGAAAATACCTTTTACTAGAAACTTGATAGTAGGACATTAGAAAGCGAAATACTCATTTCTTATATTAAATGAAAATCATCGAACGATTAGCATTTCTTAAGAAGATAATATTGATGAAAAACAATTCCTAGATCAGGTACGTGGTTAAAAGCAAGATGAGCTGTTTTTGTTGAGGTAAATCATTGGTTTTACGGTAAAATCTAAGTCCTGAATTCAAGACCAAAATTATTGCCCTTTTTATCGCAAAGTACGGTCGTGCAAACTGAAAATAATAATTCATCAGAATGGATCAAGTTTCAAAACTGTACGATATAAGATGAAACGAAGTATAAGTTAAAATTTATTGTGACGGCAGTTTTTTCAATAAAATAATATGGAAAATTCTTTTTTTTCCTAGAACTGTTTATTTTCTTGCTGTGGTAGTTTGATTCTTCCATGCAAAATGAAAGAATTTCGAACTCTGCTTGTGGAAACAAGCTAAAAAGAGTGTTTTATTAACGAGTTAAATCTGTGATTATCCATATAAATGTGTTTGCTATCAATTCTGCTGTACGTATTACTTTTTTTTTTAATAACTTGCTTCTACTAATGGAAATTTAAGGTTGGTCTTGGTCAGCTATACTTAACTGGTGGACGAGGAGTAGAGCAAAACATGGATTTAGCTAGTCAGTATTTTTCAACAGCTGCTCAGGCAGGCAGCACCAATGCATATGCATACCTGGGCAAAATGTATTTGGACGGCACACCAGCGACACCGCAAGATAATGCTACTGCTTTTCAGTTTTTCAAAAAGGCAGCAGATAAGGTATAGATGTTTCGATTCATTTCTATATGTTATCAATTTAATGGTAATTTAACTAGCAGTAAATATTTGCTATGATTTATAGGGAAATCCAGTTGGACAGAGTGGCCTAGCCATAATGTATATGTATGGTAAAGGGGTAAAACAGGATTATATCAAAGCAGCGAAATTGTTTACATTAGCCGCTGAACAAGGATGGGTTGATGGGCAATTAAATCTGGGCTATCTTCATTTCAGTAAGCTCATAATTTTCTTGCATTTTGAGTTTTCTTTTTTGACTATTTATTGTCATGTTTCTCGAATCAATAAGATATTTTGTTATTCCAGTTTAGGAGCAGACGACAACAAAGTATAGCTTCAAATACTTACTCTTAGTAGATATTTGAAACAATTCTTAATGGTTAACTGCCTCTTGGAATTAGCTCATGATAATGAATTTGTATTTTCAGGAGGGCTTGGCGTAAAGAGGGACTTCAAGTTGGCCATAAAATATTTTCAACTAGCTTCGCAGTCAGGGCATGTCAATGCATATTTTAATCTGGCACAAATTCATGCAACAGGTTCATTTGTTTTCATTCTGAACTTGTTGTTTGATTTTATAATGTTCCACTTGCTTCAGCTCTTTGTAAAATATACTGTATGAATTTGATAATTTAGGTACTGGTGTACCTCGAAATTGTCATACAGCTGTTGAACTATACAAAAATGTTGCTGAACGAGGACGTTGGTCGGAACGTCTCATGGAGGCATATGCTAGTTATCGTGGTGGGCGGGTAGACGAAGCTGCGTTTAAATATCTTTTCTTAGCTGAACTTGGTTATGAACCAGCACAGACCAATTTCGCCTATATTATTGATCGTGGTAAGTTTTCCGAGTGACATTGTAAATGTCTTAAAAGCTTATTGATTTTCTGTGTAAAAGCTTATTAATTTTTAAAAGTTTATTAATTTTCTGTGTCATAATTCTTCCAGTTTTTAGGGGAATCGAATCTGTTTCCAAATGAAGAGGCATTACAACGTGCTTTACTTCATTGGCAACGCTCGGCTAATCAGGATTATGCTTATGCGCGCATAAAATTAGGGGATTATTATTATTACGGATATGGTACTCCTGTTGATTACGAAATGGCAGCAGCGCAGTATAAAATTGCTAGTGACCGACATCAGGCTGCACAGGCGATGTTTAATTTAGGCTACATGCATGAGCAAGGTCTTGGTATCAATAAGGTTTGTTTTTGAAGTAGTTTCTTTTTATTGTGCCTATTCCAGAAATTTATTCAAGGTTTGTGTTAATTCTCCTGCAACATGTACAGTTTTCTTGTCATTATCCTGCATTTGTAACACTAAATTTTGTTTATGTTGGTTTTTTATTATCTTACAATATTTTTTAAAAATTATATTCAATAATGAAACTAAGAGCAGAGTTTCAAAACAAATGTCTAGATTTAAAAATAAAAAAAAAAATGAATATATTTAGGATATGCATTTGGCCAAACGATTTTATGATATGGCAGCAGAAACAAGTACAGATGCTTATATGCCAGTTAGTCTCGCTCTTATGAAACTCACCGCTTTGTTCTTAGTGGAACATTTTAAAGAGGTTAGCTTGGAAATGCACTACGCAAGTCTTTAAGCCACAGAAAATTAGTGAATAAAGTTTCGTACTTCATATGCTGACTCTGTTCTCAAAATCGCATGCTGTTAATTTTGGCAAAGGAAAATAATTTATTGTATCTCCTTTTCTATTTGTAATTCATGGAGATGGGTTTTGGATTTTTGTTGCTTCTAAATTATGTTAACTAAGAATAGAAGTTTTTTTCAGAATTCTTTTGTGACAATGCTCGATTATGTCTTCGGTGCTAACTGGGATTTGTATGTGATAACGTTATTTCTTGGTTTAATATTTATATTATGGATGGGTTACAGAAGACAAAGGATTGTGCATTGAGATATCTTCAAGTTACAAATGCTGTGCAAAGCTTCCTTTTCATTATCTCTTGAAAACATGGGAATAAATGTAATATTTACAGAAATGCGTTATTATATTCATTTTGCAATTGTTATACCTGTAATATACTTCATGGACTTATATTTCTTCTTTTCCATGTTGCATTGTTCAGATGTTAAGGAAGCTGATTCTTAAAGAAAAGGTTATTTATTCATTGTTTTTTAGATTTAGTATGACAACTTTGGTATAATGTTTGAGTTAATTTCCTGGGATACAAATTTTTTATCGTTTTCTTTTTATTTGCACATGTTTCTAAACCAAGTTCGCGAATACGGGTAAATGCATCGTACATTTAACACACGCAAGTGTTAACTTATTCACTTTATTATCACTGATTTTGTTTTTTTTTTTTTTTTTTTTTTTTTTTAATCTTGCATATTTAAAGAGTTATCTGTTTGTTCCGTTGTGTTTCATATTTTTATGTCCATTGCTTTTAGGAAGTGTACTGATTATAACAAATAAAATTCTCATAATGGAGTGTTTTTTCCAGAAAGTATTATTCCAAAGCATTATATATATATACGCAATTGTCACCTTCACTAAATAAAAAACTGAAACTGCATACAGTAATGATGCAAGTAATTCTTGCATACTGTGGTCTGCTCTCGCATGCGAAAGCGCACTTTGGATTGTGCAGTACTGTATGCAAATAACTCATTCATTAATGGTTAATGTGAGGGTCGATTAAACGGGATAGTTGTTTTTCTGTCAAACTTCATAATACGAAGAGTGTGAGATAAATGATAGGTTGTTCGCATGTTTATATTTTTTTTCAGCTTTTAATGGGATAATTATTGTGATGCCGTCTAGCAATACGAGTAATTAACTTAGATCGGTTTCGTAAAACTTTTTGTGCAGAATGGCGTCGTTAATCCCGTTCAGTCAAGTACGACAGAATACCGTCAACTTTTTCATGAGAAGTTTGCATTTGAGTGGATGTTTTTAATGAAATCAAATTATAACTTTTTGATGTAATTCCAGTGTTTTTAAGTTGCTGAGCTAGTAAACTGCAGCTTTTCATATTTAGAACCTGCTCGAGAGCTGTGGAAGACTGTTACATCACTTTCGCCAGCTGGTATTAAAAAAGGACGAGCCAAAACTCGACAAAGTGTTTTAAACCTTCAAAAGTTTTACCGTATTGGTGCGGGTGAGTTACCCATTTTATATATTATAATATATGTGTTCTGAAAACTCATTTTGTTTCGAATGGTCTGTTTAGGTCCTATAAAAGTAAAATATCCTGGTCTGAATTCGCCTCTAACTATGCCAAACGATGAGCCAATGACGGTGATGGAGAAAACAACGGAAGAGGTTGATGCTGTCGAAGAACGTCTGAAAAATATCATAGCCACTCGACCTTCGTTAGTTACTTTTTGTTATGATGCAAATTTAAATTCAAATACTCAAAACTGCCAGGATTAATTCTGTTTTCTTTAAAGTGGGACTTCAAGCCCTTATTTTAACTATAAATTTTATAGGAAAAAAAGAGTAAAAGAAAAATTACATCCGTTGGAACGTGGTTTTGTTGGCACTCGAGTTGAAGGTCAAAAATTGGGTCCACCACCCCCTGTTGGTGATATTTGTTTTGATGACTTTCAAAGCTATTGCCTTCAGGTGCTTATGTTTTGTATGTAGATCCAATGTTGACATTGTAAAGAGGTTGAAGTTGAGCATGAGTTAAAGTAGGATGTGTAATGATAATAAAGATAGATTAAGTAATGGTGATGAATAATGGATAAAGAAGTATTTCACATTTATGGCAATAATGATTGCTCATGATACTATGGAAGTAAATCTGTCGATATGCTTTTCCATCATGTTAATTTATTTGAACTACTTGTGTTTCTCTATATATTGTAGCTTCGCAGAACCACGAATATGACATCGTACGGTCGACAACACACGATGTCAGCTTTAATTATCACGGGTAACGGGAATGGTCTTGGTGGTTATGCAATCGGTAAAGCTGGTCTGAAACATCATATTCGTGCTATTGTGAATGGTATGAAAATGGCATCAAGAAAACTGGTATACGTGGAGCTCTTAGAGAATCGTACAATTTATCAAGATTTCTATGCCGAATGTCGTGGTACCCGTATTTTTGCTCAGAGAAGACCAAAAGATTTTGGTGTAGTCGCTCATCCGAGACTTGTGAAAATTTGTGAGGTAATCATATCTTTTTTTGGAAAGAAATTTCCTGTGTGGTCATCGTTCATTAAGTTTGATAGCTCTTCAAGTCACCAAAAAAAAGCTTCGTTTGCATGTGTTGATTCTCTTGTTCTTATATGTAAAGGCTTTTGTTTCAAATTTTCAGGTACTTGGTATTAAAGATCTGGAATGTAAGGTGATAGGTTCCACTAGAAATTATATCGCACTTACGCACGCTTTCTTTATAGGTGAGTTCATTGTCGTCTTATTTTTTTAATCTTATTTTTTATTGTGAAATTTCAATAATCCATACACCTTTTTCATTTCATTCCTTTTGTATCCATATTATGTGATGGTAATGAAATTCATAATATCCATAGTTTTTTCTCTGAAGTTTAATTTCACTTTATTAGTCTATATCGTTGTGATATTTCTCGAGATTTCTTCTATGTTTGGTCGTGGCTTCTTGCAACAGTAAGTCATGAAAAAATTGTGATCACCATTTCAGTCTTAGGTCTATGTTCTGAATTATCTTTCTACTAATGCTCGATAGACTGATCCTATCAATTATTATCTCTCAAAAAGTTTTTTCCCAAAATTCGGGTTGGTAGCGTTTGTTTGATATTAGTTGATGTGTGGTATATCACATCTTCATTTGGTACCAGAGGAGTCAATAGGAGCTTAGTTACTAGCATTATTGTTGGTCCAATACTGAAGGAAATTCTCTTGACATGGAGACATATCTCTTCTTTATTTTCACAAAAGCCATGGAATGACTCTTAGAATGAATACGAATGTTATCAGTGATTACGCATTTTCTGTAAAATCAAAATCAGGTTATAAGTGGTGATAGTATGTATTATCTTCTGCTTGTACATATCTTACTTAATTTTTTGTTGACAACACGGAATAAGAAAGTTCGAAATGGATTTAAATTTATATTCCCAATCATTCCTCTCCTTTCAAACTATTCGAAATGATTTTTCTCGAGAGTTATTATAATTCGTTTATCAGATTTGCATATGCTTCCACAGTATTATGTTTTCTACATTATGGTTACTTGAGTTTTTCTATACGCTATTTTTAGTCTCATCAAAAAAATTTATGGAGTAATTTATAATTACTTCAGGGATGGAATTTGGAAACGACTTTTAACAAATAATGAAGATGATACTAGTCCTTTTTTGAATTTATGCGTTTTATTTCCTTTACTTATTATCAGTGATTGTTTTTAGGCCTTTTAAATCAAGAAACTCATCTACAGCTCGCAGAACGCAAAAAGTTGCATGTTGTTGAACTTTCTCCACATAGGAGATATTTTCCTGTCAAAGTTGCGTCTCCTTTGCAATTAGAATTGAGAACAGAACGAGATATTGAATCTAAAGAAGTGAGTTCAACTACTTGTTATGCTCCTGGTATTTTTTTTCAAAAAATATTGATAAAAGTATTGATATTTTTGATATTTTTTTAAAAGTATTGATATTTTTGATATAAAAATATTGATATTTTTTTTCAAAAAATATTGAAAAAATATTGATTTTATTTTCAAAAAAAAGATAATTGATAAAAGGAAGTAAAATTATTCTTACTGGAGAATTTGATTTTCAGAAATTATTATTAAATGATTTTTATGGCGAAGGACGTTTGCCGCTAATCAAAAAGCAGGTCCCGTTCTATGCAAATCTCTCTAATCATCTTGCTGCCGAGGCGCTCAAACATCGCTTCAGAAATAGGGATAAAGTGCTTTTTATTTTTGAAAAGCATTTTTTTCTGGATAAAGAAAACCTCACTCACATTAACCATTTCTGATAGGCTGTACTTTGATTGTAGGTTAAACACATTTTAAACTAATTAAAAGTTACCATTTCATTAAAAACAATTTTTTTTTTTTTTTCTTGTAATTTTTTAGAGCATGATACGGTTGATGGCTGATGATGTTGTGTCGCGCTGGACTCGTGATGAACGCCGGAAGTGGGCTAAACAAAAATACCAGGATATGATAAATGGATTGGTTCCGTTGCCGAGAGGAATTGGCTTGTCGGAAATTCTGCCTAAGTCTGAGGAAAGATAATTATTGGATGGATACTGCATTTTTGATTTTCTTAGATAGAGCATAATTCATGAAGTGCAAAAATTCTTTCCCATAAATGGTTTCTTAATGAATTCGAAGTTGTTAAACTTCCCAAAATAAAACATTTCATTTGAAGAAGCAATCTAAATTCGACCATCAATGCCCAACACCATTTGATCATTAAGTTATTGCAAAGCCTTACGTGGCTGGTCGCAAGTGGAGAAGGATGAGATTTGTAAAAGTAGAATATTAGGGAGCATAGCTATGAGCTGGGATGAAGCAATAGGCAAACAAACGGAACTGGATAATTTTAATATATTTGTCGTATTTTTATAAGGTTTGAACAATCTTAGCACGGAATAGAAGTGAGCTGGATATTCTCAGTTCAAAAACAGTGAAGATATCAGTGATTTTTAACGTACTCTACTAGTGTAAAAAGTTCAGGTCAGTAAATGAATGAACAGGTAGAAAGAAATAGTGACAAAGAATTCTGGATAATTAATGGCGAAAGACGGTTATCGAAACTAGCGTTCTATTTAAGGTCAAGAGATGAATTGAATCCTCGCAAGAATATTTAGTACTAGTGAATTGGTAATCTTTCAGAATTACTAGACATAGCTGCAAAGTATTATTGATTTCCCTTAGAGAACCTGCATAATAAACGAGGTATTTGAAGTGATCTTCAAGAAATGAAGAACAACTGTAAACACAGACTTACCCTTACCAGACGGAAATCATGTATTTCTTTCCATTTTCAATTTCTGGAATTAGAAAGTCGTCACTGATTCTGAATAGCTTTGCGAAAAACGACGCAATGATTAAATGAAACGAAAGCATTGTGATGAAGTCCGTATCTTGCTGGAAATGTTACGGAACTCTTCAAAACTGAAAAAAAGTCCTTTGGGCTTGAAGTGAGTGTAAAAGAAGATCAGGTACTTCCCTGTTCATTCCTCCCTTTAGATTTTTCTCCCATATCAACTGGAAAGTTTGTACTTACAGATGTTTGTTCAAAATGACAAGTGGAAACGATTTTGTGGCTTGAATACACGACCAACCTATTTCTCACAGAGGGATCCACAGATTTCAAAGCGAGTTGAGTTGAATCGAGCCACTAAGGTTCTGTTCGTTGATGTGTTATTTCTGTGCGGTTGGGTTAATTTTATTTGAGTTGAAGGGTTTCAGTAAATCATGGCGGACACTAAGGCTTTACCGGTGTTTGCATTTACGGACGACCGAATACAGTTACAACAACTGCGAGCATATATGAGAGAGCACGGTTCTTCAATCAGCGAAGAGGGTTTGTTCACACTCTTAAGAAGATTTCTTGATTTGTGCCATAATAACTGATTACATTAAAAATATAGCTGTCATTTCCAGGGTCTGCAGATTTTAGTGAGAATTTGGAGGAATTGGTTAAGGCTGTTCATGTTTTGGGTGCTTTGGAAAGTGATAAGGAAGTAGAAATGATTTTAAACTCGATATCATCGCTTATTGTTGTACTTACACCGGAAGCAGCTGAGAAAATAATCATTGAATTCTGTCATCAGTTAACTCCAGAAAATTTCAAGGGAACTGGATGGAATAGCAATGTAAGTTATTTGTCTGTTGGTTAATTCTTTTATTGCTATTCTAAGTCGATTTTATAGCAGTGAAATTGTTTGCATTACACATTCTTCGACTTGCGGTATCTCATTGTACTGCATTGATATTCACTGCTGTAGCTAGCAGATATAAATCCAAAGTCAAATTACAAATAAATGGTGTAGGAAATTTCTTTTGCAACTTTGAGGATAAGAATGAGAAATGAGAGATCAATCCGAAATCAGATTAAAAACCTGGTTTAAAAATGTCTTTTCAGTTCCTTCGAAATTGTGAAAGATGGAGTTTTTTTCTATCTTTATACTACGATGATTAAGCTGTTGGGATTGATGATTGGCTGGTTTCTTTTTGTAATTTTTGCTAGATTTTCAGGCGTCATCGGCTGTTCGGACCCTTTCAAATTTATTTTTTGCTTTTAATAAGCATCCACGAGTACAGCATTCTCTTTATATTGCGTTGGTAGCTTTGTGTGGAAGAGCACGAATCATTGGAGATCTGGATACAAGTACTGAGAAAGTGAATGAATATATTAGTCGTTGGTCTTTGGATCAGAAGCAGCAGCGCAGTCTTTTACGGTTGATTCATTGGGCTCTTATCCATGACGGAAGAGCCGATCAAGCAGCTAAAGTTAGTTCTCTATACGGAATTTTGAATCTCTATAACTAGGTCCTAACATATGCCGTGCTCAGAGTTTGATGAAGTATGCTTTTTTTCTCTCTGGCTGACAGTTACGAGTTTTTGGATCCACATTCTTTTGAGTGACTGATCATTGAGAATTATTACTGGTAGTACATTTTTCGCCATTTTAGACAATGACAGCTTTACTGAGAACATATACTGATGCAGATGCTGCATTTGCTATAGAAGATGCCCGTGAATGCGTGCGAACAGCAATAGTTGACCCGAAGTCCTTCAGTTTCGATCATCTTTTAAGGCTTTCTGCAGTGCAGTTATTGGAAAAAGTATAATATTTATTCAAGAAATCAGCCATTAGTAAAAATACGTGCATTAATTTAAGTATAAAAATGTGTTTATCAGTAAATGATTGGACTTAAGTATATATATATATATATATATATATATATATATATAGAAGGTGTGATTCATTTATTTTGACTTTATCTACCAGTAATATAATGAATAAGATAAATATGTTATTTAAATGACAAACCTCTGTTTATCTCTTATTATTTGATATGTTTCTAGAGTGATCCATTGATGCACGAAGTGCTAAAGCTATTTTCTGAAGGTACTTTGAAAGATTATCAAACCTTTATTATGAAACATCCAACTTTTATTAGTGAAAAGTTGCATGTTGATGATACAGTTCTGATCAAGAAGATGCGGTTACTAACGTTGATGGACATGGCCGAAAAAAAGACTGTAAGTTCCTAGTTATTCAGCAGAATAAAAACAAAATTTCATAATTATGTGTGCGACAATTATCCCACTCATTTTTTGTTTAGGATTCAAATTTTCTTGAATCAGGTGAAATCAATTTAGGCAATATAATAACATTTTGCTTTAAGGATTCGAAAGATTTAAATTGAGCATGTTAGGTTTTTTTTTTTTTTTTTTTTTTTTTCAGAGAAAATTTTTCAACCATGTTCGATGACAGATTATTTATAGGTCATATCTCTTCATGATTTATCACTTGAAGTTGATATACCGGAGAATGAAGAACTCGAAGAATTTATAATTGAAGCAATTAGAATAAATGCTATTACTGTACGTCTATTTATGCTTCCCTGAATGATGAAAATCTAATTACAAAGCGTTATATATTGTATGAAATTAAGGTTTTCTGTTACACCAGTGGATTTTTTTTTTTTTTTTTTACGTGATGTATTTATGTTTTAGGGCAAAATAAATGAGTTAAAAAACGAACTCAATGTAACATCGCTTCAACATCGAAGTTTTGGTCGTCCCCAGTGGGAACTTCTTCGAAAACGGCTTATTGCACTAATCGGTAGTTTGAGTATATCACACGAAAATATCAAGAATGTATTTGTTAATGGTGCCACCACATAATTTATATATGTTTATCCTTTTTCATTTGCATTTTTGTTGCATCTAACATTATATTAATACTCTAAGATTTGAAACGTGATCTTTTCATGCATTGTGTTGGTTAAAGTTTGTTTGAATTAACAAGCAAAGGATAGAGTAAATGGTGAGTGGAAATTTTTAACGCTGAATTTTCACAAGTAAAAAGTGAACTTTTGTTGATAAATTTGTTTTGGTATAACTTCAGTGTGTAATAAACTTCATGTGGGAATTGTTGTTTTAAATTTGCGTCAGCTTTTGCAAATTTACTTCTTTTATTTTGATGTTATTTGATTTCAGATCCTATATTTTTGGAAGGGTCTGCAGTTAAGTTTTGGCTTTTCTCTTTTTTTCGTTTTTGTTTTGTTGAACTGTTCTCATACATATTAAAAACTATGATTTTATCCTGTATTTAAGGTGTCTCTGCAAACATTGTTGAATGGATGTTGGTGGAGGCAGTACTGGATCTTCCCAGATGGAAACAATTGATAAAGAACAGGTGTTTGAGTGGATTTTGGATTTGAGTGATTCAAGTAAGCGAGAACAGGCACTTCTGGAACTGAGGTATTTTTCGCCAGTATTTTCTTTGACCTTGTGGTGGGCCTTAATTGGTCATAAATGTTAATATCTCTTTCTCTCCTCTTAGGTTGGTATAATTGCTTTATAACAATAAATGTTTTATGGTTTTTCAAAGCTTCTGACAGTATCTACTCGAAGAAAAGGTGATTTATGTAAAATGCAGCAAAAAGCGAGAAACGGTTCCTGACTTACCTTTATGGTTGTGGTATTCATTTGGCTCAATGGCTTCTCTGCTTCAAGAAGTAATCTCAATATATCCAGCAATCATGCCACCGACACTTACAGCAGGACAGTCGAATCGTGTATGTAATGCTCTAGCTTTGATGCAATGTGTTGCTTCACACAAGGAAACTAGAAGTCCATTTTTACAGGGTAATTTTTCAAATTTGAAAGGAATCTGTGATACTTTTTGGAATTTGATATTAATTTTTTAGTGCACTTTAGCTTAATTCCTTCGAATATATTTCCATGAAATATATATATATATATATATATATATATATATATCTTTTACTGATATTTTTATGGTACTATTTTAGTATAATTTACATTTGAAACAAATTATTAAGTACCATATCTTACAATAAGTAGTTATTTTTATTCTTGATGCGATAGAACGATGTAAAAATTTGAGATTTTCTGTGAAAATTTTCACAAAAGTCACTTTATTTACTAAATATAGCATTCATTCGTTACTAGTATTTTAGTTGGTAAGAAAAACTAATATTTCCGATAGGAATAAGCCAAAACAATCGATAAGCAACCGTCCAGTGAAAGAAGTCGATTTGTTTCCATAATTTACTTTTTGCAGCCCATATTCCATTGTTTCTGTATCCATTCTTGCACACAACAAAGACTTCGCGACCGTTCGAATATCTTCGTTTGACGTCTTTAGGTGTGATTGGTGCATTGGTGAAAACTGATGAACAGGTAATTGTAATAATAAACTCAAGAACCACTAAAGGTCTTTACTTATAATTGATGCGATCCTGACCAGTTTCTTTAAAACAATTTTTTGTAGGAAGTTATTCAGTTTCTGCTTTCAACAGAAATAATTCCTTTGTGTTTACGAATTATGGAAAATGGAACAGAATTGTCAAAAACAGTGGCTACTTTCATTTTGCAGAAAATATTACTTGATGATACTGGTTTGGCATACATTTGTCAAACTTATGAACGCTTTTCTCACGTTGCTATGATTTTGGTGAGTTCATAAATCTTTACTTCGTGTAATTGGCTCTCGTTTGTATCCTAAATAATTTTTTGGTGAGTTTGGCATAACTCTTTGACTTATTGTGATTTAATGGAAAGGTTCTTGATTCAATAGTCTTCATGGATAGCATATAAAGATACTTCTATTGTAGGGTAAAATGGTGTTGCATTTAGCCAAAGAACCGTCACAGCGACTTTTGAAGCATGTTGTTCGATGTTACAGTCGTCTTTCCGATAATCCGAGGCAACTATTTTCATTTCGTCGAATTTCAGTAATGAGAAGTAGTACACCCTTGATTGAGAACTTAGATTTGAGTTTCCCTTTGCAAGTGAAGAAAGTCATGTTTGGATTTCTATTCCCCAGCTTTTTGCTAGCAGGTAATGTTTTTCAGAGCGTTACAAGCATTACGGCAATGTTTACCGGATCAGCTAAGGGATGAAACTTTTACTCGAGTCCTTGCAGATGACAAATCGACCAAACACTGGTTGAAACAACTGCTGAAGAATATAGGTAAATGTAATTTATGCGCGTTGATTTTCTTATATCACAATACTGCTTACCAACAGCATTGATTTCTTATATCACAATACTCCTTTTAGAAATATAGAATGTTATACGTTATTTTTTTAGGTTTTTCTGTGAGTCCTTAAAAGAAACATTGAAGATTCTCAAGAATATTCAAGAGCGAGAAGTGTTGATGTTTTTGTACAAAGCAGATTTTTATAAGTTCACATATTGATCAATGATTTCTAATGCGTTGCTATTATTCGTGATCGAAAATGTGGACTTGTGAATGGTTTTATTACAAAATTACGTGGTTGTTTTTTTACAACTACTCAAACTTTTGTTTTGAAAGGTTAGAGCAAACACCGAACTTTTTTTATTGTTTGTTACTGTTTTACTTTTTTAATGGGCAAAACAGTGCTAAAAATAGTAAAGGGTCGCAACTGTAGATTCGCTTGCCTTACAACGACGTATAACATGAAGTTGAGACCTGGAATAATGCAGCGTCGTTTTGTTCAAAACTGCTAAGCTTCTAGTTTTGATATTTCATCTACGACTAGTTCCCGTTTAATAATGCATTTCGGTATTCGAAGATCGTTCTTGCTTGGATAAGCCACTAATAGTTCACCATTGTGCTGCCTGATCTAAAGTCTAATAATACATTTCAATATTGGAAGTAAAATGCTGCATTATGGTACTGAAAAATTTAGGCCAAATCTGTCAAAAATATGAAATGTTCATGTAAATGGTTTGAACTTTATTAGAAGTTAAATAAAAGGATCTACATACTTTAACTTGTTCGACAACCAAATTTGTCAGGCACCCCTGCATGATAATCTCTTTGATAAATGTATCCATTATTTTTAAGCAAATATTCTCTGTTACAGTGCTCGTAACTTCCACAAATATATCTTTCGTGTCCATATCAAGCTGCAATCAAACATTGTACAAAGAAGGAACTTTTCATTACTCTGTATTCGCATAGAAATTAAAAAACAATACGCCACCTTTGTCTCCTCGCAATTCGTCACAGGTGGCACGCTTATAACCAGGCCATTTGAATCCATCAAACACGGATAAAGGGAGAGCTTTTGAATGAGATACATGTATCTAGAAATCTGTATGTGTAAATACTTTTTTAAACTCAAAGCTTTCACAAAATATGCAACTGTAATAATGAGACCGCTCTAAATTTAGCTGATGGAAAAGTTTAAAAGCAAGAGAAGCTACCAACTTATGAGTGTTTGATACCACATTTCGTTTTTCTTTTTTTCGGACTAGTTCTGCTTCATTTGCCAAATTTGATGAGAGTTTTCTCCCAGAAATTTTTTTGTGTCGATGTAATGGTGTTATCTATAATAATATCAATTTTATCTGAAAAAATTCTTTTTTCGGAAGAAAATATGTATAACTTACCATCAATATATCAGGATCAACGGCTCCATAAACTAGGGGAACCCGAAGCTTGCGGAAGTTGTGTGTCCCGATGCTTGCAATAGTTCTTTCTTCACAAACAGATGAATGCAACTTATTCTAAAACAGAAATTGAATTGGAGAACGTCTTGGAAACTTCTCTCAATGTAAACAATGCAGTAGGACTTAAATTATGAATTTTGTAATAGGCGCGTAAATGAATACATGAATTCTTAATTATGGTGAGGAAATAGAATTACCTGAATATTCAATAACTGTTTTACTTTTTCTGCACTTAATGAGCAGTCCTTCAAAATGCAACAGACAATATAGGGACGAATTTCCAATGTTTCTTTCGTCCTCTCAACTAATACCTGAATAGTCAGAGTCTGAATAAAGAGCGTCCCACTAGTAATATTTTTTCCAACGACTCCAAAAACACATTTACTGAAATTGCTTACGTCACTCATTCCGTAATTAACAGTGATTATTGGAACAATTGGTACACATTCGTCTCTGTTAATACTGCTTTTAGCTGAGTTTGCTTTCGATTCTTTTCCGTCGTTGTTCTTTATCAATGCTTTTGATTTTTTCTTCAGGTAATCTATTAGCGCGAAGGTCTTATGCCTTGGATCCTCGATTAATTTTTTAAAACGATTATCCAAAAACCTGAAATTACCTTATTTAAAATCCGAAAATATGAAAAAAATTCCAGCTGAACCAAACATAAACGATAAGAATGTGTTACACAACAACATGTGCCTACTTGTTATTAGCGAGTTCTAGCGTTTTTATCTTTTTGCAATTACAGAACAAGAATGGAAGATCGACGATTTCGTTATTTGATAAATTTACGGTCTTCAAATTGTCATTCAATGAGTTCACTTCAGTAGGCAATTCCTTGATATAATTTGAATTAAGAATCAAAGTATGCAATTTCGATTGATTTGGGAACGAAGTTGGAAACTCAGTTAATTGATTATGGGATACATCAAGATGCTGTAGAGTAACAAGATTCGACATGTCCGGTAGCGATGAAATCTAGAACAAAAATATGCAAACTTGTAAATTACATGTTAAATGTATTTGCGTTATCGGAAAATTATTATAATAACCATTAGAAAACAGAAATTAAAAAAATCAAAAACACACAGCAAAGTTTCAAGTGTAAAATTATACAGTAGTACAAAAATATTTTTCAGCACGTGGAAATGAATATCCATATATATATATATATATATGTACCTTGTTATTCGCAAGCAAGAGCGTCGAGAGATGGGGTAAACAGCCAATTGCTGCTGGGAGTCGATCAAGTTTGTTTGTTGATAGATCAAGAAATTGTAATTCTTTCAAGTCACCGATATCCTTCGGAATATGTACTAAAGCATTACTATGCAATATAAGCTTTTTTAGCTTCGTTACCTTCCCCACACAAGTGTGCAACACGCTGAGCTCAAGTCGAGTAAGTTCAATATAGTTGAGTGGAGTATTCTAAAATGAAAAATAATCTAAATTAAATTAAACTGATTATAAATACATCTTTATCATACAATCACATTTTCTAAAAGCGTCATTTCATAGCTCAAGTGTGGAAATGCAACGATAAGACTAAAATACTTCCAACAGCACAAGAACAAAAAAGTTCTTTTTGGTTATGAGAACTTACTGGAGCGAAAATTTCGGCTTGCAACTGTTCATCATTGATGTCTGGATTTCGATCCCCAGCTGGAACAGAAGTCAAACTAAGTTCACATCGTCCCTCTAATATAACTCTTCTCAGTTCTGGCCATTCCAATAACGCTCCATTATTTGACATAGTACTATAAATGGATTTCAGTACTGTTTACACTCATGTCTGAGTGAAGTAGGACTATGAAAATAATAATTTGTATGATTTGGCATCAAGTAAATTTAAAGATATGCATGCCTATTCGGGAAAGATGGGAATACACTACTTTTCTAAGTTATGAAGCCAAGAACGCGTAAATATAAACTACAAATCCCTATTAAGAAATTCACGATCAATCAAATATCAGAAGTACTGCTCTAGAAAATTCGAAGCTTTAGAAGAATCATATAGTTTGAATATATATCTTATTGAATAATCTTAAGGTCACGTTATTGTCATAAAAAATGACAATAGTACAGTATCCGCAACGTACTTAAGCAAACCGAAAATAAGACATGAGAACCGATATTATGATCGACCGTGTTACCGATATTTAATCATAAATTTTTGCCTAATCTCCAAATGAAAGCTGTTTCTTCATCCAGCCAACCAGAGAAGGGATTCTTAGGCCAAGTAGCTTCCCTCTTAGCCAGAACAGGCTACCGGGCTTTCTGTAAGCGTAAATGATAAGTTGTTCCATCATCCTGAATAGAACCGAGTACCGAGTACGAAGAGACACGATTATTTAAGAGAAGCAAAGAAAGAGAGAAATTGGGGGAGAGGAACATACGGTGTGGGGGAGAAAAGATTGAAAGGAAAAGATTAGCAGTAAGAAAAGGGCGCAAAAGGTCAATTTGTTTCCCGCATTGGCGGTCTTTTCTTTTGGGATAACAGTCTGAGAGTAGTCTTGTGCTAGGTGTACAATTATTGTACTATTTCTATACGAAAAGTTTGCCATGCTAAATTTTTTAAGTTTATTTAAATGTAATATTTTCATTTCTTTGCTAAGAGAATCTCAGAAATAAGCGTAATAGTTTTTCTTTTTTTATGTGAAAAGTAAAAATCATTCTTTTTTATTAAAATCACTTAATTCAGTGATCTTCAAGTTTCAGGAAAAAGGAGAGCGCTTTTTTAAGTATATGTCTAGGTTTGATATTGACTAAGTAGATCATCGCTTGCTTGATTAACGAATGTGCTAATAGTTATACAGATTAAAATTTAAAGAAATTGGAGTCCATAACATTAAATAATAAATCTACACTTGAATAGCACAAGTTTTGTCATTTTTATTAGCTGTCACCACTTAGGATTGGCGCTGATTCTGTTAGTTTGATGACAGCAGAAGGACCAATCGAAAGAAGATATTGATATACCTGGTCATATAAATTTCGGGCCTTGTATTGGGTTTAGTAAATCTCTAAGTTTAAGACTATGACCCAAAATGAATCTCAAAATTATGATTGCATGAATTCGAAAAGTAGTACTTACCGATCAGCGATGATTATCTGAATGCATAAGCTTAAATAAGGTAGCAGTCAAACCATTCGCAAATCTTTTCAGCAATCAGTACTGCTTTGTTTGCGATTGCATTATCACGAGGAACTGCGAGTGAAGTGTGAAGAAAGTTAGAATTAATTAGTGGAAGAACAAAAAGAAACTAAATGAAAGGGAGACTAGTTGTAAGGAAAGTCATCTAATGTAACAAATCAGTTAATTAGATGCTGCATTGAAACAATTATTTAAAACAATACTGATTTATGCGGATGCTGTAATTAAGGCAAACATTTTTTCCAAATCTACTGCCACGAATGAAATTTTGCTATCATCACTTAACTGTTAAACTCGATCAAAAATAAAGACCGACAATTTAATTAGGCTCATATTCCTTCGGCTTCCTCCACCCACATAACGTTATCTCTATATGTCTACATTTAAAACTGGTTGGAAAAGTTTTATGATATAATTGTGAAACATTCAAAATTTTGAAAAGTTGAAACAATTATTAAACCATTTTTCCTACTGAGCATCAATTATTGTTGAAGCTTAGCTCCATAAAATGTCCGCAACTTTGATCATTCCTGCTTACTTCGAATCATCCTACCCATTTTCACACTCCGTATTTTAATAGCAGCGAAGTATTTCTGCCAAATTTTGAGGAAAGGATTTCAGAAATGAGAAGTAGCACTATTTTTGCAGTAAAGTACTCGAAATGGAGCAATTATTCAATGGACCAAATTTCATAAAATTTCCAAATTCCACTTCCACTGTTTTATTGGAGGTAAACTATGCGAAGGATATCAAGTTAAAAAGTGTTCATTTAGAGTATTAATTTCTGAAATCCCTTTGAAATTCTATAGATCCTTTGCCAGAATACCTCCAAATGATTATTTTAAGCAGATCTCAGCCTCTTCCTTATCAATCAATCACTGCCTTATATAAAATGCAATATGATTTCACTTTCTGATTTGAAATTATTGCAACGATTTAGTATCATTTCACTGAACCTATATTTCAATTTCTCAAAATAAAGAAAAGTTTTTGAAAAATCAAAAATTTCGGTAATATTTTCGGCAAATTTGAATTTTTAATACAGTTAGTAAAATTAATGTGTTATTACTATGAATTTGATTAAAGTTTCAGTCCTTCTCGACATTGAATGACATTAATGTGATAATCTTTTGTATTTCAAGTCCTATTTTTATAATGATCCATTTTTTGATGTTTAGGTAACTGGAATTAAATATATTTTACGCTTCTGGAAATTCTATTACATTCAAATGCACAATTAGATAATCCATTCAGCTATATGACGACATGACCTTTGAAAACATGATTTCTTGATGATGATTGAAATGACGTTGGTTTTAATGAGGGCCTGCTGTTGTTCAATAACCTATTTTAACATTTCTGCAATTATCACAGGAGAGATGCCATAGACACTTTTTCGGACTTACTTTTCTTCCTCATTTTCTTCAATTATTAGTTTTTTTGATGCTTTATATTCATTAACTTCTCATTTTCCAGTTATTTAAAATAATGATGCACTTTGCAGAGTTGGAGTCAACACTAATAAGGATTGATGGATTTTGTGCAAATTACTAAATTCATAATATGTTTCCTCGTGAAAACAGGTGAAAAGTTGCATTTTCGAATTATTATAACTTCTTTTGAAGAGTTCCTGTCGCTATAGAAATCAGTATATTATGTACAGTATGGAAGATTTCAAAATTTTTTACCTTTGAAAGTGACAGATATTATGTTCTGCTTAGAAACTAATTTTTAGTATGTGCGCAGCTTGCAGCAATTTTTTCTGAAGTAACACAAAGTAGTGACTGTTCGAACTGGAGCACATGGGGACCATGCATTTGGCCCGATATGGAATTCAATGTTCGTTTTACCAATCAGTTCAGCCTCCTTTGTATTTCAATTTCATGGGTTTCAGATTTCAAAACATTTAATTTATTTAGCCTTCAAGATTTAAAAAAAAAGTTAAAACTTCTAAAAAGCAAAAAAAGCAAAAAAAAAAAAAAATAAAAAGTCTGACGATAGAAATTTGCTAATATACACCATAAATAATGTTCTCTCATTTTGTTCTATTAACTACAAAGTTATATTAATTTCTAGCATAAATTGATGTCAAAAATCAAACCTACAAATTTCTCGACTAAAAATCAACTGGTTGTAGACGACATATATGAACCAGATATCACCTATTTGTCAACAACACTGGTTCTACAAACTTATAAATCAACGATACGGGAAAGCATTGCAGAGCTTTTACTCCTACATGGGTTCTGTTCTCATTAATAAGAGGGCATGCGGAATGTGTTCATACAAACAAAGTTGTGGATACGGTGGCGCTAAGAAATGCAACCTTAGTCCATTCGAGTTGGTCCTTATTTTCACCTCAAATAGCACTCAAAAACTAACTCTAAATTACTAAGATATCTACCATCCTCTGTTAAAATAAATGATATGCATCATTCTTTCAACATTATCATTTTATTACACATTTCATTACTATCAAGTAATACTATTAGTATCACCCCAGTTATACTGTATCCATTGTTCTCATCTCCTGTTTTCATCGCCATCAAAATTACTATCATAACACAAGTCGATGTTACAGGAATTAATGAATTTTAGCATTGTAACGATTACCGGTATTACTGATAATTGAACAAGATCAAAAAACAATCGAAGTAATATTAAGTCAATTACTACTTAACAATATAATTTCATATTTTCAGGATACGCGGTGGACGTTCGTTTATCCCATTTTATGTATCCGAAAAGATCTGTAGGCAAAAGGATCTTTTAGGCGTGGATCAAATGGATAGTTGTCAAGTAGATTACAATAAACTGTCGGTAAATTTTAAGATCCATAAGAATCGAAAATGAAAAATGCAGGTCTTATAACAGAGACTCTTGTTTAAATATAACACGTATATAACAACCTAATTTCAGCTTAATGGCGAAGAATGCAAATTGTGGCCAACTAATGAGGTAGACCTCAATCAGGTTGAACCAGTTTTCCAAAAAGAAATACGTTCACTGAAGTGGTACGAGTGTATTGTGCAAAAGAAGCAAGTTTATTGTTTTCTCCTAAATTTATTTTTCGTTTAAGAACAAATTTAAAATGACTAAATAGTTCATAGTTCCCGGCGATATGGCACAAATAACACATATCAACGAAAAATGTTAGCGATAACCGCACCGGTAATTTTGTGAAAAAGCTAACTAATGTTTAAACTAACTGCATATCAGTATGCAGTTAGTTCATATTCTATACATTTTATACATAACTGTATAAATTACATACATATCTGCAATTGCAGAATAAATAGAGTGAAAAAACGCAAACATGAGAAAGTGTGTCGATGTTGTTGTTTTCCGTTCCGGCCGAATCCTAAAACTTATCGATGTGAGCATATTCCGAACGCTCCAGTGGCACCAGGACTGGAAATTAAATAAAAGTTCATTATACTTATCATGGCATCATAAATAAAAGTGAAATGTAGTACCAGTGTGAACGAACGTTAATAAAATGTATCGTTAATAAAAAACAGTGTCTAAAACTCTCTGAAACATAGAGTACGAATCAGAAATTGTCTGACAAAGAAATAAGAAAATATAGAAGCGAAAAAAAGCATTAAGTAACGGTTGACTAGCTTAAATTTAAAACTGGTTTTCGGAATATGATTAACTTTGAAAATCGAATAACGTCAAGATTTATCATTAATGGTCCCAAAATACCAAACAATAGCAGCTATTGAATAGAAAATAGAATATAACCACAATTTCTCGGGAAATAAATAATTTAAGGTGCATTCCACACCTTATAAAATCTTAGTTTGACTTTAAAATTTGTTTAGAAATTTGTCACATAGAAGAAACATTCATTAGTCTTCCCTCTTCCTCTTTAGTTTGAGCGAATCTGAAATTATTGACAAAATGAGTTAATATTCAGAAAATAGTCGAGAAACCTTACCATTACTGAAAGTATTTAAATTTCTCACTCTGATAACTTCGTTATCTATACCAAATTCGCAAGTTGCATTTTGCTTTAATGTTTTGTGAGAGTTAGCCAACGTGATAACTTCACTTATCATGCTATCAGTATCTATCGATAATTTGAACGAACTACTGAACTACTGTACGAGTAAGACCTAGAAAGGCAAACAAGCTTTGTTTAGTTTCGGCTTACTGTACAGAACAGGTTGAATTTCTTATTTATAGAATCAGCTCAAAAAATGACCAGCTAAGAAAAAAGACCAACTATAAGTCAATAAAATCACCCCGAAAACTCAGACAGTATACCTGAAGTACATTGATAATTTTTTAGCAAAATCTTTGCTGCGTTTGTCTGTGCTATTTGGATAAGCACGTACAGGTCTTAACAAGCTAAAAGCATCTTCCATTTCAGAAACAGAACAATGGCCTGAGTAAAACAGACGGCAAAACCGATTATTTTCATATCCCAACACACTGAAATTGAATAGACTAATAATTTGCGGATAAATTTACATATTTTAATAATTTGCATCTATAATCTACAGTTTGCAACATTTAGATTTCATAGATTAAGGAATTTATTTTTGAGTCTTCAAGATATTCATCTAACTTTTTTTTATTTCTTCTCAAAAACCAAATTGCTGAGGGCTTTATTACTCGTACATTGTTGTGATCTGGACGACAGAGCCAACAAGTTGACATCTGAAAGTTCTGAGAACATCATCTTTTACAATAAATTATCCATTGATAAAATCCATTTTTTTTTTCACCGTTTGTTTGAAGCTAACGTCATTCTTTTTCTTCGCCACCACATTTTGTTTATTCTCAAAGAAAACTTCTTCCGTTACAGTTGGTTTTGCTGTACATGCATGTACACGAGTGTTCCGTGCAATCGGTGTTATACACTCAGCAAGAAAATCAATTTCTGTAATATCAAGAACTCGGTGACTCACAAAAATATCGAGAATTTTGGTGCAAGTCCTTCAAAAGAGTGAAAATTTCGAAAGTGTTTAAAAAAGTATACTTGAATAGATACGATATTTCATCATGGTTACATGACATTTAATATGAAGCTCATCCCAAATCGCTTTTAATAAAAGCTCGTGGCCAAACCTACCTGAAATTAGTGTCATGCAGTGATCATATGATACATATTTGTTTAATACCCCTCAAACTACGTAATGAAAGACAAGAAAAGCAAAATTTCAGGTAACTTTACTCACCGCACCATATTAAAACCTTATTGTCCGAATCTTTTTCCAGCCATCCCTTCACCATCTTAACACACAATGCACAACTTTGTTTCAAAGATGGTATATTTTCTGCTCCTTTTCGACAGAATGTACTATCAAAATATAGTGCATCAAGACGTTTAAAACCAGAACTGAAAAGTAAGATTAGAAATAATCAAAGGATTTTGAGAATTTTTTACATGACAATTTCATACAGCAAACAGCTATTCAGGACTAAAAATTCCACCTGGCATATGGGTCTTTGAGCATGTCGCAAGCAATCCAATCATCTTTTGACAAGCGATAATCTCCTGTATAGAGCAGTCTGAAGCCACCATGGAATTCAAACAGAATCCTAAGCAGAATAAAAGGTACGAAATGAAGAATCATGATGCAAAAATCGAATACATTTCTAATGTTAACATAAATTATTAGCAGCTTAAAAACTTACATGATAGAACCTGGAATGTGTTGGGCATCCAAAAATGTAACATCAGCAGATGACGATGGAAGCAGTGATTCGCGTTCTTCGTTATCACAAATGGCAGTAACCGTGAATTTCTCATTATAATTTTTAGGCACAATGTGTTCCTGATTTTTTTTTTTTTTTTTTTTTTGATAAATATGAATTACGAGAAATGCATAATTGGTGACTTTCATTTGACCTTTAATTTAAAAATTAAATTCCCTGTTACATGCAAATCTAACGGTTTTTTGATAAAGTGCTTGCTAAGAATCAAATTTTTTTTACTAGCAGTCTTGCATGGTGAAGCTCTGAACCAAGAAAGATCTTCGATATTTTATGACAATAAAGCACAGCAAATTTCCCTTTTATTAATTCGTAAAACTGGTCGCCATCTAAGCCCTGCATGTGGTCTGAAAAATATCAAATATATATATAAAGTAAACGTTCACCTCTAAGACTAGCAACAGAAAGTCAAAATCTATATCATGGAAAATTTCGCTAATGACTATTCAACATGTTGTATTGAAAAAAAAGGAAAAAATATCAGCTTTAAGTTAGGATATGTTTGGAATGATGGGAAGAGGTGGAAAAAGGAGTCAGATGATGAAAAAAATGATTCAAGTACTGGAAATAATTGAGGAAGTTTGACTTTTGTTGTTAAATTGAGTTCGAAAATGGTCATTTCGCTGACACTTAGATAAAAAGAATCAAAAAGATTCATTAAGAAGCGACAGCAATCATAAAAAGAATGAAACAAACCACTATGACAATGAGATAGGAAAAATGCGGAAGACTTGAGATTATTGGAGTGGAACTGATCAACCGATATCCAATTACACTCATTGAATCGACCACAGAATGCATTCATTTCGCATCTGAAACTATAGATCTTTTTCAGTTGCAATCATTCAGATGAGTACTACTAAAAGAGATATGAAAGAAGTAGCAAACACATTGCCCATAAATTTTCATAGAGATCTTTATAAAAGATTGGGTGGCACCGTAGCCGTCTGCACGAAGTTTAACCATTAGGTGTGGAAATTTCTTCGAGCCGAGTAGGGTAAGGTGAGGGGAGGGGGATTTGTTGGCACATTGTGTGCCTTTGTGATGTTGTGGCCAGCAATTTTGTGGACTGTTGGTTGGGCTCTATCTCTCACGCTTGAAATACATGTGCAATCTAGCAGTAATTGCATTTAGATTAGTAGTAATGGCTGGCAGACGCGATTGTCGTGTGTTTGTAGGCAATTTGCCAAGCGACGTGAAACAACGAGATCTGGAAGATATTTTCTACAAGTACGGACGCATCAATTTTATCGATATAAAGTTTACAAGAGATGTACCTTTCGCATTTATTGAATTTGATGATCCCAGGTAGTAACTTTTCCGTTGATGTGGTATAAACCTAGAATAGCTCAACAGTAACGCTGAATAACTCATTTCATAACTTATTTTTTCCACTAATTTACTTCAAACTTTGAATTTCCTTTAGTGGAACTTACTTGAAGTTTTTGTACGGCCTTATGGTTCGTTTCAGCATTACTGCATATTAATTCACTAGAATTACGAAGTTTGGAAAATTGGAAGATTGCAGAGATGCTCGAGATGCTGTTCACGGTCGAGATGGATATGACTTTGACGGGTGTCGGATCCGAGTTGAATTAACTCGAGGAGTTGGTCCGCGTGGGCCAGGTGGTCGGCCGTTGTATGGACCGGATTCGCGGTCGCCTCGACGTGGCCCGCCCCCTCGACGAAGTGGATATCGTGTCATAGTTTCAGGCCTTCCCGACACCGGCTCGTGGCAGGATCTTAAAGTGAAACTTTCTTATTATATAATCAGTGGAAATTGAGTGCTTTCCTTATTTTTTATACCAAATCGTTCCATGAGAATATATTTCAATTGTCTTTAGAGTGACGAATTTTAGGACCATATGCGTGATGCTGGTGAAATATGCTATGCAGATGTTTTTCGAGATGGCACTGGTGTTGTCGAATACACAAATTACGAAGACATGAAATATGCCCTTCGGAAACTGGATGATACAAAATTCAAATCGCATGAGGTAATGGTACAAAGTAATGTATGGTTCTCCACTTCGAAATAAATTTCGCATGTTATCTTTGAAAGACAAAAGTAGTTTCAGGGTGAAGTAACGTATATTAGAGTAAAGGAAGCGAATATTAACAGTCCGAATCGTTCGCGTTCTCGCTCACATACACCACGCAAAACGCGCTCATCACCGAAATACAGTCCTACACGCTCAGCATCAAGAAGTCGTTCACGTTCTTCGCGCTCTCGTTCTCACACTCGTACATCATTTGTTCGACGTTCTACATCTCCAGTGCATTCATCAAATTCACGGTCTCCTTCCAAAACGAGGTCAAAAACTCGCTCTCGCTCTGGATCACGTTACTGACCAGTAGCGGTGCCAACTGTACATCTGCACTGGAGTATGCATTGTTTAAACTTGTTTGCGACTTCGTTTGTTTCACTTAATGATGGCAAGTTATAATTCTCAGCGGAGGCAGCTTATGCTGACATGTATGCTGTTTGTTTTGAGCACACAATTCATAAAAATTTGTTGTCATTTCGTTTGCTGGTTTAGTTCTTGAATTCTGCTAGTTTGTTTGTAACCTTCATGAACTCTTATACTGTTCATATTTCAGAAAAAAGCTTATTATTTTTATTCCTTCGTTATTAAAGTATGTGTTTTAGCGTGTTGCACAAACTACCAGTCTGTTGTGGTGCAGTAGGTTGTTTGGATTGTTTTCCGGAAGAAGCTTACTTTCAAGAACATCTATTTGATTGCTTTGCTGTTTTGCAAATTGACAATAAAATTGGTTTCATCAGTTGATTTCCTTCTCTATTGTTAAAATGTAATAAATACTCGACTTTTTCAAATTTCAGTGACGAGGAACCTATAATCCGTAAACGAGCCGAATTTTCGACATAAAGTCTTTGTATTTAATAATCGCTCAAGATTCGAAGTGAGAAACCAAGTATTCGATTTCGAATCGCTGACAATTCGATTCGATGAATAAGTAATTTGGGTTCAGTTACCGAGTCGATTATATCGATTTGGAAGCGAACCACTTTCGATTATATTAGAGGTTCATATATGTAAATAGGATTTGATTTTATTTTGAGTTCATGGTTTCGAAATATAGCTGAATTGGTGAAAGCTACATGAAATTATGGTCATCCTAACTACAGTGTGCAGATATTCTGACAGTAGTTTTAGTGCATTTGCCCTTTTGTTATGGAGTAAATGAATAGAAGCTAGTGTCATTTACAGAACTGACTAATATTGCTGATACCTGTTGTGAGGTGATGGTATACAATTTAGGATCCATTGATCTCCATGCAGTACTTTAAATCTTAAATATGAATTCAGTTGAATAGTGTCGATAAATTAAGTGCTGTTATACTCAGATATACAGGACTACAGAAAGGAAAATAGATTTTTAAGAAAATTGCATTAGCTATGTGAACAGCATCAATGGAATTGTCTTTTATGAGGAGATTGCTTCTATTTCCAGTACCATCTGTTTGATTGGGTGGAATTTTATTGTCAGGCTGGACAGTAAAATGGTTAAGCAGGATCTTGATTTTTGCAGTTAGAATAGATTTAGTTATTACGCAGGCTCATTTGCTGAAATGATTTTCCTTTCCCGTATTCCATTTTGACTTTTCTTCGTTTCCTGTGTTTCTTTGTCCGAAATTAGGAAATTCTTTCATCGCTCACATGAAGTTAGTCCTTTAACTCATTTGTTTTAAAGGCAAATTTGTTAGATTTATGCTGACGAAATTGTTTTGGTCACTAGAAATCGCTTGTTGGCATTCTGTATAATATAAATTTCTGCTAAACGACAAAATTCATATAATAAGAAATCGTGCCACTATTACGTGGTGGTGTGGTGCTGGTATGTTGGAGGTATTGCGCTGTTATTTTTGATTTCGCCGTGAATTTTAAATTCCCTGTTCTAGTAATTGGCGTTGGGTATCGATTGGGATGGGAAGTGTGTGCTGTTGTGCGTAGCGCGTGTGTGTGTGTATATGCGCTGAAGGTGTGAGTCCAAACTAAGTGGTGTTGGTTGGTTTGGTACTATTCCCAGTAGAGAGGAGTGCGATTGGACCTGTTTTTTTTTTTTATTTTTCATTGTATTATATGAGTACTGTCCCGTGTCTGTGTATTTCGCGTCGCGTTGCTTGGATACGTAAATCAAAAGCAGTGTACATAGTCCTTCTGTGTTTTCTTGAATATACTGTTGCAGATAAGACAAAAAACATGGCTGGTCGTCGTGATTGTCGTGTGTATATTGGCAATCTTCCACCTGATATTAGACAGCGTGATTTGGAAGACTTGTTTTACAAATATGGACATATCAATTTCATTGATGTTAAGCTAACACGTGGAGCACCGTTTGCATTTATCGAATTTGACGACCCACGGTTTGTTTTTTTACCATTTTACGTTGCTGTACTGCAGAATGCTGCAGTGATAATACTATCTATGTTGGTGTTATCTTTTTCGAATTTTTCTCGGTGTAGTGACGCTCGTGACGCCATTCGTGGACGTGATGGCTATGAGTTGGATGGATGCCGGATCAGAGTTGAAATGACTCGCGGAGTTGGTCCTCGTGGTCCAGGGGGTCGCCCACTTTATGGTCCAGATCGTGGGGAACGTGATCGAAGACCACCACCTCCTCGAGGTCCTCCACGTCGCAGTGGGTATCGTGTTTTGGTAACTGGACTTCCAGTAACAGGATCTTGGCAAGATCTGAAGGTAATTTTTTGTGCATAAAAATTAAATATGTATTTCCAAATAGAGATGATTACTTGCTACTATTAAGGATCATATGCGTGAGGCTGGTGACATTTGTTATGCAGACGTTTTCAAAGATGGAACTGGTGTTGTTGAATACACCAGACAAGATGACATGAAGTATGCAATCAAAAAGCTTGATGACACGAAGTTCAAGTCTCATGAGGTCAGTCTTGTAAGCATTTGTGAAAGATATTATTAAGCTTCAACTTTTATGAATTAAATTCATTTGGTTTGTCATTACTATGAACTTAAATATTATCATTAAGACGTTTCTATATGTGAATACGGACGTAGCATATTACAGGGTGAAACATCTTACATTCGGGTGAAGGAGGCAGCAATCGATGATCGTTACAGGTCACGTTCACGATCTCCTCGTGGTTCTCCGAAATACAGCCCGAAGTCGGCTTCTCGTTCGCGATCTCGTTCGCCGATACATTCCGCATCACCTGCGCGATCCTCTCGCTCACGTTCACAATAAAGATGTATGGATCACCGAAGATTTTTTATCGTTGTTGTTTGGGAATTTCGGTTATTGTTGCCTTTTCAGCAATCATTTTTATTGCACTCTTTGAAAGTTTCAAACGACTCTTCCAAATTTTGAAGGGATGATCTCTTCTGCTAGTGACTCTTGCCGAGATAACAGTATAAGCTTGTAAGCCTAAATTTTCAGTGTCAGGCAGAAGAGCTTGAAAATACAGGATTAATGTGATGCTTTAGTGTGTTTGATATAGTAACAGCCACTTATTGCTTTAAGGTATGGTCAGAGTGTATATGAGAGTGTCGTGATTGTCTTTGAAAAAGAGAAAATCTTTTTTGCTGCAACACATTGATTTTTCGTTGGATTGTTTACAGTAATCTCATTATTACGCGTATTCATTTATTCAAGACCAGAGTTTTTTTTTTTTTTTTTTTTTTCAGTAATGCAATGTTTATGAATTCAGCATGCTTGTTATTCATTTTAGCGTTGAGATGCGTCCGAATTTAATAAATTTTTGTATTTCCTCTTTATTACATTATTCGTACCATCCATTTTCTGGCAGTGATTCTATTTTTGTTTTTTCAGTGACGCCTCAGCAAACACTGTTTATGTGAGGATATTGATAGGGATAATCAACGACCACTACATTCTATTCAACCAAACAACAGAATGTGTTTAATGCGACGCCAAATTTACGCCTCTGTCAAACAAATCATTTCTGGGACTTTATATCAAAAAACAATGTGGAGGGAACGGCCTCGATTAGTACACCAACGAGTGCATCGACTTCTCCCGAATCCCCGATCCCGGATTTGTTGGCAGTGTTTGTGCAACGCACCACGGGAATGTTTGGCAGCGAAACGATAGGCTCTCGGCTCGAGTCTTCTCGAAACGATTTGTGGGCCCCGATAAGTTTTATTGACACTTGGAGGTTGACATGGGTTGGGTGATGTGGAAATTTTTGGAATTAGGTTTGTCCGAAACCAACACTAACTAGCATTTAGATCCAAGGGTAGGTTGCAAGTGTGTTAAGTGCTGCTGTAGACAGTGTATTTAACGCTGATGTGTTCACTATGAGTTGACAGTTTTTTTTTTTTTTTTTTTTGGAGGAGTGGGAGGGGAAGGGAGCGTTTTTCAGGCAATGATGTATGGATTTTGCATGACCAGATATCCAGATATGATGTGCACGAGCAGCAGGTGAAGCATTTGGATTTATCATTTTCGTAAACATTTCCAAATGCCCCTTTATTCCGAATTTGATCTAATCTGCATAAAATACGTTGGTTAAGCCAAACGCGTTCGCTAGTTTTACTATAAGCATAAAGCTTTACTTCATTTGTTCCGACTAAAGCTATTTGGTGATGTAAATTATCTGCTGAACTTGTTGGTTTTAATCGGTCTTTCTGCATCAATGACAGGAGAGATGAGTAGAACACATATTTGCTTGCACACAGTGTTTTGAAAATGCCATGAAAAGAATTACTCATGCCTGTGCGTGTTTTTCGAATGGAGGTTTGTGGGTTTAGGTTTCACGGAGCTTATTTTGGGTTAGGAATTTATTAGAGGGACTTCAAACAATTTCGAGGATGAATGTGGTAGAGCTTATTATAAGGGTATTTTGTTGGAGCTTGATTTCGCTTATCGGCATTAGTAACAATGTCTGTGACGACGGCGTAATGCTAGCTCAATGGATTGGTGACCTGAAGCTGTATTCTTTTTAAAGAATGGTGTTAGAATCCTGCTGTTGACACTGTATTATATTCATTAGGATTCTTGACATAGAATTTGTTATGAAGTGAATTAATTAGCCAAAGGATGGGACTTCGCGGTATTATTCGTATTTATGCTCACGGCGAACGGTTGATTTTTTTTTTTTTTGATAAGGTCGTTGATATTATGGTACTTACCTGTCTACCTGTCTAGTGAAAATTATTCATTTACTGACTTTTGTAGTGCAATTCTCTTCATCAGTAGGCTGTTGCTGTTGGGTTTTGCCTTTATTATATGGAAGTCGTCATTGGTGCATCATTGTCTACTACTTAATTTCAAGGTCTGAAACAAAATTTTTACGGACGAAGGATCATAACAGGCCATTTGCTTGGAGCATGGCTAAATATCCGGGAGAAATATAGCAAATCAATTAATAATAGGAATACTCCACCGAAATCGCCCTTACAAATCAATGAAAAACACAATTATAAATGTTTGGTGGTGAAGAATTTTGTTTTTCTAAGCAGACTGCTGGAAGACTTTATCAAGATTAGTGAGAGTATTCCATAGCATTATATCATTTCAAAAAAAAGCATTTTTGTACAAAAGAAAAATTGCATAAGTGGGATTCATAAATCAATTTTGTTTTATGGTATTCTGTTTCCATTTAAGCTTTTGTTCTGTAATCCTCCGTGTATCATTTGAAATGATTGAAATAAATGGTCATATTGTTCGAAGTATTGTTGACTTCAGACAAAAGTAATCCAGAAGAGAACAATACATTTGAGGCGTCATTCGACAACACGCAGAAAATTTTCATCGAAGTTACAGACGCCCTTAACCACGTCATTCTCATCAAAACGTGTCCCTTATCCGAAAGAGATTACGAGTTATTTGGATCAGTTCGTCGTTGGACAAGAGTATGCCAAGAAGATTCTTGCTGTCGGTGTCTACCAGCATTATAAACGTTTCTCGTATAATGCTATTCTTAAAGAGAAAGGATCTCAGGCATTTCAGTTTTTTTATCGGGACAAAGATTGTTGCAACTTATGGACATAACTGCGTTTGCATACTGCGCATTTGTAATTTAGTTCAGCTGTAATGGGGCACTTAGCGAATGACATGCTTTTGACTTTAGTGATACCCCTTCCTAATTGGTGAGGAATAACCGTCACTTTTTATAGAAATAGGAGGTGCATATTGGAACATGAAGAAAAATAGGTGTAAAAAAAGTGTTTCTGGGAAACTCGTTTAACTTTCATTACTTATTTCCTCATCAATCTCGTAACTTTCATCACTGCAAATGAAATGCTTCCAATTTAATGTACCAGTTAGTTAAATTTTACAACTACAAATTAAACTCGTCATTAGCTTGGTAACCGATCTCGTAGTAGTCCTTGTAGAACACTTAGTAAGTTCAGAATAAATTTTTCAAATATTTGCTTCCTGATGATTTTAGATCCAACCATTCCCTATACATGTGACCAAGAAAGAAATTCCTGGTCTTTCGTTAGTCGATGAGAGCGTCATTTTGAGGAAAATTTTGCAGAAAAGGTGAATATTTTAATCTTTCTCGATTGCTCACTCAAAAAGTGAGTTTTAAGCTATATTCATAGTGAATCGAACTATAAGAGTGTTACCTTCATAACTCTAAATCATCTAGCACGGTCGAGGATGTGATTCCGGATGATTATGCACATAATCGGAAACCGTAAAGTTAACCTCTTCTGATGATGGATATACGTGTTCTCATCCAAAATGAGCAAAACATATGTAGTACATGATTTTTTGTTTTAAGAGAAACACTGATTTACTATGAATAGTTTACACCTCGAATATGACTACCCACAATGTCAACTACGATCACAGTTCGTTGTCATTCGTATGGCTCCATTTTAAGCATCATGAAATTCTATTTGAGATTAGGAAAAAAAGTGCGAGATTAGAAAGAAATTAGAAAAAAAATGTGAGAAGTGATAAGTGAGTACAAAATGTTAAAAGGGTTTTTGTACTGCTTGATCATTGACCCTTCCAATGCTTTTTTTTTTTTGAATATGACACTTCTTTCTACTTTCATTGACAATACTTTTCGAAATTTATTGATTTTACTTCAAATTTTTGTAAAACTTATTTCAGAATTAATATAAAAACTGAAAAACTGTTTTAGATTTATTTGACTTTTTGTTTTTGAAATTTGAAACACAGAAGCAAGTAAACTTCCACCGAGGAAAAATTATTTCAGTAATGGAATAAGTAAACCTCACGGTACGATTAGTTTCAATAAGAAGTCAATTCGAGCTTTAATGGAGATGGATAAGGTAGTTTAATTTTTGTACTTTTATTAATTAATGGTGCGTTTTCCGTAAGAAAATTAAGTATCCTTTTATCACTTTCATTTAGCCGCTGCGCTCGCTTTTGACCATTTCACTAGGACTTTTCTTTCGCATTAATTAAATATAGAAATTTTTTGAAAATTAGTTAACTAAATAAACAAGATGATACCGGTTCTACAATTTGTCTATGAATGGAAAAACGAAGTATAAGAAAATATGAAATTTAAATTAGTTTAGTTATCTTGCAACATTCATTCATCTCATTTTCCAGGATAATGATTTGGGTAAATCAAATATACTTCTGATGGGACCATCTGGTGTTGGAAAAACTTACTTAACACAAATACTGGCCGAAATATTAGATGTACCAATAGCAATGTGCGACTGCACATTACTAACACAATCTGGCTATGTTGGGGATGACGTTGATACGGTTGGTTCTTGATAGTTTAAATAATTATGGCATTCAGTCCATCAAAATCTCTCCTTTTCATACAGCGCAGGTTGCTTTTTACAAACTGTTATGGATGAGAGAGCATCAAGTAAATCTTCATTTTGTGGAGCCAGGATGATGTCACACTACCAGATTCCCATGTCTGAAGACTCTCCATGCCACACGTGATGTATTTTGCCACCTCGGTAGATCTATTACATCGAGTAATCAAGTGTTCCTATCTCACATTTTAACCATTATAATTAGCTTCATCAAATCTAATTGCTATGAATATTCCTAATGGCATGACACCGTGTATCTATCCTTGGTAATCTTTTTTAGCATCAATTCTATACATTATCTATTTTCGTATTTGTGTTGAGAACTAAATACCGAATTAATTACAGGTCATCCAGAAACTTCTTGCTAATGCAGATGGTGACATTGATGCGACACAGGTTGGAAGAGTGATATTTTGCTATTTGTTAATTTGAATGTTTAACACAGAAAGCTTACTTCGTCACAGATTCTCCTTATACGTTTTCAAAATCGTCGTGAGGAATTAGGATTTGCTTCTAACTAAGTTCTTAACTAAAGGTTTACTAGAGAATCGATTAATGAAGTTATTTCTTCATTAATTTGGTTTTCGTTACCTTCTACCTTCTAGATTTGTGGGAGAAAGTCCAATAATCGAATGTAACATGTTGTTTCATAATCTAGAGAGGTATCGTTTTCCTGGATGAATTCGATAAAATCAGCAGTTCGTTGGATTTGGAATCACGCTCATTCCGAGATGTTGGAGGTCGAGGTGTGCAGCAAGCATTTCTGAAACTAGTGGAAGGTACCGCAGTGAAGGTGAAACAACCCGGGTCTAATGGAACACGGGTATGTACAGTATTTCACTACAGTGAGTAAAGGTTTTAGCTTCTTTCTACCATCAAATTTCGATATGAAATTAAATTTAAAGATGAAGTAGGGATCAATAAAGAAACGATGCTAACTGACAAAGATGAAATACGATAGGACAAATTTTGATTGAGAATCAGAAGCACTGGAAGTGATGAAAACATAAATAATCTTGTATATAAAAAATCATAAATAAGTTCATGATGAATGTCTAGGAAAAGGAGGGAGTTATCTCTAAAAAGCAGTTATCTCCAGACAAGACGTCAAAACAAATTATACAACGTCCTCTATTGTCACAAACAAATATAACTAATAACACAACAGAAAGTTAAAATCTGTGAATAATGATTCTGGTTCCCCACAATCTGTTGGGGATATAGCTCAGGGGTAGAGCGCTCCCTTAGCATGGGAGAGGGCTGGGGTTCGATTCCCCATATCTCCAGATACTTCGGGGACTTTTTGGTACTTCTACCATATTCATCCTAGTTATTTACTGCAACACAACTACTCTAGTAAAATCTCGGAATTACGAGTTGGCATGCAATTTGCGAATCCAGAGCAGTATCTTTCTGCTCTGACTTCTACCGGATTCGCAGTAATTGGTCTTGAACTGAAGTATATGGCTTATTTATGCTTTCATACGGTTTATTTGTTTATCCAACCTATCAATACTTTGTAGGTGGATGTGGATACAACGAATATATTATTCATTGCTTCTGGAGCATTTAACAATTTGGATCGAATTATTAGTCAGCGCCTTTACAAGAAACTTGTTGGATTTGGTACTGGAAAGGATAAGGAAAAGTATGAAAAGGTTTGAATCTTGACTGTTTTCAGAGTTCCCAAATAGCAAGGAAATAACAAAAATATCGCCTTTTCATATTGCTAAATAAATGATGTGTAATATGTTTCAGGATGAGATCAAAATAAGCAAGCATCGGGACGATTTGCTTAGACAAGTAGAGCATGTTGATCTCATAAAGTAATGATAATCCGTATTTTCTCAACTAAATTAAATTTTCTTATGGTATGGCGAATAAAAAAAAGTTATAATACATTTATTATTCTAGATTTGGTATGCTACCCGAATTAGTAGGACGTTTCCCTGTGCTCGTCCCATTTACTAGTCTGACAGAAGAATTACTCGTGCGAATAATGAAAGAGCCAAAAAGTTCGATTGTCTCACAGGCCGAAAAACAGTTCTTGCTTGACAACATACAACTGTGTTTCACCGACTGTGCCTTGAAGGAAATCGCCCGTACTGCAGCACAAAAAGGAACCGGAGCACGAGCACTTAGGTTATTATCCGATACTAGAACTAATATACACATATGAAAAATAGCACTCCTTTACAAATTCGACACTAGTCAATATGAAGACTACCTTAACATTTTGAAAAAGTCGCGTTCTGATCTTATGTCTGTAAACAAGCAGTAAATGCTCCCCGTCCATATTATGGAAAAAAACATCGGTAAAATCTCTCAGCAAAAATTTTCCACACACCCACTCACAATGAGTTTTAATGAAATGCTTTCAATTTAATGTACCAGCCAGTTAAGTTTACAACTACAAATTAAACTCGTCATTAACTTGGTAACCGACTTTGTAGTAGCCCTTGTGGAACACTTAGTAAGTTCAGAATTTTTTTAAATATTTGCTTCCTCATGATTCTAAATGATAAGCTTTTTGTGATTTAATATCATAAGAATTAGCTGCACCCGTTAATTTCGCTTTCTATTTTCTCATATAAACTATTAAAGTAGTAATGTTCAAACAACAGTATTTCAGATCAATAACCGAAAAAGTATTGTTAGATGCAAAGTATGACTTGCCTGGTACAGACATACATAAATTGGTTATTGATGCGGACGTTGTCAAAGGCAACTGCCGTTATTATACGATGGAAAGTGCGGACATCATGAATTCTAAAGTCCCCAAACAATCACTTATACGAATAAGGTAAGCTCAAGAATGCACTCCTAACTTCCTTCTTTGCAGTTAATTGCTTTTAAGACATGTTTTAAAAAAAGTAAATCATGTCAGTCTTTCTATAATGATTAAGGATATTTAACAACTTCTTGAAAGTTAGGCAATACTTCGCAATGCATCCAATTAAAGTAGAAATGCTTGGAAAAGAAAGATTATAAAATCCTAAAAAGGAACTATTATATTGTTTTCCATATGAAGTCATATAATAGATAAACAATTATAAATTTAACGAATGAATATTTAACGATATTCAAATTTTTGTATCACAATTTGCAGTCCAAATGACGACAAACAAAATGATTTCGTGAAGTAGATGCAACAGATATGAAATCAGTTCAAGCAGAATAAAATAGATCTTGGTATCTTCTATGGAAATAAATCTTGCCAGTCTATAAAAATAAATATCCATAAATTTTAAGCAAATTGTTGTTTAAAAAAATCAAGCACAAGGATTAAAAAGTGGATTACATAAACTTTTACTTTATTAAAACCCAAAAACCCAACAAACTTCCAATAAAAATTTACAAGATACAACAGAAAATTTATATATGAACATGTATCGTTTTAACGATATGCATAAATGAGACGTTGTTAAAAGGATTGATAGTTGTGGATGCAAAATTTTAACTATGCTTACTTTTTTTATTAGTCTTCACTTAATAGTTTTACGCATATTAAAGTCAACTTAAGTCATAACTGGAAATGTACATCCCTTAATAGCGAAAAGCTGCTTAATTCCCAAAAATCCTGTTTTCCGTCCACGAAGCTGAAAAAATGCAATTCCTTTTATATTGGAATTATAAAAGGACCAACCAACTTTAAAAAAAAAGTAAATAGTTTTAAAGCGTTAAATGGCCGAAAAACGTCTAAGGTTATTAAACGCATTGAGAACAGTTTGATGGCAACAAAGTTTATATCGGCAATATGATAATTCAGCAGCACGCTCAAACACAATTCACTAGTGGATCGATAGTGACTTTGTCGACAGTTAAGCTGGAGCAACAGCAGTGATGGAAAGAAATATAATAACAGTTACAAAGGGCTTAAATTAAAAAACTATAATGTGTTAAAATAATAAAATTACCTCTGTATAAAGCATTTCTCAGATAAAGAATTCATCATATCATATAGAAATTAATTACAACGTTTACCCAGTGATAAATCTGTTATCTAATTTGAATCACATAATATGCACATCTGGCATGCTAAAATAAAAACTTTATATATCAGTCTTTTGGATGAAATAAAAATATTTCTGATCCTAACTTGCATCTGCATTACCTTCATCTCCCTATCATTATATCTCAATCTTCATCTTTAGGCTATTATTTATATTTGATTATCTACAGTGTTAACAGTAAACTAGTAATTTTACCATGCAACAATTTATCAAGGATTAAATTTTCCTTTTTTTTTTGCTATATCTAACTCATTTACTAATTTAACTCCAAATTTTCGTGACAGATGGTGTCGGCAAATAGGCTGAAGGCACTATTACGGTAACTAAAGAATAAAGAGGTATATAGGATTTTATAGCTAATATACAGTGTATATAGGATCTTATAGTTAATAAAGAACAAAGGAGTCATCCCAACAAGCAACGAAGCGAAAGGAAAAGCACAATGAGATAATAGATATACAAAGGAAACGATGTGGATACTGGGAAAAGAAGGGTTCTCAGCGGTGTAAGCGGACCAATTTCTCAATACGGATTATTACATGGGGTAGACGAGTTGAGGAACGGTGGTGTTAGGGCGCATTTAGGTGGTGTTAGAGGAAAACGGTTAGAAGGATGAGTAAGAGGGATTCGTTTTTAGGACAACAATGGAGGTTTAGTTACTCAAGTTTGAGGTGTGAAAAACAATCGATGACAGCAACGGGAGTTTATTTACCCAAATTGAGTATTAAAACGACGTGAATTACGAAAAACGAAGAAATTCAACGGGTGGAGAAATACAAAGACAAGCATAATATTCTGGCAATAAACGAGACGTTCAAGCGAAACGACAGTTACGACACTCAACGACAATTCAAGGATCAAGAAGAAAAGGGAAAAAAACAACAACAGTCAGTTCGATCAGTCCTACTAATAGTACAACGCGAGCGAAGAGAAAAAAAAAGTGATAAGAATATAAACTGAGCAGGAAACAATTATATAAAAGGAATCGTCTCGTATCAAAAAAGATTGAACTATTTTTTTTTTCCTACAGATGGAGCGTTTGAGAGATACTGTCTATAAAGGGATCGTACAGAAAGAAATTGAGTAAAATCAACGAAACTACGTTTTTCAACTGAACTCACATTATGTGTTGATCATCGCAAGGATGTTATATAGAAAAATTAAACGAAGAAAGACTAGAATCAGAAGTAACAAACAGCACAGTACTTGACGGAAAACGACTAGGAAGTAAAAAATCACGCCATAAACTTAGAAGCTCCGAAAATCCAAATGAAAGCGATGACACTATTTGATACAGACTTACTGCTATTATTTGTTTTAACGGACTAGGGATAGAAAATGGAGAAAAAAAAATTAAAAAAAAAAAAAAGAAAATTTGATTTCACCATAAGACACCAAAAACATACCATCTCACGAAAACAAAGCTGATAAAAATTTGAACGAAGGAATTCAGTACTTGGGAAGTTAGCTTTATGACAAATGGTGGAAATCAACGGCCAGAATTTTCTCTAATGAAAAGGAAAGAATTACATGGAACAAAGGCTACTGAAAGCAATTCGATATATTTACTAGCATCATAGACTTCTTAAAGTTCATCAAACTAGACGAAACACAAGAATTGGAATTAGGATTCCTCGCGAATAAAACGTGATCATAACCAGAAATTGCTACATAAATAATATTGGCGACAACACAAATGCGATATGTAACATGTGCAACTGGCATGATGGGCCATGATACTATTGAATGAAGGCAATGCAATTTAAATGACACGTAACGAATCGGAAAGAAGGTATAAGGTTTGCTAAACTTGGAAAGAATTGAAAGAACAAATTAAAAAGTCATCATGGATTATGTACTAAAAGCTTATCAAAAAGATTCCAGAATAAACGCACCCAATAAGTATGGCCATTATTATGACAAAATCAATGATGCCATAATTTCTGCAATGCAAGAATTAAATGCGATCGAGTGAATGCGTTGACGGAAGACGTTTCCACATTAGTTGTACTGGAAAATCTTCAACTCAGCCTTAAAAGGAAAGACTGAGCTACTTACGACAGTTGAATAATAAGCAAGTCCAAAAATTAAGATACAACCAAATTTATCTGTTACTCAGAATCTCTGGCTGATTCCACCTAGCTGACTAACGAGATAGAACTGACGATAATCTTCAGCGTGAAATGAATTTTTTCAAATTTAGAAAACTCTCCATCAAAAAAGTTAAATAAACAATGCTACCAATCTGAAGTATAATTTCCATTTAGTCTACTGAACTCATGAAATTTATTATAATTTTAAGGAAAAACTTTGACTTTACAATTGGAAAGTAACATTTTTAAACAGCAGGACGATCTTATTATTCACGTATCAAAATAACTCTCGTCACAGTCGCAACCGCAAACCTTTCTCCCTTCAAGAATATGAAAATCTCAACAAATCCAAAAGCATATACAGTAAATGAAGAATTACTATCTCGATTCTTCCACATTTAACTCTAGATTTGGGAAACATTTCAACTAAAACTCAATCAAAATCACTGATAAAATTCAAGTGATGAATGAGGATATCACGACTTGCATGCTTCTTCATTACAGAAGACAATTTAGGGATTGAATTTGTAGCAGAAGCACTTTCTTTTTTTTTTTGATTTTCTTAACATAACTCCGAGTCTAGAACGTCTTATTGATTGGTTTTTTCCATTATTGTTTGTGATGACGAAAATCTAGTTTCCGTTACTATATAGTATCGTTATTATATACACACAGCATCATAAAATTAACAAAAGAGATAAGTGATTCTGCTTATAAAGATAAACTCCCAAAGAATACGTGGAATATTCCATATGCAAATAAGCATATGCGAATTTCATCCAGAAGAGAAATAAAATGAAAACCTTTTTGAAAAGGTCGTTTGAATGCATGTACTTTAGAATTTCTATATGATATTTTCGGGCAAGTTTCCCAACATAACAGTTAGTCGCATCATTTTAAACTGATATGCTTTCAGCTTCCTCTCTAAAAAAAAAAAAAAAAAAACTGATTGTTTATTTAGTCACTACATCCAATAATAGAATGAGTACACGCTGAAATTTTTACACGACGATTTTCTGGATGCTCAAAACATCAGTAATTCTTCTGAAGTTTGGATCACATACATTTACTTTGTTAGCAAATAACCGTACAACTGGAACAGCTTGGAGCCTGCAAGATCTATTTTTGTTCCGATGGAATTCTTTTTCTGTTATGGTGTGAAACAATTAAAGACAGTTATAACGAATAAGTTCGTTTAACAGTGCGAATTATTTCAAGAATTTCAAGTTATTCAGCTCAGAAAGGATTTCTGAAAACATAAAAACGAAGCGTTTCCTCGAAGTGATACGTTTCAGTAACCAATGATCAATATATATGTCATCCAGTGATAATCCATTGAAGCTAGTGAATTGATGTCAAAGGATGAACAGTTGAAATGTGAACTCTGAACCACAATAACTAGAGCATTGAGAAAATTTGGGGTAGACGAACATATTAAACAAAAGAGAAGAAAATATCAGGTATCTTCAATTTTATTTCTATATGCTTACTAGCAGGAATTAACTATCAGTCGAAGTAGAATATCATTGACAGACATAACATCATTGATGTTTCCCTCGGCACAAATTTCAAACTCACGCTCGATAAAATAAGAAGTAAAAAATTTAACGACGATAAGCTAAAAATTGCCCATAACAAGGCGATAAATATTGATAATCAAAGGGTCGTCACAGATCATTTAACCTTAGTAAGACAGCTAAAAAAGGGGATGCTGAAAATTTATTAATTATTAAAAACTATCCTGAGTTAATTCAGCAGAATGTGAAAAACTGGGAGATATGAAAGTAGCAATCTTATAAATACGCTTCCTACAGAGGCGTGAAATTCAGTAAAATAGCTACGTTATTCATTTATATATTTAAGTACTGAATTTGAAGAAAAAAATTCAACTTAACGAAATGTACTGTTTTGACAAAATCAACTTATAAAGAATTGTCACTATTGGGTGGAAGAACAAAAGGAGAGAGAATTAATTCAATAATTCGTATAATTCATTGTCTTCGAGAGTAAAACCTGTCTCATACTTAATGCAAACATTCGGATGCAGTTCCCATCTTTTTCAAAAGACTAAATTGGAGCGGCAACAATAAAATTTCATTTTCTTATGAGAAAATTTTCCAGAAATGAACAAATAGAAATTTCCAGCAAAAACGTTCATTACTAATAAAGCACATTAATAGAGCAATTACTAATATTACACTCTCATATTACCCCGTCCTTACAATCACTATACATAGCAAATATTACCAACTAATTTGTTCCAAATATTGTAACCTACTAAAAGTTTGCAGTGATACATGCCACATATACATGTGCACAATACTTACGTAACTTACGCAAGCGAATTATGTAGTATGTAAATCGTAAATCCAAATGGTATTTCATAATTGCTACGAAAATTCAAAATCCCTTCTTACCTTAGTCAAATTTTAACGGGCGTTGGTTATATATGGACGACTCACAGTGATGTGACATGGTTTTTGGAGTGACACATGTGTGGAAGGGATGGAGAGGGATTGTAGCAGGCGAGGTGGGTTATGGTTTTTCTAATGAAGTCAATTTCAGGTAATACTTATATGGTACACAGAGTTACTGGTGATTAGTGATTAGTCGTATTTTCTGTTTGATCGAATGGATGATCGTGAACCGTGGTAAGTAACCTTCCTTCCCATTTCTTGTTTAACCGATCGCTTATATCCACGGGAGGGTTTTCAGATTTTTGGTGCAATAAGTAGCGAAGTTTGTTGTTGCATTCTGTGACCGTCAGGCGTTTTTTCTTTTGTGGATGCAAATATTAGAAATAGAAATTATTTGTATTCTACTGCCTATTAATATTCCACTGCTGCTAATTCTTTATGTACACTTCGATCTCTTTTTTTCCCCGCCCTCGTTTATCTTATCTTTCGTTTAGAGCGTTGTTTCCTTCAAACTACTTTTTTATATGATAAGTAAAGTTTGGATGTAACAGAATGCAGCAGAGTAGGATTCACAACTATTATTAGACCGTGTATTAGATATTAGACATATATAATATATATTATGGCCTGTGTTTTTTTATATATTGTTCATTTACGTCTTATTGGTAGTGCAAATTCACTTTGTATTCATTTCGTATTAGTAAGTTTTGTATTAGTCACATTTTTCAGTCCATACAGAATTGGAGATGATGTTGGTGGTGCATTTTCACTAGGTCTGGCTGGTGGATCTATATTTCACGCTCATAGTGGTTTCAGAAATTCTCCGTGGGGACATAAACTTGTTGGTATTGTGCGCGAGGTATTTTTTCTAGTTTTATTGTTTGATCCTCATCGGTTGTTTCATTTTCGAAAAAAACTTTTAGCTTGTATATTATTCGATTACAGGTGCGTACACGGTCACCAGTCGTTGGTGGACAATTTGCAGCATGGGGCGGATTGTTTAGTGCAATTGATTGTAGTCTAGTAGGCATACGAAAAAAGGTTTACAACTAATTTATTCTCAAGCTTTGTCCATTTCACCGAATTTGCTTGTATAGCTCTAAAAGGATTTGTCCTAAGAAATTACTTTTTAAGAAGAAACAAGCTTTTTTATTTGCAGTTCTTATATAGCATGTTTTCGTTATTTATACAACTGTTGCAGGAAGATATGCTCAATCCAATCGTATCCGGTGGACTGACTGGTGCTTTATTGGCTGTTCGATCTGGCCCCATGGTTTGTATTTCTGAAAATTCATGTTTTGCATAATTTAATCAATCATATCCTGATTGTTATGCATTTCTTTAAAGTTTAATCTTCATTAAATTTTCGTAAATTCAGTTTTAGTGATAGGTTTTTAATAGTTAGTTATAGAATTTTCCATATAGCCAGTCTTAGAATGTTATGCTCATTGCAGGTAATGATGGGTTCAGCTGCCGTTGGTGCAGTGATAGTGGGTATGATTGAAGTAGCGTCATTAGCAGTGGGTAAATTTGCTGGTATGGTGCTAGACCCGAATGCTGTGCAACAGCATGAGTTGGAAGATCCAGCAATTTTAAGCGCAAAGCAACAACAGAAGCATGGAAACGCTGGAAGTAGTTCTACTAGTGTTTCTGGAGATGCTTCTGCTGTTCCATTTTCATTAGCTCAACCTTATTAATATTAATATGACCTTATTGAATCATGATGTTGGTCATCATGATCAGATTTACTACTGTTACGTTTTCTTTTTTTTTTTTTTTTTTTTCATTATTGTATAACTATTGCTATTCACTAATTTAAAGGCTACTTTATTTCGAAATGTTATAATATGCCGTCGGATGAAAATGTTATTTACTTCATGCAGAGTAAGTCTTCGTGTTGCGCCATTTTAGGAAGGACGTTTAATAGTTGCTTCCAATAACGAAACCGGTAGTACAGAAAAAAATGTGTGTATATTTTCACTAAATCTTTGAAATGCATAAAGTGTTGTTTGAAAGTGTGGGAACTATCTTTACCGCCTTTTCGGTTTATTCCAAATAATTATCTGGTTGTTTTTTTTTTTTCGAACGCAGTGAAGTAAATTTTATTTTCTTCTCCCTTTCGTGACATCTTGTTATGAAAAAAAGATTTCTTTTGGCTATTAACATTTTTAGCTGTTTTAATTTTTAACAGTTGCCAACTTTATTTCTTATGGTTTGTTAAATGCCGAATCGTTTTTTAATTAATTCTTCAATAAATGTATGCTGCTGTTTTTAACGGGTTCGGCGCAACTATAAATTATTTGCACTTTCATTGCATAATTCTCACTGAAACAATCCAAAATTTTAAAATTATGAAGGTTGCTTCTTGATTTAAAATTTCAAAAGACTTCACATTCCTGGTTATTGCAATACATTAGGACAGAAGTATAATTCTTTGTTTTGGAATTGCATAGGCACTTTTGCGAGTAAGTGGTTATTAGAACACAAGGCTTATGTAATGGCTTTAAAGTTATGTATATCTCAACTTATTAATGCATGGTGCCTGTCTTATCCCATAATTTGTTATTGTTTAAGATTGCTCATAAAAAAACATGGTAATATATGACCGAGTTAGTCGAAAAGTACCAGAGAAATGACATCAAATGTCGAGGACGCTCCTTCGAGTCAGTTTTTGAGTTGGCTTAGCATAATTGCAATCGGAACTACAGTGTGTCTTTTTTTAGCTGGTTTGGAAATATGCTGGCGTATAAGAGTATGTTTTCTTCATTTTCAATTGTTGCAAATTTAATTTACTGATCATTCGAAATGAAACAAAACTACAATTGAAACTATTTTAATACGAAAGTGCACAGTGACTTCCGAACCTTCGAATTCAGGCAGAAAAGCATGTACTATTTGTGTAAATATGAGAAAATTTAGGATTAAGAGACAATTTGATTCTTTGAGAAAATTTAAAATTATTTTTACCGTAAAAATTTTGCTGAAATATTTGTCTCAAAGCTTGATACGCAGTGACAATCGAGACTGAAAATTTCCTAGTTTTATCACTAATTACGAGTTATTTCAGTCTCAAGGGACAACAAATGGTATCAGTTCGGCCCCATTCCATACGGGCTTTCTTTCCGGACAGCTATGGTTGCAATATGGCCTCTTAAAACATGACAAAGTATTTGTTCAAAAATTTTTCCTTTTTATTTTCGGACGTTTCCTGCTTATAAAATAAAGTGATGTAGTTTCGTGTACGTTTCGTGATCTCAGTAAGAAGTGGGAAGTGAGTTTGTGAATATGACTAGCGCTTCAGGGTTTGGTATTTGTCAGTTTCAGGTTGTGGTATTTGTCAATTTAGTGGCTGCATTGCTCTATTCATTATATATTTCTTATTATTTCCTGATGGCACCGTATGGTACAAAGGTTAGTGACTGTTACTTAACACTGATTAATGCAGAGATTGAAGTCCAAAAACTTTGATTTTGGATGTGATGTTATCAATTATAGAACCGTTGCATCAGATTACTTTTTATGGAAGTGATATTTTTGATGAGTGCATATTATTATATCCATTATTATGGCTTACAAGTGGAAGTGATCCATTCACGTTTGGGATTATGTTGCGTAATACTCAATATACTTACAGTTGCCGCTCCTTTAGAAGCTTTGGTAAGTGAATGAAGATATTTCCCGTTTCTTTATTCAATTCTAAAATACATGAATTCCAGCATGAAGTTTTTCGTACTCGTTGCACAGAAACAATGCCGTTGCCCCTTTGTTGCCTGACATTTCTTGTGACAACGGAATGGCTGCTATATGGAATTCTTATTGATGACATTTATATAAAGGTAGAGTTTTTCCCTACTAAAGTTGATTTTGTCAATCACTGTCCAGAAGACAAAGTCGTGCGGTACAAAAAGCTGTCGGTTAGATTGCTTGTAAAATCGAGCTTGAGACTTTTGAGAGTTTTAAGGTCATTCAACAATGATATATGTTTCAGATACCAAACGCCATTGCATCAGTGATCGCGGCTGTCCAATTGCTACCTTTTCTTTATTTTCCCAGGAATAAACAGAAAGCTACAATCATTATTTCTTGAAGCACACTGATATGCAGAATTTGACTAATCTCGTTGTATGTTCCAAGAATACAGAAATTAAAGTTGTAAAGATCTGTATGACTTACTCTGTCGTTTCTACTTTAGAGCAGATTTTTTTAAACTAAAAAACCCGATCAATATAAGATTAATTTTTGGAAGATATCAGATTATCTTTCATCCAATCGGTATTATCATGGATCGGACTCACAATGCTGTTAACAATTGATGCCCTTTCACAGCATTACCTTTTCTTATTACTAAAATGTTCTGATACGTACAAACTTTTTTCCTACAAATGTCTTTATGTGAGGAACACATAGTCGAGATTCAGCTGATGTTAACATTACTTTTTTTCATAGATTATATTCAGTTAAGCTTCGTGGATATCCAGAGCAGAAATGTACTACTCCTTACTATAATTTTCCCCTGACGAATATCTTGCTTTTTCTCCATAATTTTATTTATTTTAAGCTGGTTACTATTCGTATCCATTTATTTTGTGTGAATAGATATATGATTGGAGCTTCAATTTCTGATGCAAAGTTGCAGTGTAGCAGTAACTGAAAATTCCTCAAGACAGATGAAAACGAAAGGAAGATTTTTTCAATTATTCTGCAACTTCATTTATTCTGGGATTGTAAACACAACACAACTCAATTGAATAAAAACAGATCAATAACGAAATGAGAGGATAACAAACTGCAGTGTAAGCCTCAGATAGGTTTGATTTTGAAATGCATGCCAATTAAAGAGAAAACCAAACATTTGAGATCTTGAACGAGATAGTAAAAGGATCTTAATCCTTCTGGATCCCTGCTTTTGTTTACGTCTGCCGCGGAACCAATTTTACTGAAACAAACTATTATAGGACCTGGCAGTTTACCACTAGTTAGATCTGACTTTATATAAGAACATTAAGAGATGTGTACAGTACCAAATGGCAGTAATCGTCCTGGTATGCGCTACCATCACGACAATGAAATTTTCTTGAAATATGCAACAATCATGCGTCTACAAATTTCAATACCGAATAAGGTTTAATTTCGATATGTTTATACAAAACCTTAGTACCACTCGATATAGTAAGAGGGTCACATCACTACGATCAAAAAAATAGCGGAATAATCAATACACTACTGGCAAGCGTAAAGAATGTACCTTGTAGTGAAAGATATATGTTCATCATTATGAAGAATTTCTAATTCTTGTCTACCAATGCGATCCGGTTCTGGCCAAGTTGCGTCATCTTCCTATAATTATTACTTAAAATATTAAAAACAAATACAAAGAGTAGGAAAAATAGATTATCCAGCAGTTTCCAAAGCAGATTCCATTCATATAAACACAAATCAATGAGAAAATCATCTCTTCCTACAGTAACTAGTTAAAAGCAATTGCAAATTAAAAACATTCAAGAATTAGTCGGTAGTTCAACATCTAAACATAGACAATGCATGCAAGCAGCAAAATATTTCGATTGTCAAAAGAAGAATAAAGAAAATGAGAACGATTAAAAAAGCATCATATTTTGTTATAAGCACTGAGCAGAAACTTGAAGTAAAAATATATGACACATGTCAAGAGTGTCCTGCTTTGTAAGGATAGATAATAAGGAACCTAGTATACCTGCATAATTTCCGAATCATCGATAATACGCTTCAGTTCTTCAATAACAATTTTACCGACATATGCTTCTTTCCGGATCAACGTGTCATTCTTGTACTGACTATTATTTGCATACCGCATCTTGCCATCCGGACGGAATTCGAATTCTAAGAACTCATGACCGAACTTCCCTTTATGACCAACATAGTAACGCAAGTAGAAATCATTCAGATTATCACCTGACATCCTAAAACATAATCTCGTAGATAATGTCAGTCATAACCCACACCACACCCCCAGCTCCTCCTCACCCACGTACAACTGTAGGAGCTTCTTTCCTTCACAGCTGCCCTCCATGAAAATAGACGTACCACGGGTAGGTGAGTAGAACAGGTAGAAGAATGACGTAAGACTCGGGTAACAGTGTCGGGTACGTAATGTTTTCAAGTTAAATCCTGTGAGGTGAATTAAGTTTGACTTATGAACGAAACTGATTTTATTGTAGGGGGGTAGATTATGCAGTGAAATGACAACAGGTAGCATACAGGTTTGCATTCTACATCAAAGTACGGTGTGGAAAGGGTGTGAGATTAGAAATATGTGGGATCATTAGAGGATGCATGTCGCCATAAGCTGGTTGTATAGACAACGATTCATAATCGAGTGGTAGCGTAGAACAAAACTATTAAAATGGGGAGAGAGGACATGACTGTTTCAGTGAGTTTTCTTTTAGGTCAGTCTGACTGCCTTGTAATTCATATTTTACATTACACTTAAGTGGTATTTACAACAATCTCAGTTACACTTGTTTGTAGGGGTATAGCAATCGGTATATTTGATAACATGGAGTAGTAAATTCAACATTTCTCATTTTGGTTATTAATTGGCTCGATATATATAATGGTCGGTATTTCCACTTTAATTTGAAGTAAGAAACTAGTAAAAGCTATTATTAATTGGATGCATGCCTGACAGTCATAACAAAGGAAGTAAGAGGTACAAAACTGATGTGTTGGTTAGAAACATGCTTGGAGAACTTTTCTGTAAAACTTAAGTAATTATTGTCACTGTTGATATCCATAGTGATGTTCATAGCAGATCGTAATTGTCTCTGTTAGCAATTCTTATTACTTTTCAGTTTTGGAGACAATAGTAGTATGGGCACATTATTGGTTTCAACTTCACTGGCTTCACAGATCCAGAATATACGGCTACCATCAATAACTAACATAAGAAATGAACTGAATTCAGGAGGATATCCTCCTCTTTGTCGACTTGCTTATTCACGATGTTTCAGCTCACTCAGTGAATCCTTACTTCAAGTTCTTCTTCGTGGTATTTATTTAGATATCAAAGAATGTTTTTTTTTTCTCCCTCTCTCTCTTGTTTTCCTAATGCATATTTTGGTTTCACAAAGCAGTTTTGATTGATCATGTTTTCTTTCTTACTACCAGTCTTGCATATACTTATCCATTTGTCACAAAAATTCAGAATCGGAAGATATGCTAATGCCGGCAAGTACTCTTTGAAATCTTATATGAATATCTCTCCTCATTTCTTGATTTACTTTAAATGTTTTAGAAAATCGAATGTGTGCATTGCAATGTAAACAGAGGAGGTCCATAGTAATGTTAAGATTCGAGAATTCACTGAATCTGATTTATTATCCGTCAAGATCGCAGTTCTGTTAGTTCTTCCTTCATTTTTGAAACACTGAATTGGTTTATAAATTCTACTAATCTAATTTTCTTTATTCTGTTGATGATTATTTCTATGATTAAAAAATTAGGATTGATATAATGAGTTCTGTTGACATATACAAATTATTGTACCATTTGGTATTTCCCAGATATACAAAAACGAGGTTTTCGGACGCAGCGGCTGGAAAAAGTAGAGAAACCAAAGAAAGGATTTTTTACAATTTTGGGCATCAATACACTCGAGGTTCTGTTTGTTTTGCTTCTTTATTTTTTCAAGTTGTAACTTTCTTCTTGAGGAAGGTAGATGTTAGATGAATAAATATTCTCTGCTCATAAGTAAATTTTTATGATTCACATAAATTAGAATTCTTGATTTGAGTGATCCAATATCCATTCCATACAAAATCGACCAGCTGAATAGATTATGATTAGAAGATAAATGAATGCAGCCTAGCAACAAAAGGGGAGGGCATTTTCTGATCTGATGTTTATTTTCTCAATGTTTTCACTTCTAGCATCCATCACTGACCATTATCAACAACAGCAGAGGGAAGGAGGATAAATGTTCTATAATAATATGTATTTATTTTTGCTTTGACTAATAAGAGAAATTGGGTATATTTACTCTAGGATTGACTATAGCAAATCTTTTAGAGTGTCAGACGAAAGGGGCCGCAAGCAAAGTCTTTTCGCGAAAAACTGAAGACAGTATCCGATAATGATAGGAAGGGTTTTCTTGTATGTTATCTTGAAAAATTTTTAATTTTTTCAGTTATCCTAAAAATAAATGTTGTTACAAAGAACTGGTTTTTATTAAAATTAATTTACTGTGTTATAAATTGTTTACAAACTTAAAATCTGAAGTTAAAGTTTGAAGTTTTTGTCTACATATTATTGCAGGAGGGGTATATGGCTGCTTTGGATTACTCAAACGAGCAAAAACAGAAGAGATCATTAGTACGCACAATTCTGTTTTCCGCTACGATAGTTGGATTGGGATTTTGTAAGTTTTAGAGTTAGATGTCGTGTTTCCTTGTTACACTGCTAGATTAAATTCAGTTGCTATCATACTATTCTCTTTTTTTTTTGGATAGAAAAGATGATTCTGTAAAGTACTTTAACTTGTTATTTTTTCTTAATTGATGTATTGGAATTATCAAATCTTTACTTTCATTTCTACATTTTCTTGCTAATTGTTCTTTTTTTTGTCTATTTGTACAGATTTCATAATAATCCACATAAATTTCAAAGCAATTTTTTAGATATCATTTTCAAATCATTTGGTATTCCACAAACCTCTCTCTTCACTTCAGTGGAAGAAGTTGATCCAGAAGTGATCGGTGTTACGTTTAAAGACGTTCGCGGCGTAAGTACATTAGTTTTCTGCATTTTAGATTTTTTTAACTTCTTTTTGTCTTTTTTTGTACTTCTTTGTATGCAATAATTAGTACTTTTAGGCCGATGAGGCGAAAAACGAATTACGTGGAATTGTATCATATCTTCGAGATCCAGAGCGGTACACACAGTTAGGTGCACGTCTTCCAAAAGGTGTGCTTTTGGTTGGTCCCCCTGGAACAGGCAAAACACTTCTGGCGAAAGCAATTGCTGGTGAAGCTCAGGCAATGATATTTACAAACTTACTTTATATATATATATATATATTCTGAAAATGACTTCAAATTATATATCAAGATTTTTAGTGGTCTCAGTGAGTATTCAGAAAGCTCCAGCAGTTCATTTGCATTACCACTCCCATAAAGTCATTTGTTAAACCAATTTTAGGTACCTTTTTTCCAAGCATCGGGCTCTGAATTTGATGAATTATTTGTTGGACAAGGAGCGCGTCGCGTAAGAGATCTTTTTGGTAAGATAAAAAATTTTATACATATACATAGGGTTAGAATCACATGTTTTGGGCTAAAAGATTTTTCTTGATTTTGATATTTGCGTAATAAACGTTCCCAAAAATTCAATGAATTTAATGATGATATTGATTTTAAAAAAGTTTATTTATTTTGTTTAGCTCGTGCAAAAGAGAAAGCGCCTTGTATTATTTTCATAGATGAAATTGATTCGGTTGGTTCGAAACGAGTAGCCGATGCCATGCATCCTCATGCTAACCAGACAGTTAATCAGGTTTGTAATACCGTTTCATGATGCCTGTGTATAATACATTACCGATGATGTGTTTAATGATATGCGAGCATCCTCGATTTTTACAGTGACATCAATTTTCGTCCGAGATTCGTAACATTCGTTATTCTTTTATAATCTAAAATGTTAATATCGGACTGAGAAAATTAGTGCTCTTATTTAGCTTCTTTCTGAAATGGATGGATTCAATACAAATGATGGTGTTATCGTTATCGGAGCTACAAATCGAGTAAAAGATTTGGATCCAGCTCTTCTTCGTCCTGGTCGTTTCGACGTTCAAGTTCAAGTTCCTTATCCTGACTTAGAAGGGCGCAAAGAAATTATACAGTACGCTTTTTCTAATTTAAGATTCGTTTTTTATCGCCTCCTGCACACCTCATAAGCATTATTTTTTAGGTTATACCTAGGTAGAATATCAGTTAATGACGACGTAAATGAAGATGTATTAGCTAGAGGAACAACGGGTTTTACTGGAGCCGAAATTGAAAATATGATAAATCAAGCAGCGCTTAAAGCTGCAGGAGATGGATTTATGAAAGTTACTATGGCACACATGGAAGAGGCGAAAGATCGTGTTATGATGGGTAAGTTTTGTTACTTCAACTTTAAACTTAGCCTTTTCTTCACACTTTTTAATGACGGTTTTTAGTAATTTCCGATCAAAATAATGCACTTTCAACTATCTTACGCTCAACGATATATCTATATCTTGAGTTAAGAATCATCGATGAAATTTTTTTTAGGACCGGCACGAATTCGTGGTCGACTGCCAGATGAGGAAGCTAATCGTATTACTGCTTTTCATGAAGCAGGTCATACACTTGTTAGCATTTACACGAAACATGCAATTCCTGTTCATAAAGTGACAATTATACCAAGAGGTGGCTCATTGGGGCATGTTAGTTTTTAATTTTCCTTTTATTAAGTTTAACACGAAATTACTGCTGCATTATATAACTTTTTTTGCAGTAGAACTTTTTAAAACGTTGCGGAACTAATCACACATTTATCACTACACTTTCGAAATGTGTTTCTTTGTTATAGACATCTATGTTACCGCAGAAAGATGAATATCATGTGAATCGGGCCCAAATGTTGGCACAGCTGGATACTTTAATGGGTGGTCGAGTAGCTGAGGAGCTTATTTTTGGCCCCGAAAAAGTAACTACTGGTGCTGGTGATGATTTGAGGAAGGCAACAGAACTTGCAAAAAAAATGGTCAAGACTTTCGGAATGAGTGATAAGGTTAGATTAGATTACAGCTTATGATTTATGCTCTGATTCAATTTGATTTTTTTTCACCAATGATTCTTTTAATTTTTTCATGCCAAGATTACGGAGTTTTTTGAATGAGGACTGAAATACTTTAAATCGATCACCCATTAAGAAAAGAACCCATCAGTCTTCTAACCAAACTTCGTTCACATACTAAAATCTTAAATATAATGGAATACGTAAAAACGGCCAGTGGCTTTTTTTTTTCGGCTTGGTCTGTTTTTGGTACGTAACGAAATTCTAATGATGAATTTTTTGTTAGGTTTTTTGAGAATAACTTCAAACGGTTTTGAATTGAATTACTCTTTTATTTTGGGAAATTGCTGATGGTTAAGTTTGTTGCTTTAGGTGGGTTTGAGGATCGCAGATGATGAATCGAGATCATTGATAGCTGACAATCATCTGAGTTCACCATTGTCAGACATAATTGATAAAGAGATCAGTCGCTTCTTGAAGGAATCTTACGAACGTGCAAAGGACATACTCATCAAACATAAGGTTTTAATTTTATAAATTATTCAAAATAAGTGTTATTGATTTGAGAACAATTATTAATTTGTGGATGAGCTTAAAGTGTGAAGTTCTAAGATAGCGATGGATGAAGTTGTGTTTGTGGGTTACTGAAATTGATTTTGGGATTCAAGGTTTTTATTTGAAGAACTTTTTTAGTCGGTTTTTTTATCATCTGTTCTTTTGCAGAAAGAACACGAACTTTTGGCTGCAGCATTACTGGAACATGAGACATTATCAATAGAAGAAGTGAAAGAATTGCTTCAGAATGGCAAATTGCTTTCACATGCTACCGAAAAACACGAAGAATCGAAAAGCAGGAAACCATCCACACGATATATCTATAAAAATCCAAGTGTTATTATAACGCCAATCGATGAAACTATTGCGAAAGAGGAAAGACAGATCTAAGAGGAAAGATAAATGCAATCGCTAAATGACGTTTGTTAGTCAATTATAAGCAGTTTCACTTTAGCTTTCAACATATTTTATTGACACTTTTTATAGATTTGCACGCAGTTTTCTTTCAGTTTTTAATTTTACTCGCATTTTTTTAAATTCATACTTTTAGGTGATAGTAATTCAAACATATCTAAGTTGTTTCTTCACTTTTATCGGAATAATTAGTCATTTGGATTATTGCATTCAAAAACACAGTAACAAAGTAAAATTAAAATTGTTTAAACTCTCAACTTATTCAAAGTTTGTTAGATAAGAGAAAAGGACAATAAGGAGGAGAGGATCGTACGGAGTATGTAAGTTACCTAACTTATCTTGAGCATTTATGATGTGTTGTAAACTGTTTGTATATAATTATCTCTTCATTCTGGATTTTGTGAAGGCATCTTTGTTAGTGATATATGTTCATAAGAATATTATTCAGTACTAGAAAATTAATAAAAATAACAAGTGTTGAAATTACTGAATTAATTCTGTGATGCAATGAGTTCTGTTTGATGTAATATTGCTTAATTATGGTTCCAATATTGCTATTGCGATTTGCTCAGATGGAATCAGAATTTGCATTAAAAAGAATATGTCGTAAGTGTTGTTCTAAGTATCAGTGGGCAGTAAGTTGTAAAATAATGTATAACTACATGCAAGATATACCAGTGTTGAAAGCGTAACATTTCTTCCAGTGTGTCATTTTAAACAACGGCGATTATGAGAGGAGAATGGATAGTGGTCGCGGACGTAGTAAACATTTTTATTTCTAGAAAAGTCCTATTGTGATAACTGATTATTGGAGCAGCTGGGTGCCAATTTAATGCCTAAGTTTGAGTTTATTGAATGTTTCAGTCCAAAATCTGTTGTGTCCTGAAGCGGAAGTTTTGGGACGTTCAGCATAACAATTCATGGGATAATTGAGAGTGGACAGATTTATTGCATATGTGTTGCCGACTGCTTTTGTTGTTTTGTTTTGTGATTACATGCAAATGATACTACAGTGTTGTTAAGGTTGTGTTGATGACTGGTGGCTGAGTATTGTTGAGATAATGTTTGTTTTATAAATTAATTGAATAGGGTTTATGGTATTTCTATGACATTTTCTTGATATCCGTTCTGGAGGAGAATGAAAGATGACATATGGTTTGTCCCTGTGAATAGCATAATCCGAGCACAGTACTCACATTTATTACTATTTCTATCCTCTGCGCCAAATTTAATTTTTATTTTTATTACTGCAATCATTTACTTCCGAGCATACTATCTCTTTACTGCAACGGGTGATGAATTAAAAAGGACTACTTTTTCTTCATTTATAGTTCCAGTATTCACTGAATTCAAAATTCAAAATTTATTGAACATCATAAGGTGACATTGAAGAATATTAAGCTGTAACTGAAGATGAGGCTAAGATGAAAGTCTTGGTGGCAGAAATCGAGTTGTTCTAGATTTACACCAGAAAATGAAATTAAAAGAAGTGTAAACCGCTTAGGATCTAGCTGATTTGGAGAAAATTCTTACGGGATTATGCTATATAAATAATATGTCCCGTAGACATAGTGGTATGAGTATAATGTCAATTCAATAAATTGCGCTAGGAAAAAATTGGACTTGATGATTGATGTTATAAGCAAAAAATTCTTTCTATATTTTAATGCAAGTTGAACATGAAAAGATAATATGTATGCAATGATGCTCAAGTTTCCCTCTCCCATAAAGATGATAATCACTGGTTACTAATCCCCTCATGTATATTATTCATCTCATTTAATTATAATTATTAGTACAGGTATTATTCATTAAATTATTATGCTGAATTTCATTCTATCATTTCCCCATATATATATATATATATATATATATATTGGGGAAATGATTCTAGTTTCACTTATTATTACACTTTATTATTTATTCGTCAAATTTGTTATCCATTCTCTATTCAGCTTATGTATATACTATTTCTCCGAAAAGTTTGTCAATCTCAGCAATAAATGATTGATTTAATGATGTGAGATTACAAGTCAAATAGCCTTGGGGAATATGTAAATGTTGTTTCCTTCTCGCCAAAGAGATTATTTCATTAGCATCCTTAAATTTCATACATCGTAATTAGCTATTTGAATTTGTTAAAAGTAAAGAAAGGAAAAAGGAGCGTTGAAAATGTTTTGATAGTAGGTAATAGATGACAAGGCGTTGACGTGTCAAGCAAGTTTTGAACTATGGACTTCTTTTATCGAAAAAAAATTTCGAAATTATTCTTTAAAATAATTCCAAAAATGTAATTCCAAAAATCCAAAAATTTAAAATAATTCCAAAAATAAAAAAAAAAAAATGTAAATGATGACAAGCTCCGGAATGCTGCCTAACTAGAGCCAAACAAACGATTTGGCTGAGCTTTGCAAAAAGTTTACATAACTAAAATGGCCGAATGATCTGTGATACAATTGTTCAAAATCAAGTACTGTTCGCAAATTATTTGTCTACATGGATTTAAAAAGCGCATTATTGCTACACACTTCAAGAATAATTTATTAATCATTATGGATGAACCTCACACTTTGACAACAGAAAGGAGATAATATTCTTTTTTATAAGCAGTGACAAATTTTGAAATAAAGTTTTGAGAAAGAAGTATGGACGATGGAACAATTCGTCCTGGAAGATGTGAGCTTACTGTGCATAGTGAGCTGAGCAGGTGTTCTAATGAAGCTAACCGGACAGTTATTCTGAACAAATATACATGTTTATGTGATGTGTTTTATGTCTCGGAAGTATGTACATATCTATCAGCAACCGGAATAAGAACAGAAAAAGAACAAGATAGAATATGCAAGTCAGTGTGCATGTTTATGGCAGGCCTATGAGGTTTTATTGATTTTGAAAAGAGTGCGGAAGAGCGCTTATTGGAAAGATAAAAGAAAGGAGGATACCCGGAGAGTAGGGAAAAGGATAAGGTCCAGTGCTATTTCTTCCCATCCATTCCTTTATGAATTGAATTCTTCCTGGAGCATAATGCCTGATTCATGATAATTTAGAAAACTTGATTGGTCGGTGACAGTTCCTTCCCTACTAACATTTCCGGATATTCAATTGTACGATTACAAATGTAAACTCCTCAACTTCAATATCATCGAAAATAACAATGCATCATGTCCCGCGTTACTTCAGGTTAGCTTGTAATACACATATGTGTGAGAAATTTCATTTAAAGTGTTCCATTTGAGATTTAAAAAATTTTTTTGTATTGTAGAGAAATGTTTCTGTTCAGCAGAAAGTTTTGCAATTCCTATTCTGCTATTCTAAACAATGAATACCTGTTTCTTTAGTTTTATCATTTCAAATCATAATTGATTAACTGGGTTAACAAGAAAGCTTTCTACTCATGAAAGAATTGGATATTAAAGATGATCCTACTGGGCGAATTTTTTCGTACACTTTTTTTTTTTTTTTCACCATAAAAAATTGCCGACGCGATTCGATTGATACTTTAATAATTTAAGCAAGTGGAAATGGACAAATAAGAAGTAAAAATCCTAATATCACTAATTAAATATGACGAACTTATCATTCTGTTATCAAAATGTACATTTTTAAACAAGAAGATGGATAAATTAGCTTACCTGCATTGTTCCGACTCAATTAGGTGAGTGTATACTTACTTTATATTCCTGGCCCTAGTAAGCCTAAACACTAAGGGTCTTTTTACAAAGTTGTGTTATCTCTGTTAACTAAACAAATGATTTGATATTAAAATATCCGATGTAATAATATTCATGAAGTCTCAAGTTAATAAAGGACAGTAGAAAGCCATTAAATTTTTGAATGAGCTATATAAGCTTTAAAAAAATAAAAATAAAAATAAAATAAAATAAGCCCATTCGCTTACCTTCAAAGTCTTAGCTCTGGTTAAATTTAATCCGTATTTACTATTTATTTATGTAAAATTATCACATGATGTTTCTATAAATGAACTATAGTGCATGAGTTTTGCACCTTCTATTCCCTTAACGCTTGATAAATTCGTCACTTTCTGTCTCATCTTAACAAGGATTGAAAGGAAGGAGTATTAGGCAAGTATTAGGAAATAATGCTAAGGATTGGAACCTTTGCTTCCGCTTTTCATTTCTAAATTTTTTTGTGGCAAAAAAGTTCGCTATTTCGTTTCAGAATTGAAAAACTGAAATAAAAGTTCTATATAAAACAGCACAGCTATAGTGGATTGAAATTAGTCAACTATAAGTAATTAGTTTTCACAACTGAAGGCATTCAATTAATCTACTTAAATTACTGTTAAGCTGTCACTTTCATAAAGTGATGGATGCTGATCACTTTTCCTATTTATTTATGTACAAAATGGCTGAGCTTCCCTTCTTGTAAGAAAGCATCAAACTGTAAGTTTCAATCTTAAATTTGAAAAAGATGAAATTTCTATATGTAGGAGTGATGACGAAATCGCCTGCACATTGAGAATTCAGCAGCGATTTCCGATTGTATATGGGCGGTAGATGCTCAAGAAGAGCACCAAGTCCAACGCATCCGAAGCTATCTGATTTTCTTATGATACGTTCTATTGGTAGAGGAGCATTTGGCAAGGTTTGCTTACTTTGATTCTTTCTTCGATTTCAAAATGATTTCGTTTCCGATCTTAAAGCATTCATGGAAATTTCTATAATCTTTAAAGGGAAGCAATTCAAAGTTCTTTGAATTTGTTTTTTTATTTTCTTTTAAACTTTTTAATTTGAATCTTATGGTTGTCGCCCTAAATAATTTAGAGCATGTTTTAGGTTTCTATTGCGCAGTATCGTCGAACAAAGAAGTATTATACGTTTGAATGTATAAATAAAACGCGCTGTGTTCAATATATGATAGCCGATAAAGTTTTACATGAATTAAATTTATTGGCACATTTATCACATCCTTTCATCGTCAATTTGTGGTTTGCTTTTCAGGTAATTATTTTTTACCCGAATTCAGAGATTAGATTTTAAAAAAGCATTTCGATCAAAACATATTCTTCTTTTCTTTTTACTCGATTTTGTCTCGCAGACTTCATTATGTAAGGTCAGCGCAATTTTCGCTGAAAATATTTTAGAATATTTTTTCTTCCTAAAATTTCGAGCAAGTTAAAAAAATTTACCTAAATGATGGGTAAACAGATAGCACATAGTAGTTATTTAAAAGATTATTTCTATCATGATTTGAAATAATGTTTAGCGTATCACTGAATTCAAAAACATTGAGTAAAAATACTGAACTACCTTTCTGAGCGACGGGGATGTCCAACGAAATCAAATTCTTATTCACTTTTCTATCGGAATGTTTTCAATTACTAAATCGAAGAAAGCTCAAAATTGTTGTCTTTAGCAACTCTTATTTCGTTCTGGAGATTGTCCGTCATCTGTGGTATGCTAAATATAATTTACATATTAACTCTATATAATGAAGCTATAATTTGGGAATTAATAGTGAATTTGTACACTTCCGGTATAGTTAAAATTTAATACGTTAAACTTAACTTATTTTGAAAATTGATCTTCTAGGATGAGCGCTACATGTATATGGTGAGCGATCTAATATTGGGTGGGAACCTAAGGTACCATTTAAATCAGCATGGACGATTTGCCGAAGATCGGTAAGACCTCATTGTTTATAGTCTAGCTTTCAAAAAGATCTTTTCTTCGTTTTCAACCAAGTAATAATGGATAGGACGATGAACTAAGTAATTATTCAATTATAATGATATTCATTGCGTCACTGACACTGACATATTTCCAATCATAGAAAGAACATAGAAGAGAATATCGCTGACTTTCTTTACCGCTACAATAATTAATTGTGATGTGATGTTCAGTTCGAAGTTGTACGTTTATGAGATAGCACTGGCGCTGGATTATCTTCACAGAGAAATGATTATACATAGAGATGTGAAACCAGAAAATATCTTGCTGGATGATGAGGGACATGCACACCTCACCGACTTCAACCTGGCCACACGCCTTGCTCCCAATACTTATGCTACCTCATTCTCTGGTTAGTAGTTCATTCATGCTTTGTTGAATCTGAGTTTCTCTGTACGTAACTCACTTATGTTGACGTGATGTGACTTCTACTCCAAAGTATCCTTTTCATTTATCAGATTGCAGGCATGAAATGAATTATGAGTTTTATGCATTTGCAGGTACACGACCATATATGGCACCAGAGATTCTACTTTGTTCTCTAGGTTATTTGGCTGGCTATGATCATCGTGTTGATTGGTACTCTCTCGGTGTTTGTTTTTATGAAATGCTCATGGGACGAAGACCCTTCGAATATGCTATTCATTCGTCTTCACAACAGGTAATAAGCATCTTAACTGATACTTGGCAGTATTAGCATTGTTCAGCACCAAACAAAGAATAAGTTCGGCTAATGTTAAATTTTAGGAGACAGTTCAGAAAGTTTTAACCAGTTTTGGTTCTTTGGTTAAAGTAGACATACGAAACAAAAAAGGAATACTCAAATTTAAGCAGATTACAGCCAAATAACATTAATATCATCACCAGTGCTTTAAATTTTAGTTACGTGCGTCCTCATGGCATTCTCATGGAGGATCGTAGATGTCACCACCACATCCTCACACTGTTTAAAGCACTAATGAAAATTCCAGGTGCTTTGCTTGATGAGCAAAAGCTTGATGGCGCTGCCGTCTCAGTGGCCTTCAGATCTAATTTCTTTCATTAGTTGTATGCTCAGGTATGAAGTTGGATCTCGAATTGCTTCATTTACAGCCTTCTCCCAACATCGTTACATGGAGAGGATAAATATGAATGATGTTTTTGCCAGGTCCTTGAATATAAATTTTGAGTCACTTTATCGAGGGCTTTCTACTGCTAATTTCTCTTCTGTGTCTAATTTCATAGATTTTGAAATTTTTATTGCTAATTTTTTTTTTTCTTCAAAGCATATTTTTTTTCATACACGATTCCAAAACTTTTTTGTCACCATTGAATGATGATTAACTTAGGAAGACGGCTCCGGTTTTTATACCTCGTTCGGGGACACTGAACTGCGATCCCACTTATGAATTAAAAATGGGCATTTTCGATACTTCGTCAACGAGTCGTCAACGCTGTCGTCTGCTAAACTCTAGGGATGAGTTAGAACAAAAAGTGAACGAATTTACCCAGGCATTCGTTTCATATAACCGAGAGTATCAGTGTCAAATGAATGCAGAGGTAACGAATAGAGTAATTCAAGCTGCCAGAGATTTTCTCAATTGAAGTGTTACAATATTCTGTCAAACGTTTTATGCCGGGATTTCGCTACAAAATATTTAACAGAACATTCTAACTGATTCCAACTCGAAATAATTCGCAAGATAATTCTCTTATCATCCTTTCCACTATCATTATCATTATCCTAACTAATATAAATACAAATATTTGGAGCAAAAATTATGTTTTACTTGCAGATTATGTTGTAATAAAGAAAAAATGCTGCTTTAAAGAAAAGTTCTGTGCTGCTCACCTCAACCGTATTTCAGCATTACTTATTGTCTATACATCAAGTATCATCAGAGGTTGGTAGTTCCTAACTATATCGTTTTCAGGAAGAAAGAAATCAACTGGAAGCAGCACAAAAGAGTCCAAATTCACCAGATGCATTATCACCTCAAAGGAATGCATAACACCTTTCCGGGACTTTACAGCAGAAAACATACAAGAGAATATATGATATGATTAAGAATGTTCCGTTTTATGTAGCGCAGGACTGTAGTGACCGAACATACTGTATTTTTATGGTGATCAATTTATTTTTCTTCAATCTCAAATACTCCTAAATGTTTAATATGTTACAATATTCGAATTACAAGTATTCCCAATTTATCATATTATACACACTCTAGGCCTGAATAATTTGGACTTTTTAAAACAGAGCAGTTAATAAATTTAAGTTCAACTGTTCCTCCTACGAAAAAAGCATTGAAAGGTCGAAAAAAAAGCCAGCGATCTCGAAACCTTACTTCTTGATTGAAGTTTTTAACTGTAGAATTTTGAAGCCCTGTCGATAAAATTATCTCTTAGCACACTGTATATACAAGTATAAATAAATTACTACCAAAATAATTACACTTATTACTTATTATTAAAATCTTATTATTATTAAAAACTACCAAAACTTATTACAAGTTCCCTAAATATTAGGCTTTGAAATTAAAAATAACAAACACTGAAGACAAATTTCTTTACCAAAATTATGCAAGGTTTTAAGAGTTATTAATTAGCTCGTTAGCAAACATTTTTGCATGCTACAGCAGTAATTCCCGTTACTTTGCATCATCTTAAATTCTGAGATTTTCTCTTCCGCGGTAATCTTTCACTTTTTCAAGTTGTTAAGGAAGAAAACACAAATCATTTATATCGTTCGACTTGTTTTTTAAGTTGCCGCAAACAGAAGCCTAAAAACAGGTATATAATAGCATGATATCATATAAACGAAAGTGAAACTTGTTCAATATTGTTTAAAGCTGGCAATTCCTAGATAGGTGAGCATATAAAAATTCAAATGAGCTGATGTATTAAGTATAGGAAACCCAGCAACTGTAGTTTGCTGAAAAAGTAGTTGAAGTAATAATGTTGAAATATACAAAATAATAGTGTTGAAACATATAAAATTCCGCGTCATGAGAGAAATCCTGAAAAACAAAAATGACAGAATTTCAAATTTATCGAATATTCTATTACGTAAGAATCACTAGCACTATGAATTATATTAAAAATTCATCGCTATTTCGGAACAAGCTTATAATTTTTATCGTTATACTGTTAATCACTAAAATTAGGAGCTAAATTATTGAAAAGTAATGAATAAATTTTAATTTCACACATTTTAATAAGCGTAGTATCACTAATAACAAAGAAAACCGTTACACTGAGAGGAAATTATTCGCAATTAACTAACAAATCAGTAAAATAAATTTATTGTCAAGAAATAAAAAGTATTCTATTGTGAAAAAAGCAACGAATATAACTGCACCAGTCATATCCGTCCTAATTCATCAATTTTATTGCTCTTACCTATATACTTTATTGTACAGTACCGCGACCAACATATCAAAAACAAAAGAATCAGAAAAAATTCATCCTTTAAAAAATCAAATCAAGGCTTAGAATCCCTGGAAATAATGAATCATCTTTACAAAAATTTTAATGAAATTTCCACCGTCTTCAATTAGTTCAACGGCAACACATGATGATTTTTATAGACATCCACAAAAACCTGAAGTAGAGAAAACAAGATGTCATTAAAATCTGGCAGTAACAAATTGCGCACTGAACGTATCTGAACCTTTGATGCCTCTCAGCTGAAGTGCTTTTATAGATTGAAGTTCTTTTCTTAGCTTTTTACTTCACTCAGGTTAAGGCGATTTACAATTCTAGAATCTGAACAAAAGAAAAGTTAATAAACTTTTCGTTTAAGTCTTTCCATAATTCTCCTTTGGAAGATCAAAGGTAAGGCATTAGTGACTCTATCAAGTTTAGGCTTTCATTTTCATTCGCAACCAATTTTGGAACTTCTGAACAACAAGTACTAAACCAAAAAAGAAAGCCGTAGAAGTGTAATTTTCTTATGCCTGTTGTTAATTCATTGATAAAAGTGATAAATTTGATAAATGAGTTTACTTCTTTCATAGATAACGTAAATATAACGTGTAGATTCCTTGCTGATACTTATTTCAGCTCATCTACACTTTTTCTAAGTAATGGAATGGAAATAAAGCACCTCCGGATATTAACGGATGACAGGTGACAGGTAAAGCAGTCTCAACTCATCCACAGAAATAGTCTAAACACTGAAAAACTTCCAACTATCATTGTACTCACCTGCCTCATGTTTCCTTCCTTCCGGAACTTGTACTGGGAAGTCTATGCATCATACTGAATAACTCATCCGCTCTTCCTCTCCTCCATTATCAGCTGTCCCCTAAAAATCTACTTCCCACAGCGGATAATTTTACTTCTCTTCCCCTGGATAATGCATAAACACACGCATACATACATACATACATACATACATATACACACGGACACACCCAGACACATATAGATACCCAGATACATACCCACACAGATATACACGTATACCCACACGAGAATGGCCTTCCCTTACCGATCTATAGGGGCAGGACTCACCCCCGGGCAGAAAGGGTTGCTTGCTTTCATACTTCCCTGTGGAGCAAGAAAGATTGTTTGCCCGTCATTGTAGTAGCATTACCCAACCACCCACCCATTCCTCTGTCCCTCATCTAATTCCATTTGCATCTTCCCTTACATGCGTATATATTATAGCAGTGCGATGATGAGAGTTGCCTATATCTTTCCATGCTTTGTCTAGTCTAAAGCGTAAGGTCAAAAGTCATGCCTCGACCTCAGTCCTACTACTTTACTGCCCATGCGCAGATATATTTGTGCTTTATCGATGGATCACATCATTTCCCCAAGAAGTATCCGTGCTGAGGGGATTCCTAACTAAAGTTATCCGATGAATGGTTACCATTGATTTCTCCATCTGCAAAATGATTATGTTACAGTGATGGTCGAGTGAGAATGGCCTAGTATTTGTGGAAAGGGGAAGCAGTATGGGCCTAGGCTTTGATTACTGATTCTTCCGAACAAATTGTCATGAATAACAAACCTGCTATCCATAATATACAAGAACATTTCGCCCTGACCTATTAACCCTTGAAAATAACTGTTGCAATTTCATCGAAATACGCGATTGTCCTTCCTTATCAAATGAGAAGCTATTATGCAGCCAAATTAAAAGGTATCTACCGTATTATGAATGTAGTGAATACCGCAATGATAGGTACAAGAGGTCGAATAATTCAGGATATGACCACATTTGTTTTCAGGTTCTGGATGACTTCATTAAAGTCGTCAACCATGCGGGATGAAAGGATCAGCACATCATCGCAATTGTTAACACCACTGATAGATTTCGGGGAACCAGAAGAAAAACGAACTCGACGTAAGCCAAATTTCACAGTGCAAGAGAGGATGCATCTTGCACAATCGTATGTGGAAAGCTACGAAGAGTACAACCGGGTAAGTTATTTATGAGGTGTATTAGGGGTAGAGTTACCTGAAGAATCTTCTTGTGCATTGCTTAGCTATGGGGAACGGTAAGACCTGCAAACATCAGTATCAGTAGTGGTGAAAAATTGAGTGGAATAAAAGAATCATAACTGCTGATCCAGAGAAGACGAATAACCAGTTACATTAACAATGCTAATAATAATGATCAAATAAATATAGCCTACTAATAACCTCTTTAATTATGATTTACAAATGATGGAATAATAATATTTTTTAGGGTTTCACGCCTACAACTAAAGGAGAAGCTAAAATTGGACGTCAACGTTTGCTTGAACGATGGGCTGCCGAGCTATCCAGTTTTGGTATCGTTGAGCGGACGCCAGTTGAAGTTGAACAGAAGATAAGGTTATATATTTGCAATAAACTCCTCCGTTTTTCGATAACAATAAATTCAATACTTATATCATTGTCCACAATTGGATAGTACAATGATAATGATATGGATAACCCTGATGGATCTTTTGCTGATACCTTTTTTCAGAAAGATTTTTTTGTCTAGACTTGAAAAATTTAATACTTTGTTTTATTATTTTTAATATCGACAGCCTGCTACCTTATATTTAATGTTAGGCTACTACTGGTTGGCGATCAGCTTTTTCGTATATTGCCAGGTGCATTGAGCTGTAAGATAGGGAAAATCATAGGAAAATCAAGAATGTAAATATTTGCAGAGATTATATGAAAAAGATAGCAGCGAACCGAAAACGGACAGTGAAAAGGGCTATGAGTCCTCCATGTCAATTGATAAGTTCCGTTGTTTCGGAAAGTTCTACAGTAGACGATTCAACAGCAGACGATTCATTGACCGCATATGCTGGCTTTTTGCTAGAACAACACAGAGCAACTCAGAACGATTGCAATGAGTTAGTTGTTTTTCTTTCATTTTTCAAGCAATCTGATTCTATCAGCAAAATGTTATAAAATGTGGCTTTTTAATAATGAACGGTGTTAGTCTGTGAAATAAACGGAAATACAAGACAAGACGTATATTTTTTGATTTGCAGTAAGATTTTGCAGTTTTTGAAATCGTCCAAAACTATTATTCATCATATGAACACAGATTATTTCATATAGTGCACATATCCTAGGTCAATTCCAGTATTATTTATTGAATGTTTGCGGAATTTTTCCGTTGCTGTTACTACTTTAAATCAGTTTAAAAATGAAATATTAATAGTAAATGAAATGCAGAAGGAAAGATTAGTTTTCATTAATTTCATAGCTTGTACTCACTATTAGAAACAATTGATGATTAGTAATCATGTCAGAATTTTATAATTTTAAATCGAAGCTGTTCATTGTCATCACTTCATTTCGAACTTACTGTTTTATTATTCTGTTAGACAGAATGAAAGATTTGTTATTGGGAACCCGAAATATAACACATACGGCTAGATTTCTTTGCAGGAATTTTGAACCATTAGAACTTGTAAACAGTAGCTACGATGTCGAGGAAGCTAAACCAAGAATAAATAACACTTCACTTTTCTGTCTTGAATTAGCGAACAATATGCGAAATAGCTGTCGCAAAAGGTGTGTATTGTAAAGTTTGTTGGCGCACTTTTACGTTTTCCATTGAAGTTTTAAAAAACATCGAAATACACAATGTAAAGAGTATTCTGGCGTATATTTTGTAAAATCACTTGAATGAATGACAGAATAACTTAACTAAGCCAGTACTATAGGAATCTTTACAAATAGAATTTATCACATAAGATACTATACAAACTCTGATATCTAAAGATGCAAAAGCGAATTTGAGATCAAGAAAGTAGTTAGTTAACAAATAGTTATAATATGAGAAAATATTGACTTTCCAGGAAAATATGTGATATGAGTTCTTTTCCTAATGAAAAGGAGCAATCGCTGGAAATACTGGAAAGCAGTGATGAAGTTGTTCCTCCTTCATCAGAGATGCGTAAACAACAGATGGATTTTGGTCCCATTGATTTGGCACTGAAAACTGTATACATAGAAATCGCCAGGAAAGAACTTGAGAAGAAGACACTTGAAGTGGAAGCAATGAAGGTTAATTTGGCAATCAGAAGACTTGAATTGGAGGGGAAGAAGCATGATGTGGAAAAAAAGCGCCTTGAATTGCAGAAACTACAAAAAGACATTATTAGGGATCCACTAACCAGTTCAAGAGAAAGTAGTGGAACTCCTGGAGGTACACCTATCACTGATCAATTTGATCCTAAAATTGAATAGTGAAGTCTTTTTCTTTTGAGAAGAGTATCGACATTATTATGTCACTGTACAATCAGTTAATTTATTATAAATTTTTTTGTAGTATATGCTAGAATAATCGGACTTCTCAGCCTGGTTTTGTTCAGATATATGTGCTAGTGTTTCAGTTATTTGTCTGCTAAGCTAATTTAAAAATGCTCAGATATGACCACTTTACATTATTCCAAGAACTTTTGTACTGCCCTGACTAAATCCTGATCGTTTCTTATACCTTTTCATCATAGCGCTAGAAGTCAAATTCATCTGAGCAGGCATCTAACAGATGACTTGTAGCGACGATCTATTCTCATTCAAATCATTTAGGCACAATTTGAAACCATAAGAAGAGATCTAGAAATCACTTAGCGTAATAGTTCTGTGCTTGCAATGGTATTGGGAGTTTTGTTATGCCGTTAGGGAAATAAGTCTGAATTTTTGTCTTCTTCAGAACACATCTGGACATTTACCATTTATAAGTGTTTTAAATGAGCTTTAATCGGATTTCTTTGTCTTTATTTATTCGTGAAAGCTTTTATGCTGTAATGAATTTTATAGATCTCTTTCATTTGTGTTAGATTGTTCTTTGCTGAATTTTGTGGACCAAAAGGCTACTTTGAAAAAGGATTCTTGATTGATAAATACGAAAATGTTTGTATCACAGCACATTTCCTAGCTTTGTTGGCAGTAGGACATGAGTGCGTGTATTTTAGAATTTAGTAGTTTATTGATTCTAAAAGACGATGTTACTTTATAAGTGATACTTTATAAGCTGTGGTTAAGATTGGAATTCTGGTTACTGATTAAAACGCATGTACTTTATTAATCATGCAGTTAAATGCTTAAATTATGAAGAAAAGGACGGTATTATAAAGTTTTATTTAGCTTACAGACTTAGCAAATAGTTTCGGGAATTTCAATTAGGAAAGCTAAGAATGTTGGAAGGTTCAGAAGCACAATTCTTCTAAAGCAAAAATTATTTTTGCTATCGATGGTATATTTCTGATTCCCAACTGGTGTTACGTTCTTATGAAGCACTATCACAAACATTTCAAGGTTGCAAATGACATTTTTTGAAAGACGAATTTTATGATTAAAGTGAGAGTCAATAACCTTAATAGGAATGGAAAATGATGATCCAGTCTTATCACCTGGTCACAACGATCCATGCAAAATATCACTTATCAAAAATATATAAGGCTAAGATAGAGGGATGAAAAAAAACACCGGCGAGACATGGCGCTAATAACTCCTCCCTCGTCTCCTCCTTACAAACTGTTAGCAATGAAAATCGAAGCCCATTGTTGAAATTTCACGGACCTTAAAACATTTTAATTTACGAATGTGAGGTTGGTTGATGAACCTTCAACTTTTTAACTTCAATGAGAGCGAAATATAAGTGATTTATTGTGACTCAATCGCAGAATTATATCCGACCTGCTCCATTATTTCAGTAACTTATTCGTGCTGTTATTGTTGTTGTTTTAAACAATTGAAACCCTTGATGAAATATGCCCATTTTTCAGAATCTTGAGGAATGCTTTTAACAAAATAGCTTTACATATCCCAATGAAAATTAGGAAAGACAGTCTCGCATTTCGTTTCATGTAGGTTATTTTGGTTTCTTTTTTTTTTGAAAAGAGTCTTGTACTTGTTATGGTAATGCATAAGTTTCTTAGATATCGTATATATAATACCAATTGCTTTGGTGCGTGGTATACCAAGCGTCAGCTAAACAAAGTTCATGAAAGACGTCCAGATGGACATTCTTCAGTTACCACATTCACTTATGGAGGTACTGTTTAAAACTTCACTCTTATATGTGACATTTTCTGAATAGACCAATTCATTAAGACTCTGGTGTATTGAGATGGCTCATAATATTAGTATTATCGCTTTTATATTTTGGATACAGTTATTCATTTTGAATGAACATTTTCAATCTGTTTTTACTATGTTGTTGGTGGTAATGGTAGTGGCTGCAACTGAGAAACTGTAAATATGGTAATCCACAAGGTATGATTTCAGATATTACTGTAACAGCAGTTCCACAAAACAGTGATAATTATAGTTATATGGTTATCTGTGGATCAACTAATGACTGTGTTGTTATTGATGTTGGCGATGCACAACCCATATTGCAGTGTTTGAGCGATAAAAATAAAATACCTCAGGCAGTACTTGTCACCCATAAACATTGGTATATGTTCACTGTATCTCCTATATAATTGAATTTGAGGATGGTATTTGGAATTTTCAACTACGATAGCAAAATGTTTCATTTTCTTCCTGTAGGGACCACTGTTACGGCAATAAACAACTGAAAAAGCGGTACAAGGAATTGAATATTTATGGTGGCGAAATTGATCGACCCGCTGACGTCAATAAGTAAGCTTAAGAGAAACAAATCATTATGTATTTTACTAAACTTTAGCAAAATACCAAACATATTTCTGAGTAGTTCAATACTTCTGCTATCTAATAAATACTTATAGCCAGTTACAAATTTAGGTCATATAAATTTGTAGGACTCTTCCATGCGCAAATCCGTTTAACTGAACAATCTTTCCGAATTGATAGAATCGTTTTTGTAGATTCACAAATTGTTATATCCGACTTTTGATGATTTATGAAGATTACCTTGATTTGTCATTCTTCAGGTATGTTCGAAATGAAGCTTTGATCCAAGTTGGAAGATTGCATTTCAAAGCATTGCATGTCCCTGGACACACCGCTGGCCACATGATTTATGCTTTGCAGTTAAATGATGAACTGAAGTGTTTATTTACGGGAGATTTCCTGTTTATCGCCGGGATAGGTATATTTGTAACCTGATATGATTTTATATGTTAATTATATTTTAAACCTGTATAAAAATTATCTAATAAAAGTGGAAGGAAAATTTAGATGAATTGTTCAGGTAAAATCTTCGAAGGAAGTACTTCACAAATGATTAGTTCTTTATTGACGCTGAATGATTTTCCTCCAGATACCATCATCTTCCCTGGCCATGAGTATGCAAAGCTCAATTTATCTTTTGCTTTGTCACTAGAAAAAGATAATGAGGTACTGGAAGCGGTGAGCAAAGCAGTACATGAAAAACGGACCACCCGCTCTCCCATTGTAAGTTTATATACTTTCGGAGTTTGTTTGTTAGATTTGGTTTTTAATGAAGCGAGGGCGAAGAATTTGGTATTGTATTGCTTCTTGAAAATAGATAAATCACTCCATAATTAAATTAATATTAAATTTGAACGCATTTCAACACAGTGGTCATAAATCTAATCGCATTCATTAGCCGTCATAATAAAGATAAAATCGTAATCTGATGCGTGGTGGTATATCGCTGTGACGATAGATATATTTTAATGTAATATCTGCATGAATCTGCCGAACTTAAGACGATAAACCGAAAAGAAAGATCGATGAAAAAGAGCTGGTTACTTCATGTATAATTGGAGTATTCAAAAAACTTAGGGACATAGCAACGGATCCAAGTACAAGCTATTACAATGAAACATTTTTTGAAACTTCGTGGATAGTATTGGCCGAGAACAGTTCTTACATTTAGCTTTATTAATTTTCTTGGATAATAACTCTTTTTGCTCACTTCATCAAACAATGTAGATCTTTTCATATTCTTATCTTTATTATGACGGATAATGAATTAGATTGATATTCATGGCCATTTTGTTGAAATATATCATTGTATCCTAATCTGATATTAATTTAACTATGTTCTAATTAATTTCTTTCCTATAGCATAACTTACTATTTGGTTTTTTTCTTGTTTTGTGACCTGCAATGTTCTTTGTTTGATGAATACCATAATTTTTCGTTGGTTTCTGCACAAATAATACAAAATAGTTACTAATACAAATGAAAAAATATTCTTAAACCTGAATCTTGAAATGGGGCTGGAGATTTGGTATCTTAAATTAATATCACTCTTCATCAATGATAGCAAGTTCAGCATTCAATGATATCACTATTTAGCTGAAAAAGCACTTTATATTTAAACAATACTTCTTATCACATAAAAGAGTTCAAGATAAGAGGCAAAATATTCATTTTAACTGTTGTTAACTGTTGTATTTTTATGAAAATGCATTACATTTTAGCCTCCGTTATTCGCCTTCTGAATCAGATTATGTTTCTCTTATTTTTTCTCTTCTCATTTCCTATGCAAAGCTTAACAGTTTTATTCCCAAAGTGCTTCTGAATAACCTCGGTTATTTGTCTCCCTAGCTGCATCAGTATTGATTTTCGGAAGGATAAGCCTTCTCAAGAAAAACGCTTGAACACATTACTAATCTCATTTACTATTCATTTAGGTATGAATTTCAATATTCCTTTCTTTCTCGCATGGCAATATCAACGAGACTTATATATTATGTTATGCCCTCCAGATAACTTACTAGTTAAAACAGTATGAAAAAAGGTTTTTCATAAAAGATTAATTATGTAAAAAACAATACAATCATACCGGAACTTGTCCATCATAAATGTATGAATAATATCTTTTTATACTGTAAAAAAAGTCGTCATATTTTGCATTTTTTGACATTCTGATAGTCATTCTTTCTTCCCTTGTGAATAATAGTGTTTTGCAAATTATAGTGACTGTTAACTTTCTATTAATAGTCTGATGATTTATGGTTAGAATAAGTACGGTTGAGTCCTCTTTCTTTTGATTATGTTATTTATACGCATCATTTGAAGTATATGATAAGTGTCGGTATAATGCAAATTTTAATTTAATCTTGGATTAACAAATTTATTTTGCATTCGACAAGGGAAGGAAATGATGTTTTCATCTCTTTAAGAAATATACCTTTAAGAAAAGATAATAAGTAGTGATTTGCGTGTTATACAATTTCCATTGTAATATTTGCTGCATTTCTTTCGATGCTTTGTCTCGACTAACTTCTTGTCAGATAATGCTTTGACATTTCGATACTTATCTGTATATAAAAAGCAATTTCGCTTATCCATTATTACTATTCAATTCAAAACTTTTATTTGTTTTGAAAATATTTTTGAAAAAAAAAGATCGGATCAGAGCCAACTTGAATAGTTCAACAGAAAAAGCAGAGTGCAAACAATAGGATACTAATTTTTTATTTTTCGTTCTTTAGTTATTAAATGTTCTCAAATTGTATAAAAATTTCTTTCTTGACAAAGCTTTTTCGTGATATCGAACAAGAAATTTTTCGTTTTAAGGTTGGGGTCACCCTTGGTGATGAATACAAAATCAATCCTTATTTACGCACTTGTTCCTTAAAATTTCGGAAAGCTCTGGTTGCTGCTGGCTACAATGTTCCTGCAGAAGCAAAGGAATTTGCTGATCGAGACATTGACGAAGCAAAGGATAACTCAATGGAAGCTCAAATTGCTGTTTTTGATGCTTTGGAAAAAGCTAAAAATGATTTTATAGATGAACTTGTGAAGCAGATAGAGCGAAAACGTTCTAAAAGTATCCGGAATAACCCGTAAATCTTGTTGTCAAGTTAAGTTTATTTCTCCTCGATTTTCTATACATTTCTTTATTTTTTCTCAGTCCCAGGGAAATGCATGAGATTTACTTTAATGGTATCGGCTTATATTCTGTCTTTTTGGTTTTAAAACATTATTATAGCAAGGACTTTTTGGCTTTAATATATTGTTTATTATTGTCAGTTACTTGCGCTTGAAATAAATTACGCATTTATTTTAACAAAAAACCTTTATTATGGCAATTTTTATTTACTTGCAAGCCTTATTCAACCTATCAAAAATTTTACAATTAACATCTTTCTCCTCATCTTTCCATTTCATCCTTTATGTTTTATTCATTCTTTAACACCTTTCCGAAATGCATTTATGCATTTTTTCTAATTTATTCGTTATGAGAAACTTTTTTTAACGTAATGTTCAAATTTCCCAACGTAAAAAATCGTCAAGAAATTTCTCATGTTTCTCTTTCAATTCTGGAATTCTGAGCTGTCGGACTAATCCAATTCAATTATTACCTAACAAACAATTTGTGCTCTATTTGTTCACACATAGTCATAATCATTCATTTATATTATTTCTCTTCGTATCATTATATTATGCAAAAAATTTGCTTATTCATAAACTATGTTCTGATGCTATTATCTATTTTTTATGTCCTATTCTATTCATTTGATTTTAGTGATTATATCGTTTACTACTTATTTATTTATGACTCGGTACCTCAGATAAATTTCATAAATTTCAACTACTCAATCATTCCAGCCGAATCGCACAATTGATTTGATCTCATTCTCGAAATATTTAATTTACGACTAATTATTTAAGTCTAGTATATCGGAAAAAAATTACTTCAAATATTTTATTGGAAATATTGCTTGTATCGATTGATTTTTGATTAGTATTTTTCACAATTTATTAAAAATTCTTTGAATTCTTTGAAGATTTTGCATGAATTTCTTTTTTGCTATTGCTTCATTTGTTGCATTTAAATCTCTAGATTATTATTTTAAGAACTACTGCTTTCGAAAATTTTAATGTCTTCTCTGCTAGGATATTTCCGATAAAATCACTTTATATATCTAATATTTTAAAGGTACTATTTTATTTGTGCAGCTTCGTTGTAATAATTCATTTATAAGCAGTTATCATACTTATTGGTATTGATCTTGATACTCATTTCTTGTTTTTGATCACTCATTAAATAAATATTGGTCATGTTGAATCTTCTCTCATTCACTATCTTTTATCTTTTACTTTATATAATATCATTTTGGTGTATTTCAAATTCATAGGTAAAAAAATCACGCATTATTATTTGTTCAAATCATTGGGATACGAATGTTTGGATCTTTTGATTTGCCTCACAGTACATTAATGCCACTAATTTAAAACATAATAAATAAAGTGCTCTGAAATATTTTCTTTAGATAGAGAAAATTTTTTTTTTAGGTTTTTTCTCAGGGGGATCCTTCTAGTTGAAGTTACGCAACCGAGTTAAAGTTACAAAGTTCACATTTTACTGTATGCATTTGAATCTTAACATTACTATATTTTTTTATATCGTAAAAGCCAAAGGTATTTAGTGCAGCACATTTCCTTTGACTACAGAAGGAAATATAAACGTTCATATTCAAATTGAGTGTTAATATAAAAACGGGAATAGTTGGGAATTATTCAATGAATTTCCTCAGTGTAGTATTGGATTTCGAATGGTTATGGAAAAAAGAATGTTTTGACTTAAGGAAATTAAAAGATGAAGGTGAGAGGAGCGAACGGACAGATCAGTTAGTAAGTTATGTGCTTAATAAACACATTGAATGTGTAGATGAAATATTGGAGGAGAGAGAGGGACAGGTGTGTCAGGGTTACTTTAAGGGATGAATCATTTGAATAAGTAAGCGTTACTTTGTACAAAGTCGATAAGAGGGAGAGGAAGAGAAAGAGACAGATGTTCATTTTGTGTGACCAAATGAAGAGGATTGTCATGTTACACTTATAAGGGAATTATACATTCTATTCCACTGTTCACTTCAACTTGTTAATTGTGAAGAATTATTCCCTGATAAAGAAGTTATTGATATGTACACATGGGCACATATCAGTGGAGTGACAAATTGGCTGGGCTGTGGAACGGTTGGCTCTTTCTGAGAAAGAGAAGGCGTGGTTGAGGCTGGGTGCAGTCCATTCATGTGGCCCGTTAGGGACAAGCTGCTCCAGCCTGCTCTCTCACTTGCTCCTCTCATAACTTTTGCTTCTGATTGCTGACAGCGGGAGATAATTGAGAGGCGGTCGGGGCCCATTCCTGCATTAACTCAACAATGGAAAAGTTTCTATTTGAAAATTATTCAATTTTATCGCAGTACTACTATGTATGCTTGGTCTGACATTTAAAACCGAATTTTGGTAAAAATGAAAACGGAAATGAAAGTAGATTGTTGCGCACTATCCATTGGTAGTGGTCGAGTAATGTCAACAGAAAGCAGTCTAGCTAACTAGTACTCTTCATATGGTTCTAAATTTCAGCAAATACAAAGCAGTACTGCACACCAATTAATGGGTGCTATCATTGCATTTCCTCTAGTCAAGTTGGTATCAATCGGGAAATATTAATGATTGGCAAAGGTGAAGCTTGCTGCGATAAAAGCTGCGTAAGCTGGTTAGTGTGTAATGTGTAGATTTGAAATTTGTGGCCAATCGAGATCCCTTTTTTATTTACTGCTAATCACTGTTTATCAATCCGTCATCATACTGTCAACATCATTGTCCCCGTCGTCATTGTTAGTGTCATCATCTGACCCCGAGACATCCCGCTTGTCAGTTTGCTTCAGCTGTGCTTCTCCCGCATATCTCAGTCTATGGAATCAGCTCATGCATCACTATTTCCCACCCAAAAATTTCACCGATCGTTGTTGGGGACCAGATTCCGAAATCGGCACTGTACCATGCCGCGGTTCCTGTTTTATTTTGGTCGAGGAAATCTTCGAACATTGTAAGTTTTTCAAGCATGGTTTAATGAACTTCCCTTCTTGAAATTCCTTTGCTGAGAACTGCTCGACTTACTGGAATGCTGTGGGCATATTTAAAAATAAATTTTCATTGTAAATTAAAATTGCTTTATAATCATTATTTCCATTATCAGTTTAAAAAAATCAAAATTCCATCAATGCTTACATGCCGAACAGACAGTTCAGATGCATGCATTAGTTCCAAGTTAACTTGCGCCATTCAAGTGCGACAGGACCTGAAAACCAAATTGTTACTCCTATTCACGCTTATAAACAATATTCAACGATGCAAGGCCTTCTACTTCCCAACGAATTTGACTTTCTTGTGTCTTTCGTGCCAAATGTCGCATTGCTCTAGGAGAAGGTTCGGCTTCTTATCTGACCACAGAATGACTAATGACTATATGTGTGACTCGGAATTACTCAGTGTCCTTCCTTCTCCGCATCAACTTTTTTTTATCTTCACCACATTAATTCAAATTCATTGCGGTATATTATAAGTGCTTCTTCATGTGATCTTTCTTTTAGCAGGTGGTAATAGTAGAAGGAGAGAGAGAGAGAGATATATATGTCATGCATTTAGGATGCCTCTGAAATATCGAGGAAGACCTTTTAGAAAAAGTAAACATTTAATGCTCCCCTGCAAGAGACAACATCGAGAGTAGGAGGGATGAATGACAACAAAAACATCCTTTTTATTATTATGCAACCAACAGTAGGACTGATTGCATTGATAAAGACAATATTACCTGAGCCGATGCCTTCCTTAACTTATATATATATATATATTCTTCACTAAATCCAACTATATTTGATAGCACTTTACAAATATTTTAATACCGAAAACCATAGCATCTCTCCCCATGAGAGTGAAATTGAGGAAATAAAATTTCAGATTTGTTCTTGTATAGTTGAATAGTTGATATTAAAATTGCTTGAGAGATTAGGTTTTAGACATACAGTAAGCAAATATGACATGCAAGTGGTATAGTCATTTCATGTTGCCTATTGAAGAAAGAAACAAATATTTAGGTGACAGATTATGTAATATGAAATATTCATTTTACAATTTACCTGTACAGAATATTTTAATACTTTACTTTTTAAATAAAAGGAAAGAAAGGCTGATAATATATTCAGCGGAAGGAATTATTGTTTTCAATGCATCCTCCTAATCCTTTTTTCCTCTTCTATTCTTGTCTTCATTTCCTCTGTAACTTTTATTAGTATTTTTCGCTAGAAATTCTCACATTTGCTAAGAAAAGAAAAAAGCAGTTTTTTTTTACTTTTCAATAAATTTTTTATGGGATCCTTTCTTTTCTGCTCATTGAAATACAAATTAGCTAAAAATCAACGAATTTTCAAATTTGCATATTAATCAGTAAAATGCAGAAAAGATTTCCTTCCGACAAAAATTGGCATTATGCAAAAGAAGGAGAGACTCTCAATTAGTTGAAAATTACACATGACTGATTACATCAAAATTATGCTTTGCACTGACCTGCTCTAGCCTAGTTTTTCGTACATTCAACATTTCCAGTTGTTTTGGGGAAAGGTTAAAAGTTCATTTGACCTATTATTAAACCAATCTAAAAAATTTAGTTTTCTGAGATGGTTTTGGACATTTTTCCTGTATTGTAGCATTTTTTTTATTTTCATTGTTTTAGTGAAATCTGTGCAATATAACTAGCATCATCTGATCAATCCTATTATGAAATATTTAAAATATCCAAGGATAGTTTGACAATTTCTGTCAATATGAATTGGTATTTCGTTCTTCGGAGAGTTGAATGTTGATTTATTTGTATTTACATATTATATAAACAACAATTACTTACATGGTTCTTTGCAAGAAAACAGAAAACTACGCTTCTAATTATACTACATATCATGTATTGATGTTAACGTGCTAAAGATTTTGTAAGGAGGCAGGAATTGGGAAAAACTTCAGATGAAAAAAAGCCGTTTATTAAATTTTTAAACCAGAAGATATAACTTGAAATTTTGTGCAAAATTCTTCACATTCCTTCTATTCTGTGTTTTTGCTTAAAATTTGCATTCCATTTGCATAAAATTAATTTGCATATCCACACTTCACAGCCTCTTATTAATTTAAGCAAAATCATAATCCAGAGTGACGAGAATCATGTCCAAATTCAAAAAGCATTCAAAAAACTGATCGTGTTTAATTATACACTTTTTTGCCTTGTTTAGAAACAAAATAGTACGAACTATTTTGAAGTGGTACCGAAAATTCAAAATCATGAACACAGAGTATTCAGTATGTTCTTGTTTTCACTATATGGAATCTCTAAATCTAATTATATGTAATCTCTAATTTTAATTTCTTTTTCCATGAAAATTATAAAATGTGATACTGCATTGCAATTGAAAATTACTTTTCATAAAAGAAAATCATAAAAGTTTAGTAGACGTGTCAATAATTTCCAGATGCTTCTAAAACCTTTTGACTTTTGGAATAACTAATCAACTTTCACAGACATCAGGCATTTAATTATTCTGTAAATCGGGGCCAGTATTATATATAATATATATTAGGCTTCCATATTGCGACCAATTTTTTTTTTTTTTTGAAAATGTTCAGTTTTATTGTACGATGAATTTCTTGCTGGCAATGAAATTCGAGAAAAAAAATGAATTGAAACATTGTATTAACACAACGAATTTTGCTAATTTAATCTTGAGAAGTACTTCAACCTATTGATTTTCAACTATTCTGCCAGATGTAATCCATGATTGAAATTGGTAAAAACAGCTTTCTCTCAAATTCCAAATCTGATCTTCAACATGTTCATTTCTATATGTGAAAACATCTTGTATAACTGGCCGCTTATATTTCAGAATTCTCGTTACCGAATAATCAGCAGATGAAAGCATATGAATATATTTTTTATTTTCCATATTACCATTTATTTTTGACGATAGAAATTAGTAAAGAAATTGTTGGTATGCATTATAATTAGTTAGCAAATTATCATAGAAACTGCAATCCACCAACAGATAATCATTTTAAAGATTGTAATTATTGAAATTTTTCTCAGCACTAATTTACTATGCAAAGTGTTAAGCTAATATTTTCTTTAAACCAGCGCTTTGCTTGATTCGATATTTAATTAGAGTTCTGCGTCTTCGCAAATTTATATAATTCAATTTGCAGTTTCGACGCATGCAGTGATGCGTGGTTGCGTGAATCGATTTCTATTGTTTGGTCTTGATGAGGATGTCCGTGATGCACTAACGGACAAATCAGAATGCCGTACAACTGATCGACGTTTACTTCACCTCGTGGCGCTCACTCCACAAACTGACCTCGTAAACATTTTGCAATTTGATTGTTTCGTCGATTGAGCTATCAGTAATGATAATGTATAAAACAGCGAGAAAATAAGAGGACATGACTTAAAGGTATTGTGAACATCTGTCCAAAATTGATTTTGAGTTGAAATAAACGGAACAATCCGGAAGGCTCTAAAAATCATTGAGTATTTTATCATATGTTATCCAAAAACCAGGTAATTAGAAAACTAAAAATTCTTACAATTTTGAGGCGTTTGCAGTTTATTCCACTCTTACATTACGCATCACTAAATTTATGTATATCATTTGCAGGTGATAATGTGCTCATGTACTGGTTCACTATGCAATTATGCCAGCATGGACCACGTGCTGTCGATCGCTGTTTCTTCCACACTGAACGCATTCTTTGCAGTCCTTATGCTGATTGCTCATTGCACTGTTCACTCCTTGATGACATCTTCTCGACTCATGTCACATATCATCATCCTTTGAACAAGCCTAAAAAACATGGGTCGTTGTCTACTTGAGCTGGTTTAAAGATGCCACCTGTTTTGAAGTGTGCATCTTGTTATTAATCACTATTATTTGCATCACTATCATATCATATCGTTCCATGTCATCGTCACTACTACTTGTTAGCAGCATTATCATTTGTTTGATAGCAAGATCGAGTCATCATTAGACACAGTTTTGAATCGAAGAATTACATTTGTGAAAATCGCACTAGAATTTTATAAGCATAAAAACTTCCGATGCAATGATTCAATAGAATAAAAAGTTATGAAGGAAATTAAAAGGTACTTTTTTAGCGGAATAAAACTTTCTGTGATAAAACATTTAATATTTTTATATAGTTGGCTATAACCTTAAAGTGACGGAAATCTGTTTTCAAATTTATTTCTATTGCAGCTGTTTAAAAGTCCCAAAATTCAATCATCAAAAGTGCTTTTGTCACGTGTCGCATTAATTTGAAGTTTACATGATTTCTGGAAAGGAATCTCTGAAAATGATAAGTATTAAAATCAATTACATGTTACATAACTTGTGGATTCGTTGCAGAGATATTGAATTTGCTTAAAAATATGTAAGTGGTTGGAGATCATATAAGTACGCTTAGAATATATGATGAGCTCCATTGATAATTTGATATGTTAGCTACGGTTGTTTGTTTCACGGAAATTGCGAGATTGCAAATAGCAGTGCCAAATTATTGGTTAGGAAGAATGGTGCAAGATACGATAGTGTCTTGCATCTGTAGCAACTCGCTTGTCACCAATAATCCTTTTCAGTTGTACTTCAGTATATTTGTTTTGTTTACGTGCTTGCATATATGTTTATATACACTATGTCTCTTCAGTTGTGCAAAGAAAAAGGCAAGTTGAAAGATTGAAAATAATGCTAATTATCTGGTGAATTAGCAGTAATTCCTTAAAAATAATCCTTTACTGTTTACTTCTTTTGAATCAATAAATAATTCAATGCAAATCCGACTCATTACCACAATGATTTTTAGCATGGAATCTACAAACATCCGAAATTTTCATGCATTGTCATGTTGAATTATGAAAAAAACTAGTTCATGTATGTGAAGGATTGCTTGAAGCTAGTGGTCACTTTCGGTCACGTGGGGATACTGGACAACTTCCGGTCAAGCTTTGATACTAATTCATAACAGTTAGGTTTCCAGGTAAGTGCTGCTCCAGCAAAGCCAACCGCAATACTTCAGGAAAACGACAGCAAGGCAGAAAAGGACAACGGAAAGAAGAGAGAAGAGGAAGCGAAAAAACTCGAAGTAAAACAAGATGAGGAGAAAAAAAAGGAAAGCAGAAAAAAGGATGAAAAAACAAGCAAGAAAGAGAAGGAAAATAAGCAAGCGGAAAGGAAGGAAAAAATAGAACAATTAGAAGGCAATAAGGAAGAGGTGAAAATTATGCTAAAGTCTAAAGTATAGATTAGGGTATGTGACAAATTCAGATTTTGACGAAAACTTGGAGGAGGGCAATGGAGTGATTCCATAGAATGTAAGAAGTTGTGATGAACTTAACAGAGAATGACTTATAGGAACAGCAGAGGGACCTGAATCCGATTGTGACGCCTGTCTCCGACGATGATGAGGTAATACTTTCATTCGAATCACTTTCCTTCAGATCAGAAATTATCTCCTTTCATTCATATATTCGAGAAGAAAGACATTTTGCAGCTGCCTGCGGAAACACAGAAGAAAGCAAAGGTACTGACACAAATGGCTGTCAATATTACTCAGGAAGAGGAAGAGGTATGGGAATGATTTGAAAATATAGAAAACGGTTAGTACTTGCAGTGTTCATTATTGTCTTCACTCTCACTGCTTTCTTTCAGGATAAAGATATTGAGGGGACACAAAGAAGCGACCTTCATCAATCTGTAATTTGATGACACTGAGAGCTACTCATTCATGAGTCTTGTCGTTGCATCATGACTCGTTTCATTTGGCTCGTTTGGCACTTTGTCATTTTGTCATAATAAGGCTCTAATAATAAATGATAAACATGATTTCATCATTTAAAGAGAGAATACCTCTTCCTTCTGATTCTTCATCAAGTTTGAAGATAATCTAGGAATCGTGTCTTCAATTTTGTCTGCACTGACTAAACGTCTTACGACTTTTCTTCTCTCTTTCCCATGTTAATTCTATAACCTTCACCTTCATGTTATTCTTCTTTCTTCACCAAACATTTTTAGCTGTTCTAATAAAATAACCAAATGACCCACAAGCTATATTTGTTTACAACTTCCACTGTTCATTCTGCGTTTTCAACTCACGTAGGTTACTGAAATTTTCAACTGTTGTCCACTGTTTGATAAAGGTAGTGATTCAGAAGCTTTACTTTTATATTCACGTAAATGAAATACAAAGATTCTTTCAACTACAATAAATTTCAGTTAGAAGTGTGAATGACCGATGCTATCATTTTATAGATGCAGAAAGCTTGCAGCCGATCAAACTACTTTAATCCGTTCAGAGGCGAGAATAAACATCTTTTATGGAATTTCTAAACAGCAACCAATCCATTCTTCTCCAAGGCATCTCTTGCTAAGCAGTACCTCCCACTGAGACACCAACTATTTCAAAATGTTCATCCGGAACCGCAGAATATCCTTGAGGCCCTGATGATCATTAGTTGTGATGTGGTCAGTCGGGTGTGTCCATCAGGTCACGATTGTTTAGGGAGTGGTAGAGGGGGTTATTTGTTAGAGTCAGAAATTATGAAGATTCTTATTTAATGAACTACAATAAATGGCTTGGTTAAGTGTCCATCAGAATCGACTTCCTCTTAACAATGAATATGGTATCTGTTGCTGCTCGATTATGGCTTAAAGCCATTCGCAGTGGATATGCCTGATCAGTATGTAGTGACCGGAAGTAAAACAGTGTTGGGAGAGGAGGAATCAGAAATTTCCTATAGATTTGATCCGTACATTTCTTCAACTTTCTATCCAGTAATAACGAGGAATTCATGACCAGTAAAAACGAGAAATTTAATTTAATACTTGAAATACTTTCATTGAATGAGTTTCCTAAAAAAAAAAAAAAAAAAAAAAAGAGTCCTGCATTGCACGCTACATTAAGCAGTGTAGTCTTGAGTTTCGAGGGATATGAGAAAAGTAGTGATACTGTTGGAATTTATAACAGTTCTCAGTTGCTAATGGTCGAATCATATTTCTCTAATCTTATTTCTAAACGTTAGAGATTTTTTTCTCATTTTTGTGACAAATAGAATCAAAGGCAGAAGCATTGTCATCATAAGATCAACGGAGTGTGGAGGTTTTAAAATTCTCATTTATCTTCTCTATACTTTTGTAAACTTTCCACTCTTCTTATAAAAATAGGAGAAGCGATGCTTTTGGCTGTCGCATGGATAAACAAATAACACTACTTATAAATAAAATAATTCATAGCAATAATTATTGCACATTAATGGCTTTCAACAGTTTGGTAATCTGTTGGTCACTTGTGTTGGCGGGTAAATGAAATGATTAATGTTAGGTATATTTTATTTGTATGATATCTAAATCGGTTGAAAAATAATTGCAATTAATAGAATATTGTGGTATTTGGTTGTTTCAGTTTTCATTTATCCAGCTTCCGTGTTATGTCGAACCGGATGAATGCATCCGTACAGATTTCTGGTTTGAGGACGCCGATACGTCGTATGTTTTCTTTTGAAAATATCTTTTGGAAGTATCACGTAGAGGTTTAAATTTTTTTATTTTATGTGAGCTAACAGAGCTTATCTGAAACTTGTAAAAGTTATGGAATAATATAAAATTATGTGATTTGATGGTTGAGTGTCAGCTGAAGATGTATCACCACAACAGCCACGACGTCTTGAAGTGGTTTCGAAGCAGGCAACCAAGGTTACTGCAATCTCTACTCGCTTGGAATGGAAGATTGACCAGGTGATATTAGTGTTATGTTATTTTTACGTCTCTGTATTCTGAGGTGTTTCTTATTTCGCAATACAAATCATAAGCTTACAAATTTCATCATTCATTGGTTAAATCTGGTTTTGGCATCCTTTCAGTTCGAAAAGCTAATGAAATTGTTCAAAAATGGGCATAATTTAATCAGTAAACAGTTTGGATGTCCACAAGCACCTACAGTCACTTGGGAACTACATGTTTACCCTAATGGAAAACGAGAGGAGGATGTTGGCAATGTTTCTTTCTTTTTGCGACAAGTAGGCTTGCAGGTAAATAGCATTGTGGTTTTGTTGGGAATCTGCTCTAGTCACGAGGAAATATGCTAAATCTTGTAGAAACTTGATCATTTTTCAGCGTGGTGAAGATCCCATAATGACGGAGTTTCAAATTTATGCGTTGGATGCGAATTCATTAAGGGTTAGCGTATGTAGAGATACGAAAGATTTTACCAATCAGCAAGGTCGCGGAAAGTTCCAGGTTTGTTATGCGTAGAAGCTTTGACGATTCAAATTTACGTAGTTTCTTGTTCTGGATATGGATATTGGAATGAATTTATTAGAAATCAAAAATTGTCGGCTTAAAAATTGGTAATCTATATATTCTTAGGTTTCGCGAGATAAGATGATGGCAGCATTAAAGGCAGATGGAGCTTTACTTCTAATTTGCGAAGTCGAATATTTTCCGCCTGGATCAAAAATTAGCGTTGAACAAGCAGTGGAAGCAGAGCCTTTAGATGATTTCGATGAAAAGAACGAAGTTTCTATACGGGATTCCCTTAAAGACATGCTGGATAGTGAGCTGTTTGCAGATTGCACCATAAAGGTACGCCTGCTTGTCTTACTTTATAATTGAAGTAATTGATTTTGTTTTATTATTTAGACGGTTAGATTCTAAAACATTTCTAGTTGTTGTAGATACTTTGTGATATTATAATTTATAATGAATCGCAGGTTGGTAATAAAACGCTTAAAGCTCATCGGTGTATATTGGGACAGCATAGCGAGGTGTTCCGTTCAATGTTTGCCCAGGAATCAATGTTGGAAGCTCAGAAAGGGATTATTGATATTCAGGATTCAAGGTTTGAACCTGTAAGTAATGGTGACTCATTATGTATTACGGCAGTGTCTCAGTCAATGATGTTATTGTCTCGAAATCATATCAAATTTTAAGGTGAGAGCTATGGTAGACTACATATACACAGGTTCGACAGATCTTGTGGAAGGTTATGCTGAAGATGTTTTGGCGATAGCTGACAAATATGCCATTCTGCCTCTTAAGGAGCAGTGCGAGCGATATCTCTCAACTACTATTAACTGTAAAAATGTTGCGTCTACAGCAGTATTTGCTGATACTTATTCGGCTTCGATACTTAAACAGGTTACAACTGATATTTGAAATTGTTTTCAAACTAGCATTTATTTTTAATAATGTCCCGGAGATTTTGTGTCACCAACTATTTCATATAAAATTTGCTACTTACAGTTATTTTCAAGTGAAAAACACTTCTAGTTTCTGTTAAAAAAATATGCGATTTTTAAGATTAAGCAAATTATTATTTCTTTACAGGCATGCACAAAATATATGTCACTTCATCACCGAGATGTCCTACGTTCGGCAGAATGGAAGCAGATGAAGAGAGAAAGATCAGAGTTGGCAAATGATCTTTTGGAATCAGTCTTGGTTGGTGATGGTGTTGCAAATCCTGGAGATTTTAGTTTCAGCGGTAGCGACGAAAGCAGTTCGACGGGTTCTGGTAATGTTTTGGTAAATGATAATCGACCACCACTTCGAAAGCGTGTACGACGAGCTGCTATCAGATAAAGTTTCATCGGGATTCATTAGACATTTTCTATTGTTTATTGGTTATTGGCTGAAGGAAGGGTTATATTTTGAATGACAACAACCGTGCACTGCTGTGGCCATTGCATCGTTTCTGAGATAATGCAAATGTACTATTGTCAATATTTGTATTTGGTTAAACTTTTGCATTACACTGATGTGCTTCTGTTCTGGAAATAAATTCTGATCTTATTGATAATGCACATTTATATCCTGATTTGGTAGACCAGCTTCAGCACATTTCATAATATTTCTACTGTTGAATGCCTCCAAAAATTTAATAAATTGAGTTAGCTTAAATCTTAGTTATTTGAAATAATCCGATTTGTATCCTTATAAAGTAAAATAACTTTGTTGTAATCATTGGATTTCTAGGTACCTTTTTGTTTTTTAATCCGTACCTTTCTGTTGGTTAGTTAACTGTTTAATACGTATCTCATTTTTTTTTTCAAGCTTACCAATTATTTTGATATTCCTAGTTCAGACATTTCCCTTTTTGCAGTTTTTATCGGACTGTATAACTTTTCACATTGAACTTACTGCGGGGTGAAATGTTATTTCGCTGCATTTTTTTTTTTTTTATCAAAAACATCCTCAGTGCTTTTGGTAATTAACCCAATCGAATTTAGTTTTTCATTACGTTATCGGGTCACGACTACGTGGCGGCATTGAGGATTTAACAAATTGTATTTCATGGTTGAACATTTTAGTTTCTTTAAATGAGGCAGCCTTAATTGGTTCATTGTCCATTTCTTTGTCTGATATTTACTCGCATGATATCCAATTTTTTTCTTTTTTTGTATAAAGTTTATCTCCACAGTACTTCATCGTCGTTATTTCTAGAGGTTTTGAGTGCCATAATTGTTTCGGAAACATTTTGTTGATCAGAATTATTGGATTTCCACTGTGATTCCTGATGTTACAAACATGTACTGTTAAGATAGAATATGATTGAAAAACCATTTGTAATGTATTTTGGAATCATCACCGGATGGCAGACTTTAAAACTGTGGAGTAGGTTATGTCAGTATTGGTGGTAGTATCAGTTTAATAAAAATTGGATCTGATGTTGTTGGTTATATTTCTCTTTGCATCAGTTTGCGCTGTAGATTTACAAGAAATTATCTGTTTATTCTTTGAGATGTGATTTCTAAATGAGTGCGCTAGATTGGAAAATTATTTGTGTTACGTATAACGTGAATACTAGGAAACCCGAAAGTGATCAGATCCATCAGCTTTTACAACACGACGATGTGAAAGATGCTGTCATTGTTGCAGTTGGATTACAGGTTTGTGTTTTGCTTCTTTTGTGCATGACCAAATAGATCTCTAAAAAACTCGTACAATCTTTCTTTTGCATTAATTAATGATATGACTTCGAATTGCTTTCTACAATAAGTATCTTTAACTAAACTTGGAATGAAATTGACGTTATAGGAATGTTGATCACTGTGATTATATGTAATTCATTAATCCAGAATGAAAAAGGCAGTCACTCTTTTTTCCCGTCTTCCGGTGTGTTGTCTTCTGTTTATATCCTTTTCTATATTATTCCAACTTTGCTCCATAGAATAACAGACTTAATGGTTTCAAACTTCGTTTATTTTAAGGAACTTTCTCATTTGGAGTTATTCGGTACGATGCCGGCCGAAACAACATGGTTATCAATTCTAACATCTTGGATGAGTGCTCATGGGAAATCACTTCTTTGTAAGACATCACTTGCTTGGAATTTACTACTCATTTTCGCTCAGTTGGAAGTGTTTCCTCTAGTGAGTGAAATCAACTCACGACAGTCACGGTCTAGCTTAGGAGGTCTTACTGGTCATAAAGGAAGTGTGTCGTTAAGAATAAAATTTAAAGTAAGTTTTCTGATTATCTTTTATTTTCAATGTGAAAATGAGGATAAACTCCCTAGTTTTTTCTATGACACAACAGAGAAATGATAGAAATTTTAGGCTGAAATGTGAGCACAAGCTAATCATTTAAATTGGAGAAGTTAATCCATGATTTGACATATATTTGTGTTAAACAATTTTAGGATGAAAGTTCCTTGGTTTTTATTACGTCCCATCTTCTACCAAATGCAAGTAATTATGAAAAAAGATGTTTACAATATAAAAATGGAAAAGTTTGTGCCTTTGATGATATATCGAGGAGCGGTGATGGGAACAATAATGTAATTTGGCTCGGCGATTTCAATTGGAGAGTAGATCAGCTCACATCTCAAGAAATGATTATGTATATCTCAAAATTACCCATCTTTTCTAAGGATTCATTTCTTTGAATTTATGTATCATCCGTTTCCTAAGAAATGCTTCTTCCTTCATCTTTTTTGAGTAGTTTGCAGTGAATCAGTAGAAAGATCTACTGCGATTCTTTCAGGAAGCTGGCTGAATTGAATTCTAATGAACATATGGATAAGTTGGTGAATAAGTTTGATCAGTTAAAAAGAGCTCAGAGAAACGGACAAGCTTTCATGGATTACAATGAAGAGAAAATTCATTTCGCTCCCACTTATCGCCTCATGGTAGTTTTTGCCTATGAAATCCCATTTGTCTGCTTTATAATTTTTTGTTTTAAGATGCTACTTTTCTTCGTCCGATTTTGATTTCCGATTTTCCAATAATTTTATGATTTACATAGGTTGGCTCCTCATATTATGATCAAGAACGTGTACCATCATGGTGCGATCGCATTCTTTTCAAAGGAAAATCTCTACGTTGTGAACGATACAAATCAAATCGCATGGTTACTTTATCGGACCATTTTCCAGTATATGCGCATTTTATTCTGTCTGAACCAGTATCACGACACCATTCGCAGTGGAAAGTTTGTTTCGAAAAAGTGCCACGCTGGTACAATATCGTGCCATTCACATGTCGATTTACATATCTGGATGATTTCTGGAGCAGTGATGGATCATATCGTGACTGGGTTGCGATTTATTCAGCAGATGTTCCGAATTCTGTACAGCCGTTGACTTGGTTATATGTAGTTGCTTGTTACAATACGATTATAGCAAATAGGTCAGTTACTATTGCTGAATTTCCTTGTTTAAGTGCTGGACATTATCGAGTTGGCTATTTTAGTGCATACAAAAATTGCTTACAGGGTTTGTCGGATATTTTTGAGGTGGAATTTATCAAGTAGTATTTCCAACCTTATAAGATTAATGTTAGGATGTATTAGTTGCAATTCAGAAAAATACTAATAGAAACCAATGTGTTACTATAAATGAAGTGATATGAAAAGTGGTTAAAGTGGTTAACCCACAATATATGCCAGAATTTTATAGTCTATAGTATGAACCGCAAGCTTACCTATTTTTCCTGAAGTTTACTTAGTTCTATTTTAGCTTTTCATGTTTATCGTCGTCATATCTTCATCTTTGAATTATATATATATATATTGATCAGTAAACTGTTTATGAGAATGCTGGAGATCTTGAGCAAAACTAGGAAAATTTCAGCCTCTTGGAAGGACTATTCTCTCGCTGTCTCCATCCTTCAGGTGATTTGCAGAGACTGCATATTGTTTTTTTTTTTATTTAAAATTGCAAACAAATAAGAAGTGTGAAGATTTTTTTTCAAATGTTAAGAATATCCAGAAAGCAAACAGGCTGACTTTCGGAAACAGAACATAAAGGACAACACCAAAGAGAATTCAGCCGCTAAGGAAACCTGCCCTCAATTTGATGAATAATTCCCAGTTCAAAAATTAAAAGCCAATTTATCAGAAGTTATAACTGCCTGCAATCAGTACGCGCAAGCAATTGTAACCACTGACCTTGTCATCGATTTTCTCGTCTTCTTATCTCTTCGTGAAGAACTTTGTTTTGAATTGCTTGAACAGACAAGCATGATTTCATATTGATACATCAAATTGAGGGCAGGTTTCCTTAGCGGCTGAATTCTCTTTGGTGTTGTCCTTTATGTTCTGTTTCCGAAAGTCAGCCTGTTTGCTTTCTAGATATTCTTAACATTTGAAAAAAATCTTCACACTTCTTATTCGTCTGCAATTTTAAATAAAAAATTTCAGTTACAAATAAAATGCTTAAAGTTCCGATAAGGGGTTAAAAACAATAATTTGACAAGTGTGAAAAACAGTTCTCATAAGAATGATGCAAAAGTTAGTGCATAAAATAATGCATTACTAAAAACACTAGAATTAGGTTGGAAAATTCATTCATTCATAAAGAAAATGAAATGCCCATGACAATTATGTATTTAAATTACAAATCCGGGAAAGACTAAAATTAAGACAGTCAAGAGCTATAAAACCCGCTGAAAAATATTATAAATATTGAGAAATATTATATTAAAGAGTTGGAGATTTATCAGCGACCTATTCCCCCAACCACCGATAACTGCCCTGACTGTAGTGCAAGCTTGTACAAGTTCGCACTAAAGCTCTTTTGTACAAGATTTTCCAGAAACTCCCATTTTGGTGATTGGCCAGTTACATATTTTACTCTCCATAATCCTTAAGAATTATATGATGCACAACTCTGGTTAACATGGACGTAAAAGATATATGCAGTATGGAATAAAAAAAGTACAAATCACTGCAAATCAAACTTTAAATATATAGAAGCGTTGTTGTTCGTTACATTAAACTGCTTTTTTATTAAGTTATAATAATCTTAGTTCAAAGCACATGCGCAAACATCTGTGCAGAACATTTCCATTATGAATTGGCCCCTTTTTTAGCAATTTTTAAAGTAATTTTTCTTCACGCTCCACTTCTTTAAAAAACGATGTAACAAATATCCATTTATTTGATACTGCTATTAGATAAAATATTTTGATCAAATCAAAGGGAATTCATTTAACAATTTTTCGGAACGACTTTAACAACACTACATTGCTTAATAAAATCCTTAAAAGTCATTGCACTGATTGAGAATTCTACTTTGTGAGAATCCAGTTTCCCAATCATTTATATGCTCAAAATAGGCATCCACAACTCGTTCAGCCAACAAAGGACTTTCATCCCATGACCGCAAAATATTATGAAGCACTTTGCTATCCAAGTTTAACGCATTCACCAACCATCTCTGCATAAGCCTTTTCTCTATGCCAAGCTGAAAATGATAAAAATTGTACAAAGATTAGAAAAATAAAATTCTACCTCAAGGTAGCAGAACGTTCGCTTTTATTCACATATTTTTTTAGTAAATATAGTTACCAAAGAAACAAGTGAATTTCAAACTATCAAAAAGCAGATTTGCAATGTGGATCTCTTTAATCGATCTAATAGGTCTTTCATTCATTAATGAATACGAAGCTTTAATAAGCATCTTAAAAATGAGATAACGGTGAATTAGTCACAGAACTGATAGATCTAATGAAAGCTTTTGTTGTAGCTCTGAAATGTTAACATGTCAAACATAATAGTAGCTCTCAGAACTAATTTTCTTACTTCCTCCTTCAGGCAAATAATGCAACTTAAAGAATATTCCCTAACCAGATGAGCATGCTTATACATCCATAGACGGAATGTTATAATGAACATACTGGATTTGTTATTTCTTCTTCAGACTGAGAATAGCTACTGAGCTGGTCGTAATAAGCATTCAGTACGACCTCCTTCTCAAGAGTACCATGGAATGATGACAGAAAGTCATGGAAGGATTTTCTTTCCATTTTCACTTCATCAGTTAATGTTTTCCACAAATGTGTTTTCGACTCAGCATACTATAATAATTTTTCACTATGAAAAAGTAATGTGAAAAGTAAGTGCGAAATTTTTTATATTCTTACCAGGAAAAACTACAGATATTACTTTTGAATAAAAGAACTGACTTTGTCATCCTTGAATAATCTTTCTCCTTTTTTATGTGCTATCCACATTTCCAAATATGATGGATTAGTAACTTCAGTGAGGGATTCCTTATAAGCTGCATTTTCTTCTATTATGACAGACTAAAATGTTCAAAAAATTAAACAGAAAGAAAAAATGTGGAATTACTGCATGAAAACACAACTGAAGTAACACAAGAAAAAAAATTATGTAATGCTGTGGATAATATCTAATTACGCTTAAAGATCTATGGGAATTGGCTAAACAATATCTTTATTTCGATATTTCTTAACTGAAATGCTCTTAATGACACTATAATATGCTAATAGGAAAAAAAGACTTGAGGAACCGAAATTAAAACTCTGTCAACATTAGTGAAGAAAAGAAATATGCGTGTCTTACAGAGGACTTGCTTCCATTACTTTTCGAATTTCTGTCACTTGTGTTTTCATGAACGAAAAGAGGAACTGAAGAATCAAAACTATGCAAATTATTCTTAGTTTGCATGTACGCATCACTACATCGTCCTTGTAACTGGTACTATAAATTTAATGATTAATAACAGCTTTAATGTGAATTAAAGGATATGTAAGGTATGATTCGAGACAAAGTGACTATCTACTTGATATCCAACTGATATAATTGATATAAGCGCACGTTTTGCGATTGTAATATTTCTTAATTATCAAACAAAAAGCGACACCAGATACTAACAAAACTAAAAGTTAGCTAAGGAAGAATTAAGAAAAATTACCTCCAGTTCTTGCTTCTCAGCAGTACTCCGCCAATAAAACAAAGCTTTTATACTTTCATATTCTGCAATTCCGTCTTCTTCACCTCTCACTATTTTATCATATACGCCATTAGGGAAGGAAGTTTTAACTGGCTTGTTGCACAGCATATACTTAGACAACCGTTCTACTTCAATAACGTTGCCATTTAAAAAATAGCCATATAAATCAAAGTAATCTATTTTTGATTGAAATCCAAACATCAAAAAGTTGCAGGTCTAAGATTACAGGAATATCAGGGTCACTTGTATGAATGAGCAGTTGTAACTTGAAACAAACCTTTGACAAACTTATATTGCGCCTCAGCTAATCTGTAGATTTCATCTATACGTTCAAGTACTTTCATTCTGCGTTCTTCCGACCATTTTTCATTTTCTACCAGGTCATAATCATCGTCCTCTGGCAAACTATAAAACTGTTCTGAAACTAATAACGAATGAACTAGCAAATACGAACATTTGAATAAATTTGAATAAACATTTGAAGCATCATTTGAATAAATAACTTTTGGTAATCATTACCGTAGATCTTAAATAGTGTCACAAATTTGACGGAAATAACTAAATTACTATTGGTATACTGAAGATACCAACATACTATAAGCAGTATATAGGTATTTAACCGATAAATTTAGCAATTTTAATTGATTTATTATTTAGTAATTTTTTTTTTAGTGAATAAAATGATATTTACAATATTAACACTAAATTAGCATATAATGATTGTTGCATTTGATAATGGTATGCAATGAGAGCTTCATTTTAGCATACTAATACCGTTAATTTAGTAGACTGATTATTTCAAATGATAACTGGAGCCCTTATACATATATATAACTTAAAAATTTTTATTGTTCTGAATCTTAAAAAGATGCGACTAATATTATGCTATATAAATAACGATAAAATTACCAAACGCGTAATTTACACACATAAAATAGCCTGCGTAAAACTTGTCGCCTTCCGCATTTGTGAAAAACATTGGCTTTTTCATATTGCTGATAAATGTTAAGTTTATATTACGTGAACGTACTTGATGCAGCTGTGGAAAACATGCTAAATGATCTCGAAATTTATCCTGAAACAAATATTATTCAGCAAATATAGATGAGTTATGAAGGTGCTCTGTATGAAAATAAAGTAAAACTACCTTTAATATTCAATTAAATGCGAAAAAAAAGGATGTAAAGCCATTCAACAAAGAATACCAAACCTCAATCTGGTTTTCTGTTAACCTCAATGAGTCTTCAATTAATGGCAATTACTATCAATGACTAAGAAATATAAATCTAAAACGCTCAAAATCACCTTTGTAATAACAGAACCGCAAGCATCCCTTGCAACTGTAAGGGCAACCAGATCATCATGCATCATATGAGGCACCAATATTAGCAACTTTAAAGCACGAAGATCCTTAATGAACTGAATATTGAAGAACTCATACACAGAACATTGCCCAATGACTATATGAAATGCATTATTAACTACTTCTGGGAAGGCGAAAAATTACTATGAAAAGGTGAACAATCTAAAAAACATGCCTTCCAAATATGAAAATTCTTATAGCACTTTTTGTAGATGCAAAGTTCAGGCATAACAACTTCGACCGCATGTCCTCTTCTGACAAAATACCGGATAACTGGTAATAGCGACAAACAATCTAACTGTTTTCTGCAATTTTAGTGGTATCTGAACAACGAGTGAAGCGGAATAAGTATAGACTAATAGCTGATAAATGTGAACTATGTGTTTCACTCAATTTAAGTTACTGTTGGCGATATTCTGCGTTTAAAAAAGAGCAAGACAACCGCACGTCAAAAAAAAAAATGATATACTAAACCGCAGTAGAGTATTGAAGAAGACCACTTTCCTTACGGAAATAAACAATTAAGATACTTGAATGAGTTCAATGACGAAAAAAGGTGAAAGATAATTATAGGTTACTTCGTTTTCTACTTCTGTAGTCATTTTCTACAAAATATGTAAGGCAACATGCAAGTAATAAAAGGAAACGAAAAAAAAAAAAAAAACACATACTGGGTTCGGCCAGCATGATTTGTTCTCATGTGCATAACATTCATGGCATCAATAATAAGTAAACGTTTAGCTGAGTGCTGGGTTACCTTCCGAAATGAAGGAGCATTGTCTGCAAAGGTTCGTGGAATAAAACTACTTCACTCATCGCAACTATTAACAATACATTTCTGCTAAAAGTGAAGGGAGTAACAAGGTGACAAACATGGTATTGTCCACTCTTCCAAACACTTATCCCTGACAACTCTTTTTAAAGTGGGAAGGATTACCTGCTGAGTATTCTTCAGAACACCGTTCTTCTGATTCGTCAACCCCCACATCCTTGCCACACTGTCTCCAACGTTCAGTCCTGAATTGCATACTTCACTCTTAAAACTCTACCTGGATGTCACGGAGTATTTGCGGTCCGTTACTTCGAACCATACGTGGACGAATAAATAGACGTAATTTTACTGTTTGTGGACGTCAGTTTGTTTCGTGGTGCTAGCGCGAAGCATTTCAAGGTGATGGTATTATTGTGCTGACAATATGATGGCAGATGAGGACTTCTTATTCCAAAATCTCCAGTGTTCTGCGATATGCCTTGCAAAGATGAAAAATGTTGGTGATATTTTCACTAAGTTCAGTCGATATGAATAAATGAACTCAGTAATTTTAAGTAAATTTTCTTATTATTAATCTTCCAGTAATAGTTTCAGATTTCCATTCTTTATTTCTCAAATTCATAGAAAAGCTGACAGAAGGATAAAAAAACATTTTACTGTCTTTATATGATTCAAAAAGGTTATAATAGTTTCCTCTCTGTAAATTGTGAAAAGATAACCCAGACTCAATTAAACAGAAGAACGTTTTATCAATCTGGTGTTGAATATTAGGTGACCATTACAAATGAATTCAACTGGAATTGGATTTGTGATAAGCCATAATTGATCTTTCGAAGATATTTCGATAATAAAGAAATAGGGTTTATGGAACTTGAATCATCATATTTCTGGTTCACTTTATATAAATCGTAAGTACTGCTAGTTGCTTGAAACATCTTGGAAGGGATGAGTTCGGTAGTAAAAAAGTATTGCAACGATATAACGTTTTTACAAAATTTTTAGGTACCAGTGAAGAAAGTATTGAAGACTTTACTTGATGGCGTAGACGGAAGTGAGAAACCGTTAAATTATAATGCTCGAACGAAATTGCTTGCAGTTGGAATCTATTTATTGTATGCCGAAGGACGAGTATGCTATACTGATTGGCTTCATTAAATTAGATATACCAAGAATTATAATATTTTGCTTTTCATTATTTCACTCCGTTTTTTAGCATTTGAATGATTTACTTCCAATTCTTTTGGGAATTTATCGAAGTTTGCCGCGATTAAAGTGGATTGATGATGGTATCTCGAATCGACAAGATAGTATGTATTATTGATTTACTTGTGTCACTTTGGTAACAAGTATTAGTTTAAGTACAATTAAAGTAATAGTGATGTAAGCATACTGCAGTAATTACTTATACCAGATAACTCGTACCTTTTTCCGTCAACCACGTTTTTCCAGAATTTTTTCGCTTCCATCTCTATGACCTTGAATAAGTGACAAAATCTTTATCATACGCCGTGCAGTTTCTCACCTTAGTATTTTGACCTTAAATTCACACAATTATCGTTCTCAGCTTCTGTCGTCTATTGCGTCTTTTTTGTTAAGAAACAGTAACAAGTAAGTTTCCATCGTATGTTTCAACTATCTAATTCATTCCATTCGCATTCCATTGGATAAATATATTAAATACTCACCAAAATCTACTAAATTTTTTTGAAAAGCTTATGTATATTTCTTGGCTTAGTCAAAAATTACAAAAGAATTCGTTATACGAGGAGTTACCAGTCAGTTTCTAGAATACCTTCTCATTTAAATAACCATGTCATTATTTCCTGAGTAATTTTCCGAACAGATAATTCAAAAAAATTATGCTTTTCGAAAAGTTATGAGTTTTTTTTTGGATGCTAATAGACAATTATTCTCTCTGCAGTGCTGTGGATTCTTAATTTACTGGCACTAACGAATAATAAGTTGAGGAGCAGCTGAATATGTAATAATTGCCAAACATTTCCTTAAAAGCTGTAAATCTTTAATCTGATTTTATTAAATATTCTCAAAAGCATTTAAATTAGAAGCTTCTGTTTCCTCTAAGTTATAATCAATCTTAAATTTGTTCAGGCGAACTTTGCATATGGAAATTGTGAGTTAACTTAACCTCAGGAAAAATAAGCTCTCATTCACGTAAATGAGAACACGTAAAGTGAACTAAGACCGAGTTCGTGTAATTTTTAGAAAGTTGTTCTACTTTCTGTAGCTAGTTCTTACATTCCCATTATTTTTCAAATTAGACTGCAAATTTAATCATTACGTGAGTGTATAAATTATAAAAACTGACAGATTTTTCAGAAGTACCAATACAGGAGCAGTTCGCAATGTGTTTCAATACTGTTCTTAGTGAGCTTGCTTCAAATTATCCAGATGTACGTGATATTATTATCTCTGCACAAATAGAAGTTTTTACTGTCACTTCTGATATTATTGTAGATATCTGTGATCAGGTGCAACCACAATTCCAAACAAAATGTATGTATTTATTTTCTTTACAGCTGATCGAGTTACGTCTTATCAGTGTATCTGAGTATGAAAATTTGATATTAGGATGAAATTTATGATAATCTTGCGAAATTTGTTTTCTTGTTTTTCTTCATTTCGTTTTTTTATTTTCATTGATTTTTGTCCTAGTTTTTCCTGTTTATTAATTATTCAACATTGATTTCATGTACTCTTAGGCTACTTGATGCGGATTATTTGCTTTATGATTGGATTACTTCGCTCATTTGGACGATATAGCGGTGATAAGGATCACCCATTGATTTCGGCTATTTATCCTGTTCCATTCATAATCACCAAAATAGATGCACAGAGTAATCAGACAACTGCATGTATTGGGTTTGTGACTTAGTCTATTTCTATGATATTCATCTCAAAACGTAAATCTAAATTCAAGAAATACTGTTTAGAGAGGGGACTCTTCGATTAACAACTGATTCCGAAAATTTCCTGTGGAGTGATGCTGCCAATACAGAAAAGCAAGATCAAAAGGAACGTTTGCAGAAAATGTTCTCCAAACATGCTAGTAGCTTTGTATTGCCTACGGTTTTCAACGGCAATATTCCATTCAAATTCACAATTGCCGAACTGAATTCATTCTCCGATATTGTTAGTTTGAATTTTTTAATGATGTTAAAGTGATATAGTTTTTATTAGTTGTGGATTTTAAAGTTTACGCTCTAATTTTATCAATCTGCAGATGGAACGGTTGTTGAGAAGACCACTACTGGATATCATGGATGCTTATGCTACCGATATATACATAGTAAATAAATTTTCTTTTTGTTTTACTTAACTTAATATCACTTCTCTTTTTTACCTTCTAATTTCTCTTACTTCTAAATTGAAAATGAAAATACATGCTCAGGCTGGACAGATCAAACGTTTTCCATATAAAACATTATCGGAATGTCTTTCACTGGTTTTCGTTACGGCTTATAGAGATGCTTATGCACCATATGATACGTTGAAGCTGGAAAAATCACTGGCTCAAAAACTTTCTCGAGAGGTTATTTCTGGAATGCTTCATATTGGATTAGCATTGACGATTTTTTAAAATTTGATCCTTTTCAAATTTAAGAACTTTTGCACATTATAATATTTATGTTGTTAACCGTTTTCAATGCATATGTGGATTGTAAATTTATAGGGACTAGATCAGTTTACTTCAGGTGAAAGCATTTGCTATAGAACTGTATTCGAAGGGCGAAGATTTTTTGAATGCGCAGAAATTAAACGATGATGAACGGACATTACGTTGTCCACTGTTGATTAATCGAATTAAAATGAGCGTTCTTTGCAGCTCAGTTTGCCTAGAACTCATGGTTTGGGCTACATGCGATGAAATCGGTATTTATTTTCTTTTTTAGTAATCTACGAAATGTGTGCAGAAATAGCTTTTGCTAGGCAGTTTTGGTAAATAGCAAGAATCTTTATGTAGAGAAGCTTTATCTTGAAAGTGTGATGTATGCTGGTCCACAATGTCAAAAAACCTGACCAATTTGCATATTAGATTAAATTATATGAATTGCCCAGTTCTTAGTCACGCTACTAGAAAAAGCACTATACTGATTGAAAAGACTTCAAACGAAGTGCATTGATTAACGTTTTTAGTTTGTTACTGACAGTTTATTTAAAGCAACTCTAAGTAATCGCAGAACTAGCTTTGTGAAACTTCCATTTCACTAGGGTGTAGATGATAAAAAAACTATGTTTATTTTGTCATATGTGAGCGTAAGACTTGTAAATTAGTATTTAAGTCGTTTAGATTACAGTAGGATATAAACATTCTGGAACCAGTTAGAAAAACGAAGTCTATGTTTACAGATGCAGAGTCACTTCATGCTACAATAGCTGATCGACTTTGGCATGTTCATGGTCATCGTCATGCATCAGCTAAAATATCTCTAACAATGATGGCTTTGGAAGCACTTGGCTCACTTGCTGTTAAATTTCCAACAATTGCTGCAACACTGACAGTTAATAGTGTTAGTCAGTTCTTGGTTGAACCTTCGCCTGTTTTCTCAAAATTGGCTGTAGATCTCGGTGTAAGTTTTCTTTCGTATTTTATTGCTAATCGGATGGGTGCTATACTTTTTGTTTCTTTATGGATAAAAATGGAAACTTAACATTTTAATATTCTAATGAAACATTAAAATATGTAATGAATATTTAGAAAATTCTTTCTTTATATATATATATATATATAAAGAAAGAATATTTAGAAAATAGAAAAAAATTGAATATTTAGAAAATTCTTTTCTTCATATATATATATATATATATATACATTATATATATATATATAAAGCATTATATATATATATAATGCGAATATAATTTTTTATATTGTTTTGGTCTTGTTGCAGGTTATGGAAAAGCGTGTTTTCAGTGAGGGAGATCGAAAAGATGGTGAAATGGTGAAAAAGAAGCTAACTTTTGAAAATTTAAGGAAAGTTGCAATAAACTCTCTTTGCAGGTATGTATTTAAAATATCTAGTTTGTTAAAAAAAAAAGTTCATCAATGAACTAATTTAATTTTCAGAGCACTAAGATCGGCTATGATAGTCGACAATTCATCTGTACAAGCCTGTCTAACAAATATCTCCTCCAAACTATTCCTGATTGCGAACAAAGACTCAAATTAGTACGATCAATACTCATTCAGTTCAAATTCTCTTCTTTTTATGGTCTATTTCTTCACCGATCTAAGTCTTTATCTTTATAGTTTCACTCCTTATCATATTTGCATTGATTTATAGAAGACAAATCTAAGCCTCTTACATTTAGTGGTTCTGCTCTCGCTTTGGAAAATGCAATGCACATTGTTGGTGGTATTGGTGCCGCGCTGGTTGATGTGGAAAATATCCCGCAACTTGCTTTCAGTGTATCTTTTTGTTTATTATCTATTCATATTATTCATATGTTTATTATCTAAGTTCTGGATTGTAAATGACGTACAAACTTCTCTTCCTTTTCAATCAAAACAACATGAGCAGTTAAAATATACATTTCAATTTATAAATGTTCACCAGCTAATAGTGGATTTCTTTTGTCTTACGAATAATTTCAATGATAATATATTTGTTGATAACGCCCTACCAAAAACTGGTACTTTCCCGAATTGAAGGGAACAAAAGTTGCTTTCAAATTCTATATTCATGATCTATAGGCTTTGCTATGTATTTTGAATGCATCTTTTTGCTACTATATAATAATGTATGAAGGCAAAACATGATATTTTAAACGAAAATATAAACTTATTGCTGTAATTTTTCAACGATTGATGTTTCGAATGAGACTGAGAAACGGTTGCTGTTTCAGGTTTTTCAACAGGCTTTTACTGAAACATCCACGAATCATGATGTTATTATAGCGGAATTGGCTAACATGTGGATAGCTGGCGCGGTATGTACATTTTTTATTGCTATCCAGTTTCTATTAAATGATATTTTTGGTAAATTGTAGATTTTTTTTTTCCTTTTCAGCGTGATATACATGATCTGATTTGGTTGCTATTCACAAAAATAACGATTGAGTCGAGTAGTCGTGCTTATGATGCTGATACTGCTGATGGTGTGGAACATCGTTATGCGTAAGTTTAAATTTTGATGATATTGGATGTTGCGTAAAGGAAGATATTTATTTAAGATATCTGTCCTTGGCAGTTGACAATGCAATGGCTAAGATGGCAGAGAGTGTGAATAACGATGAAGACAAAATGACACTATTGTATCGCCTTTTGGAACTTTTTGTTCAACTGGGACATGAAGGAAGAAAGGCTGGTGAAAAATTGGCGAGGGTCATGAAGGTAATTTATTTTTACAAAAGTTTGCTAAGTTTTTTAATATATGGATTAGTGATAATGAAATATTTCGGAATTTAAAAGCGTTAAGTCGTATACCTTTCAGGCAGTAGTTACTCATTTCTTCAAAACTATGTGAGATAGACTTAAGTGAAAAACTCCCTGAAAGTTATTTGAGGCACTAAAAGTTTCTTTCAGTTGGATGTGTCTTCAGTTATGTATTTTTTTTTTTTTTTGTCTTTTGAGGATAAGTTTATTCTGAAGGAATTGCTTCAATCATTTCTAGCTTTCAACTGGTGCTGGAAACTTAGGTGTTTTAATTCCGAAGATTGCTTCGTTGTTGCGCAGATCTGTGACAATAAAGAACCCATCAGTTCGGCTGCGGAATTTGTTTCGCGACTTTTGGTTTTGCTGTACAGTGCTCGGATTTAATGTCGCCCGGATAGGTTGGTCCTTTTATAACAGCATTAACTTCTGTTAAATTCCTGTTCAGTAAATAAGTTTAATCAGTGAGTGAAGTGTTGCTACATTCTTATTCCATTATATGTTTCGTAGTTTTACTCATCTGAAAAAAAAAAATACTGATTAAATTTAGGTCTTTGGCCAGAAGAGTGGTTTGAAGCTGCTTGCGAGATTGCTTGTAAATCGCCCATACTCACACCTCAAGAGAGTTTGCGTGCTGAGCTCGTTGCAAATGCTACGATCAAAAGCGGCAATGTGTTATCAGTCGGTTTCAAGTGTAATTCGGTGTTGTTAGAGTTGTCAGTAGTGTTTTCGTTTTATGCAACAGCATGAAAAGTTGATGAATAATATTTGGGTTAAATAATCGAGAACACACATTCGCTATTCTCAGATTTAAATGAAAAACCGATGAGTTATGCAATAGAAAAAATTTTGTTACTCACTACCATATATTGATTCTGCTAATGGAGGAGACTGGTCATTCTTACCGAATATGAAAATTTTGAAATATCAAATGGATGTACCTTTTTTCTATTTTCAGGCAGAACTGCAGGAAATCAGAGTAACTATTTTGTCTGAAATTTCTCCTTCTCCCGAGGTAACAGCAGTTGTTAATAAATTGGAATTTACCCACTGTATTTATCTTTTATCAGTATTCCGCATGGAACTCATGCGTGCTTTGCATTCTGTTGAACCGGGAGCAGTCCATTCAATATTTCAATATCTCGAAGACAAGTAATTATGACATTTCATCATCACTTTTATACCGCCTTCTGGCACTACATTCATCCAAGTTGTTCTTGAAATTATTAGATTAATTAGTAAAATTACCGACAACAGTAGTTATTAGTTTTATCACGACATATTATCGGTGTTAGAGTGGACGCTGACAAGAGCAGACATGATGTGACTAATAATTTTTTTGAGATCTATAAGAAAAGACAAGGATGGGATCTGGACATGCCTTCTTGCAGCAGCGAGAACCATCTTCAGTAAATATTTGAAAGTTGCCAGTGAACGGAATTTAGATTCGGCTCACGAACGTCAACTTGAATTGCATGCTCAGTTTCTGCTTATCATGTTCAATCATCATCTGAAAGAGGCAAATATATTTGAGGAAATTTTGTTATATAGAAATGCTATAAGGAAATTTTATTGCGAATGGCAAATTTAGACTTATTCTATAGGAAAAATTGCAGGTGAGGAAATGTGCAGATACTTGCCTTACCAATTTGATCGGAAGCTTTCCGCATTTGCTTTGGAATGGCAACGTTATTAATGTTGCACTGCAAATACTGGAAGCACTTTCAAATAATCTTGAAAATGACACCGATTGCAAAATAATGACTTTATCTTTTCCGTCTCTGCAGCGGACTATACAACTTCAGGTATTTTGTCAATAATATATATCATTTCTTATTTCGGAAGACCAAAATTTGGACTTGCATTCTTGAAAAGACTTTGTAGTACTTTAATTTTTATTAAGTTCTTAAGAAACCCAAATATGACTTAAGGATACCTTGGATCGAAGGAAATTAGTGGTGCAAGATTTCGCTTTGCGTTGTGAACAAATTCTTCAGGAAGCAATCAAATGGGCACCAGGCAGCACTCGAAGCTGCTTCGTTGTAACTTTTATTATATATAAAGTTTGATTTTTATTTGTTGATAGTCGTTCCAGAGTCGCGAAATCAAAACTATCAGTGTTTTTGAAAACACTTCAGAAAATTCCGCCGTTTTTATCACGAAATTTGTTGACATTTGAAAGTTTATTTTAAGGATCAAAAATTAATGATGTTATCTTTAAGAAATATATTGCAAGCATTAATGTTGGTTGTTCCGGCAGTTTTCGTTTGACGGTGGAAGCTATACTGAAAAGTTTAAACGACGCGTCTGGCTGTACAAATGATACCAGTCCATCGCTTTATCTTTCTGCTCTACATTTAAGGTCTTTGTATTTTGGCAAGGTGAAATTTCGCAGTTCTAGGGTTTTATTGTTTTGAATTCAGTTAAGCGTTTTCTCTTCCAAATAAAATTTTCACTTGTGAGTTTAGGTGAAAGGCATGATAGAAGCATCTAAAAGTGAAGAAGAGACCAAACCACATGAACGACTTGCTGATTTATTTGAGCAACAACTAGAAAGAGCTTGTGCAGATGGAGCAGATGGATGTGATGAAGATATATCCGAAGGCATATTGAGATTAGCAGCTCTTTTCATTTTAACGAAAGAAGTTTCTAATCAAAGTAATCATTTCACTTGTATTTGTGAGACAATTTATACACTGAAATATTGTTTATAGTGAGTCCGTTATGAATTTCATCTTCTAATACTTATAAGATTCTAGAATTATGAAGAAAAAGTTTTTAGGATGCCTCACATATATAAACTGTTCTTTTATTAAATGTTCCTTATTCCATGTACGGGATCAATTTCCAGATCTAATTTAACTGTTGAAATTAGTTTTTGTGATCTTATGGTCTTTTATTTAATTTGATATTAAGACAACTTTTGTTCCTATAGTTTCAAAAGAAGTCTGTTGTAGAACTGGATAGCCGTCTATTACATACTCTTGTTTTTGCACCACTCAAAAATTTTACTGCTTCAACAATGCGTCTTTGTGTAATCGTATGGAACTGGATTCTTGTTGCCCGAGAAGATATCCAGCTTCAAGTAAGAACTTTTTTATTTCAAATAAACTTGTTTTACTGCTATCAGATAAAATTAACTTGGATTTAGTTTCTTCGAGAAATGGCAGCATGCTGGACAATTACAGCACAAGATCATCTAGGTATCTTCCAGCGTGACCCAGAAGTTGTTTCTCCTTTGAGTCTGCAATATTGCTCACCTCCAAAACGACCTCATGTTCTTCCACACAGTATATGGATTTATGTATGTTTAATTTTCTAAAAGATGTATATAATTAATAGCTACCCGTAGGAAATTGGCAGTCTTAATTGTTAGCAGAAATGATTTGTAATGAATGGAGTTAACTAAATATGTATTTGAATATATTAATGACACTGCAAGGTTCTCTTGGATTTGGTGATGTTAGTTTGAAATTTTTAGTTTTTGGTGGAAAGAGTGGATATTGCCAAATATTCAAGCAGAGAACAACTGGACATTCTGGAATTGATGTTTGTTCAAACACTTCCATTGAATGTGGGTCGCCTAAGAATAGATGTTAATTCACCGTTATACATTTCTTCTGATTCAAGTCTTTGCAAAGTCGATTTAACGCATGGTTATCTTTTGTATGTTTTATGTAGTTTTATGCCTAGGGAAAAGTAACTCGTGATATCAACTCTCTGCAATCGGAAGATTCTAGATAGAACAAAATACATGTTCGTTTTTCTTTCTTATATCTTTCTGTTTCAAAAAGAGTTATATTGCATTCCAGTGTGGGTATATCATGTTTCAATTTGATTTTTTTTTCCTAAAACTGTTCAAGTTTTCCAGTTACAATGACAAGAAATGTTGAGACGATTGGGTTACGATGTCATTTTCTTAACTGCGTACTTTCTATGATACAGCGTGACTCGATGTCATTCCATATTTCCAAAAATATCTTACGACAACGTGTATATTGTGCTATGTTGGATTACTTTTCGTATGTTGTTCTGTTTTACAAATTCTCTGAATTACAAATGTTAAAAATTTTCCATATTTTTTTGTCTGGTTGTAGTGTTGCTGCTCAAACCCCAACACAGAACTCAGCACAATTGAAGAATGATATACGCTTGCTGATTACATTTTGGAACACGCTTTTCTCTGATGTGAAATATATCAAGAAAGAAATATTTGCCAGTATTGGTAAACAGTTTCTTCAATTTTTTTTTCTTTCTTTTTTTTTTTCTTTTTTTTTAAATAATCACGCTTGTTGTATATTGTAGACACCGAATGCAACTTGGAGTCTCTTCAGCAAATTTTAAACGATAACTATAAGTCTGACTCGGAATACAAGTGGGTTTTGTGTTCTACATGCAGCTCAGTATTTTTGGCTAAATTTTCTCTGCATTAAAATTGTAACTTGGTAATCACATTTATGTATTTAGTCGCGCTGATATGCAAACTCGTCATGCAATGACAACCAGTGGTTGCAATTGGGTAACACTTGTAGCTGCACAAGGTAGAGCTAGTTCATTGCAGAAGAATACGCAACTCACTGTTGGTCAGGCTTTGCTTTTTTCTTTATGTTTAGAGGATCTAAATTTTGGTTGCAAAGTCATATTTATCTATAAAATAATTAAATATGAGCATTTGTAAAATGACACATCTGTATTTAATGAATAATTGATGGAATGGAAAATGTATAAGATTTGGAGCGTGTTATTTAGTTCTGGATTATAAATTATAAAGATTTGCGTGGGAACAAAATTTTTTGGTTTGGTTTGTAGTGAGCGAAGTCAATAGTAATTGTTAGAAGGCAATGACAATACTTTTTGCAACAATTCATACTTAATTTACAGCTATTTTGGCACATCGAATTAAAGCTTGAGTAGAGCTCATTTTCACAGAGTTTTTAAAAAAGTCGATCAGGTGATAGTGGGAAAATTTCGAAATAAAATTGTGAATTTCTTCAAAGGAAGGTACATCTCCCCTGGAATTCCGGTTGAGTTCAGTACTCGTCTCTGCAATTTTAAATGTAGAATTTAATACTGCAGTTATAATTTGTAGAAATGTAGTGATAGATTTTGTACATTATTTTTTTTAGTCACTTCTCTTCCTTGTTTTTCAGATCCTAGTCGATCCAATCCAAATAAACATGCAGAACAGCAGATGAAACTGTACAATCGCTATCGGAATTTGATTTTGATATTTGTTGTAGGCGTTTCAGTTGATATCAATTACTTCTGCGCATCTGTTTTATTTCAGTTGTATTTTCAACCAACGTTTCAGGCGAATGAAATCGAACGCTTAAGCGCATGGTTAAATCCGCTAGGTGAAGCTCTTGGTTTGGAAGATGCAAGTATTGAACAATGGCGAAAATCAACATTCCCTGATGCGAGAACAGAGGCTAAACTTCTCCGGGAAAACGCCAGAATTGCTTGGCAGATTTGCCCCGATTTGGCTGTATATATGCCATCAAGGTAAGTAATCTGATAGGATGTTATAATTATCTTTCTGAAACTGTGTTTCGAATTATTTTATTTGAAGAACATGGTAACAAGCATCTATTTTTCATGTTTTTCTTTAATTTCTTCCCAGATTTCGTTCGTGCTCTGCTTGCCAGATGGCCGTACAAGAGTTGCTCGTAAACTCTCCGGAATTGGTGACGGATTTACCGGAAGCTCTTTCTTTAATGCTGGGAGAAGGAAGGATTCTTGAAGAAAAAGTGGAGGTAAATTCATAGTTTGAATAAGCTCACTGGTGAAGAGACCAAGATTACATATTTTTTGCTGAAAAAACCAACTTATTTTCTAGCAGTAATTAATGGAATAAAGTCTCTAATTATGAAGATCTAAGTAAACAATGAGAATTGTTCAGATAGACAAAATAGGTAAACAGTTCTACGGTATAGTTGTGGCAGTCATTTTAGAATTCCTCCACTTTCATTAGCTATGTCACGGAGAGTTTTGATACTGCGAATGTAATTATAGTGACTGTTTGAGCTTTGACATATAGTTTATCAAAATCTCAATTCTATTACCAATTCCTTCTTTATTATAAAGAGCAGAAATAAATAGAAGTAGTTTTTTCTCGTTTTCTCGTTATTTTTCAATTTCGAAATGTTGATATTCTTACAGGATTTGAAAACCTTAAGTCACATTTTAACATGGGCGATCTGTGATCCAGTGATGGCTTTATCGTTGCTCGGTCCACGCCAGTACCCAACACATCCCATTACAGTGCAATATGCTGTACGTGTGCTGAGATCGTATCCACCAGATGTGCTTCTGCTCTATATTCCACAGCTTGTGCAAGCTTTACGACATGATACTGTATGAAAATTCTGAAAACTGTTTGAAACCAATCAAATAACCATATGTCATTCCACTTTTCAATGTAGCACAAACAGTTTCTAGATGGGTTATGTTGCTGAGCTAATTATGTGGTTGGCTGGTCATTCGCAACTTTTGGCTCATCAATTACTATGGAATATGAAGGCAAATATGTACAGGGACGAAGATTCAAGAGAAAAGGATCCAGATTTGCATGGACCTTTAAGCGAATTGATCAACAAAGTAATAACTCTTTAAATTTCTCCCTGTTTTTCTTATGTTTTGATTATATTATTTTCAATTATTGCATTTAGATAGCTTTAAATAAGTTTTCATATTTAGATAATATCAAATATGGAAGGTCCTGCACGAAAATTTTACGATAGCGAATTCGATTTATTCAAACGCATCACTGATATATCAGGAAAAATAAGGCTGTTTCCAAAAGGCGAAGCTAGAAAAAAAGCTTGCTTAACTGCCCTCGCTGAGATACATCTAAAAACCGTGGCTTATCTGCCATCCAATCCAGAAGCCATAATTCTTGATATAGACTATAAAAGTGGGACTCCGATGCAAAGGTGGGATTGCACGTCATTTATGAATTAAAGTATTTTTAGAAATTTTGAGAAACTTCCATAATTATTTTTAGTGCTGCTAAGGCGCCATTTCTCGCTCGATTCAAGGTTCTTCGTTGTGGTATTCAAAAATTAGAACAATTAGGAATCGCCGCACATCAGCGGAAACACATTCCTGAAGCAGATATTCGATTTCTTTCAAGATCGGAAGATAGTCTTGTTTGTTGGCAAGCAGCTATCTTTAAAGTTAGCATTTTTATTTATTTTCACTTGTGTTCTTGATTGGTATATTTTCCTCAATCGTGGTAATGGATGTATATAACTGATTTTATTTATTTTAAGATTATAAATGATCGTTACATATACTTTACCTCAGGTTGGTGACGATGTACGTCAAGATATGTTGGCGCTACAACTGATGAACCTGATGCGTAACATTTTCAATTCTGTGAATTTGGACATTTGCTTATTTCCATACAGAGTGGTAGCTACTGGGCCTGGCTGTGGAGTAATTGAGTGTGTTCCAAATTCGAAATCAAGAGATCAGTTAGGACGACAGACTGATTTTGGTTAGTTTTCCTCTTTTCTCAAGCTGCTAGTGTTTTACTTTTGAAACTTGAATTTGGATTATAGGATTGTATGAATACTTTCTGACGACATATGGTGATGAAAATACTGAAACATTGCAACGTGCAAGGCGGAATTTCATTCGAAGCATGGCAGCATATAGTGTATTTAGTTTCTTGCTGCAGATTAAAGATCGACATAATGGAAATATTATGATTGATACCGATGGTCATATAGTTCATATTGGTTGGTCGATTTTCAGTATTTCATTTCTTGAATACTTTTTATCTTTAAAAGATTTATATATCTTTTATTCTTTTGTTTTCTTCAGAGATAGTTGTTTAGATTTCGGTTTTATGTTTGAGAGCAGTCCTGGAGGAAATCTTGGATTTGAACCAGACTTTAAACTTTCGCAAGAAATGGTAGCAATTATGGGTGGCAAAATGGAAGCACCAAGCTTTCGACTATTTGCTTCACTTTGTGTCCAGGCATATCTGGCTGTTCGACCGTATTATAAAGTGCGCAATTCCCATCATTGTTTATAATTATTTCGAAGGATTGTTTTGCATAGCATGTTCGAATCTACAGCGAGAACTTAATCTCGAAAATTTCATGTTTATAATATGAAAATTGCAGGCTTTTATTGCTTTAGTGTCACTGATGTTGGACACACATCTTCCCTGTTTCCGTGGTAAAACAATACAGCAGTTTCGAGATCGTTTTGCGCCACAACTATCCGATCGTGATGCAGCGAAGTATATGATGAGTATAATACGCAACTGTTTCCTGAACGTAAGAAGCAAAATGTATGATCAATTGCAATACATACAGAATGAGATACCGTATTAATTTATTAATATTTTGATGATTGTTAGAAGTTTTATATATATCCAGTAGATTTCCTTTCTGATAAAGTATAAATCTTTTGAAGAATACTGAGTTCTTTTTTTCTTATGTGAAATCACTTGTTATATGATGTGCAGAATTTAAATATAATAAAATATCAGATTTATCTGAGAATCTGATCTCTCATCCGTTAGCGGTGCACCTGTATGATGAAATGTAAAGCATTATCATCACACGGAAGGGTTATGACATCAGCAATTTAGCCATTTATCTTAGTGAATTACTGATTAGATATTAGATGAACTTTAAGTGTAATAAGTACACAAAAAGCGCTATATTTCTGAAGATGAAAGAAAGAATAAACGTCATCGTGGAAACTGCAGTTTAACATCCCATATTAATGCTGCTAAATAGCTCCATTTCTTTTGTTTTGGTCAATTTTTAAGGAGCTTAGTTGCAAAATTAATGGATTGAATGACAAGAAATATCAATACTGAACTCAATATCCCGGACATTTCTGTCGGAGCAGAATGGTCCCAAGATCCTTCTTAAGTACGGTTATATAATGAATCACTTAATCAAGTGAACAATGTGTATGGGATTGATGTGTTACAGGAATTAGAGATTTTTGTTCCAGTCAAAACCAATAATATTTTATTTGGAATTCCTAATTCGCGTATTTTAAGACAAACATCAAACGAATGTGGGCGGGCAATAGGTCTGACTGATGGTCATCTTTGTAGACAAATTAAGTCTTTGTTACGTTTACTGTTTTCTGTTTTGAATAGCAGTTTATATGATTTATTCTTTGAATGCAATACTGATTACCAGTATTGTTGTATAACTCATTATTTCTTGTAACTGGTCGCGATATCTTCCTCTATAAGCAGTCGCACTAACATTGCTTAATCCTTAGTGTTGTCTTAGTTGATCTCGTATTTCACGGGGCTCTACGTAATTGCGTGAATCCCTTTTATAAATTAAAGATGTCGAGGTCTACACTTCTCATGAACTGTTTCCTTCCAAATTTTTTTTCCTAAATTATTTCTATATTTTCTTCCAACTTATTTCATAATCCTCTAGTTTTCCTTTTATTTTCATTTTCATCTCAACTGCAATCTTAGAATATTTGACAAATATAAAGACATACTTATATTACTTCACCAACTCAAGGAATCAACAATTAATGAATTTCGCAATGTAATAACGGAGTTTCCATAGCCTTTTCCTGTCCTCATGAAATATCTTCTCACGTTTAATTTCCAGAACTTCAGCCAAGTTGATTTCCACTTAAACTTGAATCGATCCTCTTTTCCTACCTACATCGGTAACATTGAGGAAACTTACCATATTTATATGATACACATTTTGCAACACTGAGTTAAATATTTTATAAATTAATCCATACTCAATGCTTACTCTATCACAATGCTATTCATCATCTCGACATCAGTTCTTTACCTTAGACTGGATTAAAACAGAAACGGAAAAACGGAAACGATTCTATACTTCCGAAGTGGTTAGTGTGGCCCCCGGAAATTCTATGCTTCCTATGTTCATTTTTTATGGGTCCGGTCTTCACTAGTAGGATTTAGCCTTCATCAAATGGTAACTAATTGAATATTGCAATAATCAACAAAAATCTAAATTGTTGGTAATTATCCAATTGATTGTGATCCTTTAACCCGTCTGTGCATACCGCTCGTTCAACAAGTAACCTTCGACATGGACGAAGTCTTACTAATACAAGCTTATAATGTTAATAGGGCTGACCAAATATGGATGGACTGGTCAGTGTCTGTGTCTAAGTCATCTTATCCTTTCTTCACTTTTAAAGTTGTTATCTTTTCTACAGGCTTACAAAAATATTCTGGAAATTTCGTCTGTCATTTTCTTCTGGCAATTTTTTTTTTTTTTTTCAAAAAAAGAAATGAGATGAAAATATTTGAGAGGAGTGCAAGGAAGGAACAGACAGATGGTTATTGCTGTGGAGCTTTCAATCCACAGAATGGAATCATAAGCGCCTGCCTATGAGTCAAGGTTGTAGTGAAAAAGTTTGTCCAAATAGCTGCAAACTCTTTATTCTTGTCAGCATCGATCGTCGCCTTCTCTATTCCTTTTCTTCCTTCCTTTTCCGTCCAACATGGTCATCCACAGCAGTTATGCACTAATCCTCCACATATTACTTCGAACCTTTTCTTAAAGTAAAGAAGCTAACTGGTGCCTTTTCAAATTGCGGGCGGTGAAATGTCTATGATGATTGCACCGGGTATTGCTTAGAGGATACCAACCGTCGAGAATTTCTCAAGTGTAATGGGAACCTTTCTTAGTTTGGAGAATTATTCAATTTTTCCGCTTATATGTTTGAAGACTTCTAAAGTATCAGGACGTTTTCGATTACATTTTCGAATTTTTATAAATGATACCAGCAAAACTAATTCCTTTTCTCTAACTATGTAATCAGAAATCAGTTATTCGTCAACTGTTGGTTAGTATCATTAAATGGCTCATAAAATCTTTTCGTTGATGGCATCATGACTGTGTTACTAAGTGTTGTATTACAAGATATAAAGATATGGGACACGCCACACGTTTCGTAGTAATAATCCCGCCTGACTGTATCATTAGGTACTAGGGAAAGATGTTAAATGGACCAACCAGTAGAGATATCTACAAAAGGGACTATGTCATTTTTTGACACCATGAAAGGTATATTATCATTTATTGGATATCGTTCACTTATGCTATCCTGACAGAAATCTGAATATTTTAAAATGTGCAATAAGAACATCCATCTCTGTTTAGATTTGCATCTAGCATTATATTTATTTCACTATCCTTCTGGGATAGTCAATGGCATACTTAGAAATATCTGTTCGGTAGAGCTAATCGATATGGAATGAAAATTTGTGGAGGATGAGAATCTATTATGAGGATGGTGCATTTCCATTTTCCTCCAACTAACATTTTTTCTTTAGGAGAGCAAGATAATTTCAATCAAGCTGATGCACTTACAACTTCGCTTCTTTGTTTTTTATTTTGCGCATAATTTATTCCTTCATCTACTCCCGGAATATATGTGCGCTCGGATGAAAACCAGAGGACTTCATACTTGAAGACTCAAATTTTTTCATACTCGAATTGCACTACCAGTCCAGAGATAGACTGGAGATGATTAGAGTTGTTATGGAGGGGAAATGAAGTGAAGCGTGCATTTGCATGTAATTTTATATATGAAATTATTTGCAGTGCGGTTAGTGGACTGCAGGAGTGAATGCATCGTGCACGCATTCATATAGGCTCAGTGTTCATTCTTTTAAAAAAATTCCTTGAACCACTTTTAACTACACTTGAGTCATTCAAATATTAAGCGGAATTACTGCAAGACAGTGGTGAAGTACCATTTGAACACAGTGTAGTTCATAACTGATTGTCCTTTTGATGGTGACAATCGTTCATTAGACTGTCCTTTTGTTCTTCAGAGCATTATTGACTTTTGCTCCTTTCTGATTCTTTTTCACTGGTACACTAGCTGAACTTGTCCTAAACTTCCCGAATTTTTTATAAATTTAAAGATTCACCTATTTTCTGTGTATGTGTGCGTGTGTGTGTGTATATATGTATGTGGCAGAGAAATTTTGTGTTATAGAAAATTCATAAGTTTGCAATCCCATCGATTTCTTTTAATTTCGGACAAATACAAGTTCCGATAAATTTGGCTGTTGTCCTTTCTCCTGATCAGTTCATACTGCAAGAGTTGCTGTTGATCAGTAATCGGTCAGGAAACTTTCTTTTTGCATATTTCTCAGGATTGAAACATTGAGATTAAGATAATATATGAGAAGGTGAAATTAATACAAGCAGTGGAAATAAATACTTTTGATATTAGTTTATTTGAGGACTTTTATTATGCATTTTGATTTCTCTGCTGGGAAAGAGAAATAATAACGTGATGACATCAATAACAACTGTCAACTGTTTGTGATTGCATTTTGATTGAGCTCAGAAGAGTTGTGAACCAGTTGTGGTTGTGTTGAAAGTTCTGGCAAGTTATGTATCATTTTTACCTTCTGGCTTGAGTGCCTACTTTAGTGAATATGCTAGAAAAGAGGTAAAGAGAGGCAGTGACATCCATCAATTCCTCCCTTTCAATTCATTTCTTTGAATGAATTCACTTATATCCATTAATTTCTTTCACTATTCTTTTCTCTTTCAATGCTTCTCTTCTCCTACAAATAACGCGACATCTTTTTGTCCCATCCATTCCACATTGTAATGCTTCGACCTTGGGCTTTTCAAATTTTTGATTAATTACTTTCCTTACCTTCCATGTTCGGTTATGCACACTTTTCAGTCACAGATGCACAAACACACATCTGCATACACACACACATATATATATATATATATATATCCACATAGAAATTTGAATCATTTTCACCTCCCATTTTTCATTTTGTTAAAAACCTTTCAATAACCTCAATATTTGGAATCCACTATTCTTTTGAATAGTATGTTTTGTGCATCTAACAATTTGATTTTTTTTTTTTTTTGTAACCTCTCTTCTGTATATTGAATTTTTCTTTGTGAGAGAAGTCATTAATTATGTAAATTAGGAGAATACTTTATGAAAACTCACCCAATCTCTCTCTCTCTCTCTCTCTCTCTCTCTCTTCCCCTGTCTCTCTCTACATGCGATATCCATTTGTATGCGTATAAAAAATGATTTTGTTATTTTTTTATCTTTTAAAAAATGATTTTGTTATTTTTTTTAGTAATAGAGACAAGGTATTCTATATCATTAAATATCTTCTCTCATATTCTCGTCATTTAATATCCTAGAGTATGAGTGAATCTTACCTCTACTCGTTATACTCCCTTCTCTCCAACATCTCAAAATTAGATATATATACTGTACGTAGTGAGGAGAGAAAGAAGTGTTTATATAGGACGTTATACCCGTGATAGCACAGTGAACTATTATTATCTACTACTATTATGGTCGCTATTGTTATCATCTCGTATTCAACATCCATCCTTGATCTTACTTCCTTATTACTTCATTGGTAGACTTCCGTACTACTTACTTACCACGGTAGGAGGAACTCCTTACCATATTGCGCTGTTGGGGAATTGGTACTATCGTTGCACTGTGTTGCTTTCAGTGTTTTACAAGTTAAAAATTTTTATTATATGCGACAACTTGCTTGTTACAGCTCAGATCATTTATTCAGATAGAAAGGTAGTTTCAGTCTCCATTTTTGAAGTTGATTATTAGACGACACTATTTCAAATAAGCAGGACACTGATCGGTGAATGGATCCTGCAAAAATTTATGCGTAGTCGTAGTTTGATTTTTTTCTAGTTTCGAGAACGATGTTTTATTCGAGAGAGAGAGAGGGAAAAAAAAAAAGGAAAAAGCCATGCCTGAAAAAAGGTGTTGTGATGTGTAAGTAAGCATATATGTTCATTTCGGAGAATTTCCATAAACAAAGGCAATTTATCTAACATGTCTCCCGTTGGTCTACCTTCCTATCTTATGAATCCTTGAAATTCATTTTCTGATTTTTCGGGTCACATTATCGTACTCCAAATTAGCTTCATTACTCATCGAGTTACGAGAGAAAATTTCTTCTAGTATTCATTAGTATGATAATAATTCAAAATTTGCAATTTCCTAAACGATTTTTCCGGTTGTATTATTGAAAGGAGATGCAGAGGAAAGACAGTGAACGAAAGAGAAAAAAGTCAAAATAAGAGATCCTACATGTTTAGTACCGAGTGATCGCGACAATACATACATTTATATGTAACTTATTAGCATCTAACGTCATTTTCATGAATCACTGTTAGTCTGAGTTGACAAGTTTGCTACGAATACAGTAACGAGTTCTCCTTTATCTCTCCTGTCGTCTGGTCTTGTTTTATCGGTTTGGGTGCATGTTATCAATGATGAATAAAGGTAAAGTATTTGCAATTCATTATGAATATACTAATGACATCTGGAAGATCATAAACGAGTGTCACCGTAAAGGGTCACTGATGAGTGGGAGGGAGAAAAGGTGTCTCCTTTCAAGTCGATGGTTACCAGTCATTCGTTCGTTTTCAGATAACAGAGTGCCTCTTCATTGTTAAAATAAGTAATCGTTTTCGCTGGAAATTATATTTAGGCACTGGGAAGGCTGATCCGTTCATGAATATAAAGTGAGGTGTCTTCCTTTCCACGATTGTCCTTTTGTTCGGTCTTGTTGGCGCCACTTTTGCTGCCGTTTTAATCAGTTCCCTATCAAGTGATGATCTTGTCATCACATCTGTTGCGCTTTCTTGTTCTGAATTCCCGTCGTCATTAGAGAGAAAACGCCTTCGACAGTTGTCATCTAAAGCCATTGTCAATGTTATCAATAGTTAGATTAATGAATAATATTAAATTATACGTTAGTGATTACTTCGGAATAAGCATGCGAGAACAAGTGAAACTAACAATATTTTACACACATTAATTCATGAGAACGATAACTCCTTCCTGAATTATACTCGACGAGTGATACGGACGAGAAGTTTATCAGAACCTTCCAGTAATGGAATAGTTGGTGACAAAAAAGTGGGAAACGAATGACTGTGATGATGTTCTCAGACTTGTGAGAGTTAAAAATTAGATAGAAGATACTGATTAGATTTCTTGTCTAGAAATGATAAAGAAGGTCAAACAGAATCAGTGGTAAAGTCCGGTTTGTTTTCTGCGGAATATAAGAACGATCTTTTTTAAAATAATTCGCTTTAAAAAATATACTGAAAGGAGGATGATAGGTGAAATGATTTATTTATTTAGATCCTCGAGAAGTCATAAATGGATTTAGTTATACGGTATTCACCCCGCATCTGAAACACTATGATAGTATCATTTGGTGGTAATAACGTAGGTCTTATTCGATTTTTTGTAATTATCCAAAAACATGAGTGCCGAATGGTTGAAGTGGGTGGCGAACTGAATTATATTCAGCTGTGTGGAAGCACTTCACAAGAGTGAAATCTCGGGTGGGTAAATCGAGCACTTATTTATTCTCTTGAAGAAGGATCAAACAACTATAGTTCATTATTTTGGGAACTGGCCATGAAAATACCTGGAAATCGTGCTTTAAATACCTCGCTCATTTGACAGAATTCTTTTCCCAAGAAATGATTGCCCCAAGTGATCATCATACTCGAAGATGACAGCTGCTTAAAGCAATCCTAAAATTTGAGCATGTGGTATGGTTAATTTGTTTCCTATAAACAATGTAACAGTAGCTAGTGTTAATGCATGCGCTTCCAATATCAAACCCATATTAGGAACAAACTCACGAATGTTAATTAGGAAAAACGTATTTAATTTGAACTCTTGAACCTGTTCCTTCAATTGTGAAAAACTTGATTTCATTGTATTGTTGCAAAGTCAGTTTTCAAAAGTTCAATTCCAGTATATGGAAATATTGAATGTTTTCAGTTCTTCTCAAAAAAACATATGTTCATCATTCACTTCCTAGTCCTTCCGATAAGTCTGCTAATATGAAATGTGTGACAACGAATTAATCATTTTGATGTTAAAAGTAAGATGAAAATAATCAAAATTCCAGGAAATCTCCAGTTCTTATTGAAAAGAAAAGATTACCATAATCGTAAAAATTGGCATAATTGTAAGTGGCGTCCATAATATCAATGCAAATTATGAGAACTTATAAACTGCATTCGAATGATTATTATCAATTTGTTGGGTATCTGGTCAAATTTCTTCTATTCCTACTCATATGGAAAAAAACTTTCAGAAAGCCTTCTCCTTCCCTTCTGTTCTCAAAACAAAATTTGAACAAATCTAAAAGTGAATGAAATCGTAGAATTGTCACTGATGGCTTCGGCTACTCCTGTCGCCACTCGCCACACATATATACACACACACACACACACACACACCCATCACTTCGTCCTATCTTCGTGTAAACAAAATCGTTTTTGTATAACAGAGCTTACTTATGTCTCTCTCTGTTTGTATGTTCATTTTCCCACTTCCACAGTTCGATGGGTTGGCTTTCAAAGTGTTTTCTTTGTGGGCGCATCTCAGTTTATTATTCATTACAGCAACACCCACCTAACCCCAAAACGTTGTAATGTTTGATTGGGAAACAAAGCATAGTGGAAAGAGGGACAACAAAAAGGAGCTTCATTTGCAAGTTTTAAGATTGAATCGTCGTCTTTGTTTTTAGCAGTTAGATTGTGAAGTGCATGTGCAATCTCACTTCTCTTTCCTTTCTCTCCTCATCAAAGTTATCTGCGCCATATCGTTCTCATATCATTCATCGTGTTTTTGCCAGTGGGTACATTTGCGAACGTTGACGAACCCTCTCCGTACGCTGTTTCTGTCTGACCAATATCTTCCGCCGCTTCAAAATGTTTGAGTTTTGTCTAAAAGAAACCTTCTTATAATTTGCTTTTATTTTGAGTGGAGAACTGAGAAAAGATTTTTTGGAGAAGGAATTTGTGATTTTTATTTAATTGAATTGTAAATGGAATTATTTCAGTTATGAGTTTACCCTGGTCACATAAGTTTTTAGTCTTACTTCATTCTTAATCACAAATTGCTCACTTAAGTTTTTAAAAGCCAGATGTAGTAATTATCTCCATCTAAAATAAACCTTCCAATTTACGGATTTTTGTTTATATAACATATTTTTAAATGAGATAGGTAAGATTGACTAGTCAACTGCATACCCTCTTCCACTTACTTTGTCATCTAGTATAATTATTCTATCGGTCGTAATATATACAAATGGTTTCGGCACTGACCATTAGGTCGTCCCATGTATTGAAAATTTTCAATGAAATACCGATTCTTTGTTTCATGGTAAGATTTGCGCTCTCTATCAATTTGTAAATGATTTTTGTGCGGATACGGCTGTTGCTTTTCTTGCTTATAGTGAAGCCCTGTAAGATCTTTTTCCCCAGAACAGTGGTGCACAATTTTAATATCGAAATTTTTCGAGGACCTTAAGATTTTACATCTTTATCATACAAACATTCGCTTGGCCTTTATTGCTTTCTATGTAAAAAACAAGTAACTTCACATAATTGGCAGCAACTGTCTGACGAGATGTACTGACCTTTATTTCAGTTAACTATAAGGTCTTCGCAATCCCGCCTGACACTCAGTCTCAACCTCTGATGTTAGGAAGGTGAGCAAAGTCTCAGGTGTCATTGCGGAAGTTACCAAACTTCTTCATAGCCTTCCTTCTCATTTTCCAAATACTTCACATTTAGCTTCTGTAATATTTTCCATCTTTTGATCTCCATTTTGTTCAGATAGGATTTAAAAAGTTGTTTAACGCCTTATGTCAGTAGGTGTTTCGTTTCTACATATGATAATTAGTAATATTAATCAGTGCTAATTATTAGGCAAACTTAAGGTTATTCATTAACCAAATTTTAGATTGAAATAATTGTTGTTGATATAACTTTGAAATTCAATAATTTACACTGATGAATTTTTCTTTCAGTGATGTTTTACAAATGTTATCAAGTGTGGTATAACAAAGAATTATCATGTTTTACTTGCAGAGTTGATTTTGATGGTTCGATTGCTAGAAAAGTAAAAAAGTATAAATTTACATTACATTTCTCTTGTTTTTGGCTTATTTTAAGTTGGTAGAATTGGAATGCATCCAAAAAAACTGCTTCACTGCGCAGGCCGTTTTTATCAACATTCAAAATAATGAGTTATAAATGGAAAGACTGTCCTCATTTTCTTGCTTACTTTTCTTATTCTATGTAATATTTCACTGCTTCCCGATCTTGCCATCATATCTTGTCACTCTTGCTAATTAAACTTTTTTGCCTTAATCTTCTCGTTTTTTGTGCAAAAACGTTTACTCAAATACTAGAACACACAATTAGCATTCTCTAAATGCAGGCAAAATTAGAGCTTACTGCAGTAGTGTAGCTTAAACGAATTATCTTTTAAAACAGTGCAATCGTTTTATCTACCTTTGAGATTAGCGTGGCTGACTGAGAAGATTACCTAATGTCATCTGTATAGGTCATAGATGTACTACATTTTTGATATGCAGAAGTTGGGGAGTGGAAAGGATGAATGAACTTTGTCTTCCCCTACTTCAGTCTAAAGGGAAAGAGGAGATGAATTCCCTCACTATTCGTTTATAATTGTCTTCGGCACTCAAAAAAAAAGCGTTGTGCCATCTAGCTGGCCAACACTAAAAAATGCTTACATCGAAATGTGAGTACTAGAAATAGTAACGACTCGTTTTTCTCGTCATCCACAGGTTTACCACGCATGTGACCTGTCCTTTTTTTCTACTTCTAAACAAATTTCACTGATAACTGCTCATTTCTGTACGACAGGATTATAACTGCTGTGCAAGCGCTTCTTTCATGTAATTTTTATTTCTCGACCTTTGTTATTTACATCCAGCATAATTATACATACCTTTCCGAAATTGTCGTGGGAAATGATGCAGTCATGAAACTCCAGGAAATCGGACATTTTGCAGCATATCACCAAGAAGAATACTGTTTTCCTTTAAATCCATCGAAAATCACCTATTTTAGAAATTGGACAACTGAAGAAGTTAATTGTTGAAATAAAACAGGTCATAATTTGATCATATATATTTTTTTCTTAATGGATTAATAATTAAAAATTCATTGTTTTCTTCCTCAACTCTTCACTTGAAAATATTTTAAAAGGATACTATAATTTAGTGACTTCATTAGTTCTATTTTTTATAAAGCTTGATCAAACTCTTCATTAGTTTAAACTCTGTTTAATTTGTTTCAAAAATGAAAACCGTCGACTGAATTTCAAATTCCAACAAAAGACATAAGCGTAGAGAAGTGGGGAACAAGGATTGTAATTGTAATATGTTGAGAAAATAATTCAAATCGTTTTCGATATTATTAGACAGTTACATACAGAGAAAATATTTCTATAACGCATTTTATAAAGAATTTCGTTGGAAGGAAATACTCAAGTGGTACTTCAGTATACTTTAATTATTCGAAAATTGGAATGATTGAATTAGAATGTTAAGAGTCAAACTATTTGATTCTTCCGTAAAATTATCCTCAATTTGATCTGCTTAAGTTAGTTTGCAATCTGAACAAACTGTTTCCTTGGTTTGTTTATTTTGTAACTGTGCATTCATTTTGATACTAAAGTCAATGCCCCTAGAATTATATCAATAATAGCAAGGATATATGAGCATTATTTTTTTCATCCTAGTCCTTTTATTTTCGCAAAAGTTGCCAAATTTTCTAGGATGTTCTATATTAAGAAGTCGTTTTTTTTTTTTTTTTTTTTCTTTCAGTTATTTTACGACAGTTAGTGGAAAATATAAAGTTCTCTACTTGACTGAAGAGAAATAAGATAAAAATTGTGGGAAATTTTTCTGCATTAGAAAATAACAGAAAAATTTGCGGATATTTTGAGGAAAATTTATGGATCAGAAAGTCAGTGTTTTTCAGAATAATTCTATATATGTACAACCTTTTTCAAAAATGATAGCCTAGGGACAAATTTGCATTAGAATGGCTCTTTTGGTAAAGTGGGATATCACTGTAAAGTTTTTGAATTTCTCGCTTAGTGAAATAACAAGATAGTTAGATCTTAGCAAGTAGGAGAAACAACCGGTCATATATATTCGATGATGAAGTGAAGCTTTTAGAGTTGAGAAATATACCGTTCTTCCAGAGACGTTCAGAATTTAAAATTAAAATTTTCACTATGACATATTGTTGCTTGCAAGAAAGATTCACTGTACTGATGTTCACATTCGATGTTCACAAGACAGTAAACTTTTTTTTGGAAAAATGTCATTTTTAGATTGTGCCTCGTCTTTAGATTTCAATGAAGTTTGGCCTGGATTTGTATCGAATTTAGGTAACTCTCACATCAAGAGTCTGCCTTATCGAATAAACAAAACAGGTAAGTCACGACAATACCGCATTACCAAATGCCATTTTAGGGAAGCAAAAGACCAATTATTCTGCTGATCCAAAATTTTCAAATCTTTCCAAAAGATTAATTTATTTAGAAAACTTTTTCATTATGCTTTGAAATCAAAGCATTGTGGAAATCTGAAATCCCCATTACATGAGTCTCGTAATGCCGTATTCACTCTGAAACATTCTTCAAACTAGACAATCTATCTGGAAAACGATTAGACATCTTCAAGTGAGGTATCGTGACAACATTTAAGAGACCTTGCTTTATTCTATTCCAGCTGTTTTTCGAAAACAATCATGATAATTGTTACACTTTCGTTAAAAAAAATTTTATAAAATTTCTTCAAAATTTCTTCGACCTTAAATTGTAAGCGGCAAATAAAACTTGCTGGAGACTTAGTTCCAAAATCTTTTACTCATGAGCAAAAAAGCAAGGTATAGTTTACTTCATAGGCAGCACTACCATCAAATAACATGCTCTGAACATATGCAAGTTGAGGCTTAGATAAGATCTAAAGAATACAAACTTAGTTGTTCAACCACCTAACACAACCTACAGAAATGTTCGTGTTTCAGCTCACAGTTCAGAACCAATTTCCCTTATTGAAACATTTCGAATTATGATGCCTTAGTCCAGTCTTCTTCCACCTCTCGACACTCACTGAAACAATTACCTTTGATGGATCACTTATAGTGTACCTATCTCAGTTCAGTTCAGTCCTGTATGGTGATAACCATTAAGATAGTTCCACGATAACCAGCCCTAACGCAAACACCTATCTTTCGAGGACTTTTGAGGACATGATTACCGAAAGAAGCGTCCAGCCTTCATTTAAATTCAAACCGATTGGGATAGTTAATCTCATAGTGACTCCAATCATCGAGGCAAACTGCATTGTTGCCGTTTTTCATGAGAGCTAATTAGAGAATGGTAGGCGGGAAGTGTCGTCGCACGGTTCCTTTGGTGTCAGTTTGTCACGTGGATTCTTCAGACTAAATGTGGGGTCAGTTTCAGCTGCTTATCGATTTCATGTTATTTGGTGAACAAAAGTTTATTTCACAAAACAAATGATTTCTCTTCAAAATGGCAACAAAAAAGAAGAAAAAGAGCAATAAAAATAATGACTGGTAAGATTCATGAAAGATTCATGTCACTTATCTTAACTATCCCTTGATATTACAGTTGTGCTACTGTCTGTTCCTGAGAGAATTGTCAGGTCATGCCTCCTTTTGTTTCTGAGAGTGAACCTAGCCATCGTTTTCGGTAACAGTGATGTCGAATAGATTTCAGTGCTCCATTTTGTCATTTTTTTTTTTTAAAAAGCTTAATGTAAATAGGTCGGATGATCTGGATATCAAAGCAGCAACTTTGAAACTATCTTCCGATTCAGAGACTGATAACGTCAATGAGAGTGATGACGAAACAATGGTACCCATCTATAGAAAGGGTAAAAGTGGAGTATTCAGTATGCTTGCCGGAGTATGTTTTTTTCAAACATTTCTCTTCAATAACGCTTACAGATTCATTTCTCGCATTTTTTGTTGGGTATGCAATGTTTCGTTTAGCTACTTGCTACGTGGAAATAGTTGCAGTTCATCTGAAGGGTTAACTCCAAGTCATTTTGACGGTAGATTATTCGCCAGCGTGTATACAACTATATTTCAGCAAGATTCTGATGACGATAATACAGAAAACGAAGGGAGTATTAGTTTTTAGCGCATATATACAAACTACTATATTTCAGCAAGATTCTGATGACGATAATACAGAAAACGAAGGCAGTATTAGTGAAAATTCTAACAAGGCAGACGGAATTGAAGAAAGCAAGCAAGGAAAAACGAATATGAAAGCAAGAGATAAACCTGATGAGGCAAAAGAGCTCTCTAAGCAACAAACAGCAACAAAACTAAAAGAAGAGGGAAAAGGAAAAGGAAAAAAAAACAAAAAGGTGATTTTTGTCAAACTAAGTACATGCTGAGTTTTATCAAGCACTATTCAATATTTCATCGTGCACTGTAGTATTATATTTTAGGGTTTGAAAAAAGATGATGATTTGGATGCTTTGCTTGCGGACCTCGAAAAACCAGTAGAAAAAGTATCGAAAGAAAAGAAGAAAAAAAAAGTTTCTGGTGTTAACGTAGCTTGTATAGAAGTGCGAGCTGGTGAAGATTTAAAAATATCTTCAGCTACTGAAAATATTGCAGGCAAATTATTTATTCGTTTCAAATTAGCAGGATGTTGTACGAGGTTGACT